AAATAGATAATATGAATGTTGTCATTTCTCACATTAAAAACCAGCACAATGTAGACATTTCACAGACTATAAAAAGTTACACGAAATCCATACCAGAAATAGTGGCCAACACCCTGTCATAAATATTGGAGTAAAAATTCACTCTTTGGTTGCCAACTCCCCCTTAAATGTGTCACCATGGAACGGTTTATAAAACAGGTCAGGTCTCAAGTTCATGTTCATACTGTAGTGAAATACATGGAAACCAGTAGCTTCCTGAAAGACTGATAAGAAATCTAAAAAGGTCTGCTGAGAAACGAAATCTCACCACAAAGTCCATTCTGTACAATTTATGGAGCTTTTGATCACAGCACTCCATAATTGATTATGTTAAACTTTAAGGACTTCTCATCCACATTGGCTCAAAGTTCATTCTTGGTCATTCTTGACTTTATGGATTTTTAGTCCTTCATCATTTTAAGTCCTGTAGGTGTTCAATGAAATTTTGAAACTCCATTTCCTGATGAAGTTCATGTTCATGTGATATGATCAGAAGCTACAGAACGGCTGCTACATTCTTAATCTTGGAAACTACATTTTTACAAGGTCCATGAAGTTTAAATTTCAGCTTTTTAACCAGTGAGAAGTCTTTAGAGCGCTAAGAAAAACAGAAATATGAACATCTACAATTCCATCACAGCTTGGCAAACTACATCTGCTGAGCAAGACCATGTGATGTAATATAAAGCTCAAAATGGACCTTGTGATGAGAATATCTCTTGTGTTTTTTTTCCAAGGTCAAGAATGAAATGTGAACCTCATTAAAAAAACAGTGTGGTTTGCAGACATCTCAGAAACATAATTCTACTTTACCTTTAAAGGTCCAGTGTGATTATGAATAAGTGGCATCTACTGGTGTAGAATATTGCAACTCACTCATACCCTCCCTTTTGAAGCACAAAGAAGAAAGTACAGTCATCGTTAATCGGCACAAAAACGAGAAGCTCTTTTTAAAGCCAGTCTTAGGTTTGTCCATTCTGGTTTACTGTAAAAACATGGCGGTTCAATATGGCGGCCCACAGTGTCTGCGGGTAAAAACGGCTGGTTCAAAAGAAACAAAAACACAACAATTCTTATTTTCAGGTGATTAAACACTAATGAAAACATACCTATGAATATTATATTCCATTTCCACAAACAGATCCTCCTAAATGTTACACACTGGACCTTAAATGTTAAAGATTTCACTCTCACACAGCCAGTGTCCTCAAGCTCTACATCACTGTCAGAATATCTAATCTGATGTGATCTGAGTCCAGGACACTGAACTTGAACCTGTGCCATCTCTGCGTCATTCCTGTTTGACATGTGTTTCACAGCATACATATCCTACTAAATGGACCTGTAGAAGCCCCTTAAGAGGTTAAATGATAGAAAGTAAGTAAAGACAAATTTGTCTTGAGGAGGAAACAGTCTGTTGTCAGTTTTATCTCCTTCTTCCTCATGGTCCTGACTGTGCTCTCTCTGTCCGCCTTCGTTTCCTCAAGTTTACTCCACCTTTCATTTTTAATATGCCCCCATTTTTCCTCTGTACACTCCTCTTCCTCTTTGCTCTAATCCCGTCTCTCCTCCTCAGAAACTTCCCTCCCCAACTCGTTTTCCCCAAAATCCTGTCACATGTTTGAGAGCATGCAGGATGAATTTCATTTCTGCCTGTCAAGCTCTTCCTCTTCTTCTCCTCCTTAATTTTTCACCTGTGCTTAAAGTATCTATCTCCTGCCATCTCAGGCACCTGCTTCCCTGGTGATCCGTGCTCACATATCATACATGGACAGCGTACCGAAACAGTAAAGAGAGAACACATAGAGAGGATTTGTTTAACGGATGGATTGAGAGGCGTTTTTCTCTAGCCGTTTCCAACTCAGTTTCCTCTCATGTATAATGGATGATGCGAGTCTCTTGCACCATTGTTTGCTGATTCTAATCAGAGTGCCCTGGCCTGTTGAATAATAAAACAGGAGGGTTAAAATTAAAATGTCTCAGAGCTTCACAGGGACACCTGCTGATTAGAGCATAGAGTACATTTGTCACCACTGTCCTTAATGGAACTGGTTGCTTGTTACATCACAACATACAGACATTTCGTCTCTTGTTTCTGTCCTTTTTGCCCTTGAATATATTGTAGACACCAATACACATATCCAAGTGCATGCACACACACAAATCTCAAGGATTATAACTTTAAGGGAACACCTGGATTATATCCTATTGAGGCCTGGTCTTGTAAAGTCAAATCACAACCTTTATTTCACCTTATATTGTGCTTACATGATGCACATCCTTTAATACATGTGTTTAATCAAATTACCACAAACAAACTGGTCCACAGCAAAACTTGGGCCAGCATAAGAGTATTTGTTGGTTTCTGGGACTGTGGGCAAAATGCAACATGAAGCTCTTATGTGTAGTAGTTGTGTATAGTCTGCTGTGTGTATTGTGCTTGAGGCACACTAAAGGCAACATTATATACAATACGTTATATACAAAAATGGGTGACAACAAGGCCAAGGGTACTGGTGGATATATCCTGCATATGAGCCTAGAGCAAAAATATCACACCCAGTATCTTACATGATTGTGTCATTGTAATTGTGATTTATGCGTTTCTTTCTAATGAGGGACCACACTAGCCTCAAAACTAGTGTGGAACACAGTCTCCACTACAGCCTTCATACTGGCAAAATGAGGTGTGCTCTTTAATTACTGATGTATATATTCAGCATGACTTGCTGGAGGACCTCAGTTTCCCTACAATAGGCAGTAGCAGAGATTTTTTATACTTTCTAGTCAGGTAATGTGTCAGATTTTGATGGATATAAAGTAACTTGAATAATAAAGTCACAGCTTCTTACCTCCTCTAGTCAAACATCCACAATTATAACTGATGTGGTGAGAAGGCACTGTAGGTAAAATGTAATCTCTTGACATGGCCTTGACTTTCGTTTGCATTGGAAAGGACTAATTCACATTTGTGTATTTAATGTAGATCAACTTGTAAACATAAGGGCATTTTCTCACTTCTCTCTCAGGGTGTTTCTTTTAAACATGTAAAGCCGCTTTGTTCACATAAGTTGTCTCCAGAGGAATCCTGCTTTGGAGAGGAGAAGGAGGGAGACAGGGGAGGGGGATGGGGGTTAGGGGGTTAGATGAGGAAGCAAGAATACATGGCTGAGCTGAAATAACAAACTCAGTGCAAGAGAGAAGCAAATATGGTGCATCAGAGGGGAAAAAAGTCTGTTTTCACTGCACTGTGTGTGAGTGCATGTGGGTGAGCGTGTGTGTGTGCGCCTGCTGTGTTAGACAGCCTTTAATAATTGACAGAGCTAACAGAAAGGAGGCGTACACCCACAGAATCTCCTGTATACAGGGGATCCTTCTATGTGCGTGTGTGCGTGCTAGCAGTCACCTTCGACATTTGCTACATTAGGAAAGCAATTTTGTGAACTCATCAGGTTATTTTTCAGGATCACATCAATATAAATGCAATAAATTATGCACAATGCTTTTAAATCAGATATTCAAAAAGAAAAAAACAAGTACGCTGACTCTCATTTGATCCATTAGACTGCTTGTACCAATAGATCCTTGGTGATTAACTAATTGAAACCTCAATGTTAAAAGTCAGTTTGCATGCAGTGAGTGTTATCATGCAAGAAATTAGCCTTGAAATAAGCATAATTAACAATATTTAATTTAAAAAGTATAGAAGACGCAAATACTCTCAAAGACACAACAACATCTTCATTCATTCTGAATGATGCTGAAGTGTGTTATATTATAAATGCATTGTGTTTTGTATTGCAGTAAGTGGTCTTGGAGGCACTAGCTCTTACTTCTTCATATGCTGGTGGTTAGTCTTAACTACTGCAGGAGTCTGCTGTTAAATTACATAAAATATTATTTTAAAAATAATATTTCCTCAGAAAAGTAGTGGAGTGAAAAAAATTTAATCTCACAAAATTTAAATAATCACTAGTACCAGTGCCTCCAAATTATAGGCCTATCCAGTACACTAAAGGGAGTTTGTAATTGTAATTAGACAATTTAATTTTAGAATTACACACATTTTCTCCTTTCCCCACCTTTCATTCTTAATTACCTTAATTCCTAATAGTTATTGCTGCAGAACATTTGTTCTAAGTTGGTACCCAGTTTTTCATTGAAGGCACATCTTCAGAGTTGTCTGTCTCTTTTGCCCTGTCTCTACTTGCTCATTATCCACTCCTGTCACACACCGACTAGAGGAACATTAGGAGGTCACTGTCATTCAACTGTGAGACCTGGGGCTATTTTACTAAAAGCTGAAGCCCTCCATGATATTGAGTTTCAGTTATATGTGGCTGAATGGATGTCTGTAGTGTATTTTTCTGTTTATTTCTATGTGTGAGTAAAGAGAACCAAGAGGGGGGAAAAAGGAGTTAAGCACCAGATGCAGTACTGTGGTTATGGAACTCACATCATCTATTTTCAGCACATCTCCGAGCAATCTTCTTCAGTTGCTGTCAAGGTTAAATATTTTTCTTGACACAAAGATACAGTCTATACATCCACACATACATTCCGAGTGTGTATGAAACAAGAAAACAAACACACTTATGGTCTGCCAGCTGCAATTACATCCGCCAACGCAAACTGAAGTCATACTGAGAAATTAAGTCAAACAATCCTTCACTCCATCTCCTCCGGCTGTCTCATAGTCTGTCTCTCTTTCAGTCTGAGGCTGCCTGAAGTGTGGAGATAAAACAGCTGCATCTTAATCTGTGGGTGGCACAAGCCTACAAAGAAGGCAATTAGTTTTATGATTTACAATTCCCTTGCCCTTCTCTCTTCTCTACCCTGCCATTTCCTCTCCTTCCTCGCTCGCCCCTCCTTTCCACCCGTGAATTAATGTCTTTATGTGTGTCATATGTGTGTGTGTGTGTGTGTGTGTGTGTGTGTGTGTGTGTGTGTGTGCCCCACAGAGCAGCACGAGCATTTGGAGAGTACCTGTCCCACACGCACCCTGAAAACCGAAACGGATCAGGTCAGCGTTTCTGCCACCCTGTCATTTGTCCATCCCTCTGTCCTGCTCTGCGTAGTCATTTGTAGTCTTTAATCCTTCCTTCACCTGCTTCACCTCTTCCACTGCTGAAATTCCATGCTGCGATCATTAGTGTATCATTGCAACAGCTGATAACCGAAGCAAGATGATATTATCCTCTGTATCATCCTCAACCTGTCCTCTTTTTCCTCTTTCTATCTTCTCCTTGCTCTTTAGCACCTCGTTCTTAACACTCACATTTGTCTTTTTTCGTCATCATACTAGCTCATCTTCTGTGTGAAACATTGGTGGGTCCCGACCCGGAGTCGCCAGGTGACACCATTGCCCCCAACAACAACAACAACCACCTGCATTCCTGCTCCAACACCACCAAGGGCTGTGAGGACAACCGGGAGTCTGGTGTGGTGAAAGCCCCACTGGGTTTAGTCCAGCCACCTCTCCCTTCCATCACCATCTCTACCAAGCCAGCACGGCTGTCCCTCGAGCGCAGCTTCTCAGCTGAGGAAGACCAGCAGAAGTGTGTAGAGTGCACCCTGCAGCCTGCCCGCGTGTACACCATCACCACCCAGCGCGGTATGCTGATGAGCAGCGGCCGGGGCAGCAAGGAGAGCCTAGAACTGGACGTCCTGAAGGAGAAGTCGGGGAGTCGCGGGGTGGGATCCAGAGGTGGCTTGATCCAGCCCTCCACTTCCCCTTCCTCCACCTCATCGTCTCCAACCCAGTACCACCATGCCAGCAGTGGCCGTGGCACCAGCCACCATCATGGCAACCATCACCACGGTAACCATCACCATGGGAACCACCACGGCGTCTCAGGCACCAGTGCGCCCTCCAGCAGTGGAGGAAGCGGTGGGGCAAGTGGAAGCAGCAGTAGCAACCAGCAGCAGTCTTTAGCCGTCACTGGATCCCACTCCCACCATGCATCACACCACAGCCACCACCATCACCTGTCTCAACCCCCACTGCAGACCTCCGTCAGCGCCCACAACATCCGCAGCTGGGGTGAGGGTGGAAAAGGGGATGCGGAGTGCAGCGGGCTGGCCTGTGACTCATGCAGCGGCACCCCCTCGAGGAGCCAGGGCTCCCTGGACCTGGAGAGCACATCCCGAGAGGCAGGCAAGCAGCACCGACGCCTAGAGCGGATGTGGAGTGTGGACCGGATGACTGGGCTGGAGAGAGGTGAGAGGGCGGAGGACACAGAGGAAGGGAGAGGCGCTGAATTCCCAATGAGGGCGGGATGAAAGTTTGTTCATAAGACCCTGAGGCTGGGTTTGGAGGGTTTGGTATTAGACCAGAGATGAAATAGCATTTGACTAATTTCAATCACTTGCATGAAAATAAAAACGATGAAAATGAGGTCAATGAATATGTAGATCATACTTGTTAATAGTAGTGCCTCTGAGCAATTGCCTGAGCAATCATTTTAATATTTACAGAATGTGATTGAAATAATAAGAATGCCTAATAATATACTTCCCCTGTTAAGCTATTAATGTTTCATTTTTGTTGAAACAATGTTGTTCATTTTTGAGTCTGTAGTGCAAATGTATATAATGTGTCATGAACAACCATTTTGAAAAGGCTGTTAACAAACCGCAAAACATAGGAAAACTCCACTGATGAAAAGAAATGGTGAAACAGAGAAAAAGAGAGACTTAACAGTATTGGAAACACGTCATACTTCAGTTAAAAAGTTAGCACAGAGTAGAAACAGCCCACTTACATAGAAATGTAATATTATAAGCTTCACAAAGGTATAGTAGTGTTTCTTGAGGGGTTATTGTATTTGATTGCATCACATTAGGAGGTGTTCTTGTTGTTTTTTGCCACTGCCTGAATGAATTGTTTCTGTTAGAAATTAGGAATCAATTTCAATTTCCTCCCTATTAGTTTATTGTTTGACATTTCAGTTATATTATATAGAAATAGGAATAATAGACCCTTTTCACAGCAGCCAATTTGACATGAAATAGTAAGGTAAACACAAGTGTATACTAATTAAGGCTCCTTCATTCAGGTCATACAGTGCTGCTATTGAGCATGTTGGCGCACTGGAAAGGCTCTGCTACACTAAACAGAACAGAGCTTTAATCAGTATCAGTGGTTACACCTATGTTTACCCTACTATTTTATGTCAAAATGGCTGCTATGAAAAAGGACTATTCTAGGCTTTGTGGGACTTTAAGGATCACTTCATTGAAAAACAAGTAACACATCACACTTAACCCTTTAGTGGCCATTTAGTAAGAAATAATCAAGAAATTTATGTTAAACGTTATTTTATTGTGAAAGATCAGTCTAACGAAATCAGTCACACACACAACTGAGACCTAGGTTTGAGCTAGTATTACATTTGATAGCATCAAAAAACTTTTTCAAATCTATTTCCTCTCAGGTCTGGTGGGCATTTGAGGGTTTGGTGTTGGATGTGACGTGGTGGTCTGTATTTCTGACTCTTCGTCTTCCCGTCTCTCTCCTCTGCTGTCTCCTTCTGTGTGTCTCCCTCTCTCCATTTGTGGAGTGGTGGACTGTGAAGTGGTTTTGTGCTTTCATATTTCTAATATATTTATCGCATTTGCCAATATGGCACATAGGTTTTTCTGTTTGTTTTTTTTTTTACATAACCCTGGAATCATCATTTTTCTCTTTAATTTCAGAGGACACTAACTGGTTCCCCAAGGAAAACATGTTCAGCTTTCAAACTGCCACAACAACCATGCAGGCGTGAGTGTCCAACCTTTAAGCACACATATAAATCTTATGTGTACACAAACACACATACAGTACATGCACACACATTCACATTTATGTTTAAGGTCAGGCTGGTGTCTTGACAATGGTGGTTAATGGACAATGGTGTTTTTGCATGTTTTAGGCCATTATCTAAAAAAGCATGCTATAGGTTTTTAGATTGATTTCCTTCCTTCAAGGTTGCTATTGATTTTCATTTCAGTGAACTATAAAAATCAGCTCGACAACCCCTAAAGCTTGCTCAAGGAAGACAATCCATCATAGTGAATATTTTGTCAATTCTTTATCCTTTAAATTGATTGTTTATCTTCTAAATTAAATTTTCCTACAAGACTGTGTCATTAAATTACGTTAATTAAGTTGCTGACAGAGGCAAGTTTTAATCATTTGCAAGTTCATTTTTTATAGCTTACTTAAAGACACCAATGATTCAATCATGCCAACCATATAAATTAACCTATACAGTCTACAGCCTCCAGCCATACTAGCAGCCGTGTGAGGATGTAGTTAAGCACAGTGGTAGTTTGAGCTAAATGCTTGCATCAGTATGGTCACAATGACAATGCTAACATGTGGCTGTTTAGCAGGTATAAAGGTTACCATTTTCAACATCTTAGTTTATCATGCTCACATTTGCTAATTACAGTAGCACTAAAAATAAACTTAAGCTGAGGTAATGTCAGTTTTGCATGTATTTGGTCATCAAGTAAAGTAATTAAAGTAAGCTAAATGAAAAGTCAGGATTGTTCATACATAGTTCATAGACTAAAACATGTAAAATCAACAGTGTTTCTTTAAAGCAAAAACAAAAAGGCAGGTGTGTGTGAATGAAAAAATAAGTCTGTGTGTGTGTCTGTATAAAAGTGCTAGTGAGCATCTGTGTGAGTATGATAGCGACCTGAGATTCTGTCTTAAGATCACCTGCAGCTGTTAAAGATATCTAAACTGTCTCAACCACTTCACATCAAACTGTAGATACTTCAGCAGCTTCCAAAAATCTGTTTCTGCCTCAATATCAATTTCTTTTTTTTAATCTCTTTATAAATGTATCTCTTGCATCATGTTCAGAGCATAAAGTCAGACTCAGTCAGTATAGGAAAGTGGTGGTTCATTTGGCCCATTAATAAGCAAAGACTATCAACAGTTATGTTGGTGCTGCATCTTGACTTTTTATTCATGGAGGTCAACTATGACACACTCTTTTTGTCTCTGTCTCATTATGCCTTTCCCAGTTCTCTCTCTCTCTCTCTCTCTCTCTTGATTTTGGACTCACTGCTCACTGGTGCCTAAACTGTATTTTTTTTCCTCTCCTCTCTTCATGCATACTTATCATGGGACACTCAAACAGGATATCGTGAGTATACTTCCTTGCCCGCTTCCTTTTTATGTAGCTTGCTTATCTCTGGTTCTTAACTGCTGTTCCTTAACTTTGATGTCTATCATTTAACCTCCATCTCTTGGCTGGTGAAGTGTGTGTGTGTGTGTGTGTGTGTGTGTGTGTGTGTGTGTGTGTGTGTGTGGATAGGTGGGTTTGACTCATTCTCTGTATTAAGTGAAGACCCTTTGTTGTTTGGGTTATTCTGGCCTTACTAACCACATCCAAAGTGTCAGGTAGAACTGTAGTCAGCACAAAAAGGTCCTTTAATTAAAGTTAAAAAGCCAAAGGGGTAAAAATTGAGTTACAGGATTTTCATGCAACAGCAGGGATAAAGTCCAGTGTAATCCACTGCAGCTGAGTAAGTCTGCCAAGCTCAAGTCAGGGAAATGTCTGTCTGTGTGTTGGCTGACCTAAACTCTGTCAGCTCGCATCCACCCAGCAGTTCTGTCAGTTTGGCACACACACCCGCCCCCACTTAGGACACAGCAATAGATGGAGTTTGGCCGTTTAAGATTTTTGTGGCAGTCATGTTAGCACTCTAATCCTGCTCCACAGTTGTCGCCAATTATCACTGAATCTGTGCTGGCTGATTTGGACGTGTTTGAACTGAGAGCTATCTATAGTGCAAATATGTAATCCTTAATGCCTTCTGGTAAAACTATTTTAACGGTCATAATTTAAAAAGGAGTCCGTTTTCAGTTGTCTATTCGATAAGTCACATAAAACCTTGGTAGACAAATACCCAGTAGGAAATTTGTTGTGTGCAAATCGCAAACTTCTGTCAAAGGATTCCTAAGCATATAGGCTTGCTGGAAAGAAGGTTAAGCAATCAGATACATCTTAGCAGAGTAGTTTATTATACCCAAACCAAACCAAGCCTTAACATTTCATTCTGCGCAACCTCTGCTCCAACCTTGCCTTGCCTAACTAAACCAAACTAACCCCAAGCTGCTCTTAAATGTTTTCAAGTTCTTTGTATGTTGACAAAGCTAACCTCTGGCTGCTAGCTTAAAGTGAATGTTGAGAGGGTTTATTCAAATTCTTACAATAAATATAAGATAAAACTGGTGATGTATATTTTTTTTATGTATATAATGTTACCGAGTCCCATGGAAAGACCAAAACCAATGATGAATTGAACCCACAGACAGTGTTGTCTGTGTAAAGCACTGACAGTACATAATTAGTGGACAGAGTCTCTGAAGTGAAGCCAATGTGGAAGTGTCTTAAAGCTGCATTCTTTCTAAAGGCCAGCAGGGGCAGCTCTATGGGTTCCAAAAATAAGTCTGATAGTATTGAGTCTTAGGGGAAAATGTCCCTACTTCTCTCTTGATTTATTAACCCAACAGTTTCCTAATGAGGTTGTGGTCACAGTCAGTAGTTTCAAGTCTTCTTCTAACAGCATCCCATTTAGATTAAAATAGACGATATGCTTTAGGGCGTACCTACCTTGTGATTGACAAGTCATTCTCATTGAGTCCGTCTAGTACAACACATGGAACTCAGATCAAACAGTCTAGACTAGGCAGTGCTGATCAAATATAAATCAAGATTATGTTACTGCGTTGCCTATTTCTCTCCTAAAATCTTTTCAAAAAACATATTTTAGTTTACTGCTTATCTGTAATACAAGAATGTGTGTGACCAGGCAAGCCACTATTGTTTCCTGCTATCGATGAGTGAAAACCAAGTGCAGCCAATAAGCGCAGCACATCACAGCTGCTGGCTGCCAAAAAACAGCATGGCAATGGCCATAATGCCAAACTCAAGGCTTGAGAATGATACTCGACAAACCAGTGGGTGGATACTACGTTTTGTAAAAATATACAAACTTCAAGGATTAAAAATTCTTATTACAAAGAGTAATTATTGACCTTGTATAGTACATCTATGTAGTGCTTTGAGTGTCACAGTTGTCAACCCAACTGCAGACTTGAATGCAGAGCTGGTGAAGTTCAGACAATTTAATGGCAAAAAGTTACGGTGGCCAACAAGGGCAAACGCACCGCAAACGGGCAAAAGCGCCGCAAACGGCAAAACGCTGCAAACACGGGAATGATGTAAAACCAAAAACACACAAACACACAAAACAACTCCAAGAGAGAAATGCTGCAAATTTGCTCCACAAAACGGAAGTGCGCCAGGCCACTAGGGGGACCCGACCTGAGGGATGGACCAGTCCTGTGGGACCAGAACCGAAAGACATGAAGAAAAAGAAAAAGAAGAAAGTTGTCTAAGTTTTGGAGAGGAGAGTAAAAAGGTACGTTTTCCTTTATGTCTTTTTTAAACACTTGGCCGTAATCTTTTATAATATTATAATATTATTATAATATTGTAGAAGAATATTATAATAATTCTTCATTATCATAATTCTTCATTATAATATTCTTCTACAATATTATAATAATATAATTATAATATTATAATATTATAAAAGATTACAGCCAAGCGTTTAAAAAAGACATAAAGGAAAACGTACCTTTTTACTCTCCTCTCCAAAACTTAGTCAACTTTCTTCTTCTTTTTCTTCTTCTTCTTCTTCTTCTTCTTCTTCTTCTTCTTCATGTCTTTCGGGTCTGGTCCCACAGGACTGGTCCATTCCTCAGGTCGGGTCCCCCTAGTGGCCTGGAGTTTTGTGGAGCAAATTTGCAGCGTTTCTCTCTCGCGTGTTTTTGGTATTTGCAGCATTTTTCTTTGGCATTTGTTTTGTGGGTTTGTAAGTTTTTGCTTCTGCTTCGTTTCTGTGATTGCAGCATTTTTCTGTTGCTGCGATTTTCTGTTGCATTTGTTTTTATGTGTTTGTGTGTTTTTGGTTTTACATCAGTCACGAGTTTGCAGCGTTTTGCTGTGCTTTTGCCTGTTTGCAGCGCGTTTGCCCTTGTCGGCCACCGTAAAAAGTAAACACAAAACAACTTGCGGATGAATAAATCAGGCAAGGTCTAAAACAGGATAACAGTCCAAAAGGCAAACAAACCCAAAGGGGGCAGCACAGGAAATCCAGTATCCAATAAAACAAACTAGGAAACATTGAGGAAAGGGCTGGAACACCTGACAAACTGAGGGAGATTAACTGGCACTGAGACAAAGGAACACATAGACTTGAGGAGAGGATAACTCGAAACAGGCCAAATTAATCAGGGCAGACAATCAAAACTGGTGGGAAACACACAAAGGCGGGAAGTAAAGTTACTGACACAAGAGGACACAAGATGAGTATTTCAAAATAAATCAGGAAATAACTAAACTAAATCCCAAAACCACGACACTGAGTAAAAGGCTAATGTCAATACACATAATGTCAATGTTAAATGTCTGATCTTCAATAGGTTTAATGTTTACCTGGTTCATTAGCTTAGATTGTCATTAGTTCTGATGGTAGTTGGTCACACCCCAAAATATTGGACAAATTGAAATTTTGATGGGTTGATGGCACTAAAGGACACATTTAAAGGAGCATTAAAGACATTAGGCCTTTGAGGACTGTGATTGTGTGTACCAATTTCAATGGCAATGCATCGAATGGTTCTTGATTGATTTCAGTCTCAACCAAAATGGTGGGCCAACCAATCCCAGTCAGCGAGTCGGAGTTCGGATGGCTAAAAACAATGTACACACATCAATTAGCCACAGCATTGCTTGGGTAACATGTGCCTCTATTACATTGAACATGGGTAGTGTATTTTATTTTGAGTAAAGCCCACAGACGCCATCCTGGTGTACACTATTTATTTAGTAATGTTTAAAAAAGTATTGAGGGACGGATTAGTTGTCATTGTCAGTTTTGGTCTTTGTATGGGAGTTGTTGACTGTAAGAAAAACACGGCATAATGCCATCCTTAAAAAGACCTTTTGTTCTTGGGGGAATTTTTCAAGCTTCCACTACTTACCCAGAGTCAAAGCACCCACAAACACATAAACAATTATTTCCAGCATGTTGGAGAGGCTCTATCTCTATGGACAAATGTTTATCAGCTTCACAGAATTGTTGGGTCGCACCTTTCCTGGTTAACGCCAATTAAGCCTGTTGAAGACACAATCACACATTGACAGTGATGCATTTCACACCACGTTTGTTCTTTAACACATAAAAGTCCAGCTTGAGCCGAATGGGAACACTCTCACTGGTAAGTTTCACAATGGCTGATTTGAATGAATGGCAGGCTTCCTCAACAACTTTTGCTCTCGGCATCTAGCTAGGGGATTACAACTTTAACATACAAATATATGCATGAAACCCACCACATTGGAGAATTTGCACTTTTTTTTTTGTGGAGCTCCACAGACCTGCACATATCCATGTCTGATTCTGGGAAAGTATCGAGAATAATAAAATTCCCCCAAAATAAACTATTTTTAAAAAAGAATTGCATCTCAAGTGGACTGAGGGTCATAAGTTTAGAGTCTCTGTTGGAAGATGGATTATAATACATGTAGGGTGGCACATTTGTTGCAGGGATGAATAGAAAATAAGATTTGCTTTGGTGATTTGATTTCACTTTTTGGTCTTTAATGTCAAAGCTAGCTGCTGCCTACCTACAACAGCCTCCCCTTCACAGTCAAATAAACCCTGCAGCTAAAAGCCCTGGCATCAGCCTCCCTGCACTGTCCTACCCCTCACTACGCCAGCATTCGCCTTCTCTCATCCCTTTAATACTGTGCCACGTCCTGGCAGGGCTTTCCGGGGATTTGTGCAGAGAAAAAGGAGAGAGAGGGAGCAGAATTCAGCAGAAGTCATCCAGAGGTACGAAGCGTCCCCTGCGAAGGTGTGCTTTCCTAGAGGACCGTTTTCACTTGTTTCTGGCTCCGTTGTCACTTATTTACAGCCATGTCTAATCTTACCAAGCCAAAGAGTCACAGCGGGGCACTTGAAGGTGTGAGGACGTCAGCAGCTTTCAAAAGAATCTCCTTACTGGATGCCAGGCTTCAGCGACCCAAATTCTAGGCCAGATTTGTACTGCCAACTACAATGATCTGATTTTTATTCTTAGACAAAACTGAAGAGTTCAAATAAATGGTAATTGGACTACATTTATATAGTGCTTTCTGTCTTCTGACTTTAACATTCAACATTGAAACACTGGTGGCAAGAGGCTGCCATGCAAGGTGCCAGTTGCAGCAGAAAGGATAACTAATGCTCATTCTCACACACACCTATGGCACAGCCTACAGGAGCCATTTTGGGTTCAGTAACTTGCCCAAGGTCCTTTTGACATGCTGGCTGGAGTGAGCTGGGGATCGAACCACCAGTCTTCCTATTAAGGAACGAACCGCTCTACCGCTAAGCCACAGCCGCCCTAAAACAGGATAAATCTGCTCATACTGTAGCTTTTACTCAGCCACTGTATTGGTTGCAAACTTGCACCTAATTAAAAAAAAAAACTCCTAAGAATGGTTTTGTTAAAAGTTTTGAAAGTTGCAATTCAAAATGTGACATTAGAGTCACTCATTGGCAACTTCTGCAGTTCAACAATACAAGTTTTTAAGTTACTGCAGATGTCAGTCCCAGATATTTTGGTATTACCCTCACAAAACAGAGTCAATTTGTGTTTCCCTTTTAGGATATTAGGAAAAATAACATTTTGAGAAACAGTGGAAACAGGGAGTGAGATTCTGTAACACTTGCAGGAGTAATGACATCAGTAACAAGTTCAGAAAGCGTCCCACTCAGGCCCAGATGCTCTGTCACACAAGGGCAGATGGTGAATGTGACACCATGCAGTACATCTCAATTCCTTTGACATCTCAGTGTCATCCATCTGCAGTGTCAGCACATTAACGTTGTGTGTTATTTCATCAAAATGAGTGATTTGAACTGCAAAAAACTGCAGAACAAACTTTTGCCCTCTTGCACTAAAATCCACTGTTGAAAGAAATCGTCCATCCACCTGTTTATATTTTATCAGAGGCCATGTCCACCCTAAGGAAGAGGAATTTTAAAACGCATGTTCATTTTTTCCCCCCAATTTTGTCATTTACCCTCTACAACCTGGGTGTTTGACCACCAAAATCAGATCAAACAGGAAAGCCAGCTCATAGTCAGAAACTTAGAAAACGCAGTTCTTGTGTTGTAGGGTGGACATTTATGAGATTTCTTTCTGATAGCAAAACAACACATTGAAAATATTTTTTCCCATTCAAATAAAGAGTATAATAAATATTAAAGATACAGGCTCTAAACATTACTTTTAAATTATGAATCCCTATTTTGTGATATTTCACTTATTTCAAATTGAGTTATATTGATGCGCCAACAGCAGTAATTAGCAGATTGAACAGTAGTAAAAAATGATACGACAAAATATAGAGTATATAAATAGGAAAACAAATGTAAACAAGTTTAAAAAAAGATATGAAAAAGGGGGCCAGGAGGTTGCAGACAGATAGACAGTCTTTATTTGGAAGAGGAGGCGGACATGGTTTCTCTCACATTTCTTCTCTTTCTGTCTAAATCTCATTATCCTTCTCCACACCTCTCCCTTTGTGGGCAGCTGAGGTTTAGGCACAGGACAATCCAGGTGAAAAGATGTCTGTCTGACTCTGTGTATTAGTGTGTTAACGTTACATTTGTTCCTTATTAGACCATGTGCATGATGCACATTGTTTAGCTCTTAAATAAACTGTGAAATTCATTGTTCGATATTGCGCGTTAACTGTTGTTGACATTTGTATTGAGGTAAACCAAGGACAAAGAGGCTCCAAAGACTTTTTCCCCCCTTTTATGTTGCTTCTATTTTTATGTGCTTCTCCACCACCAGATAAACATGGACTCACTCACACATACACACACTCACAAACCACATGCAGAGATCATTAATCATGAGTGTTGACTGGTAGCTCGGTGTACTGAAACTGTGTGTAGACGCGACATGGGAGGGAGGCAGAGGGATAAAAGGATGTTTATCTGGGGCTCTTGCATAGAACATCGTGTCAGGATCAGGCAGAAATTCACGGGGAAAATACTATACAAATCCCATTGCTTTGTTGTTATTTAAAACACTAAATGGATTTCAAGTGGAACATGGTAATGCACAGCCTTTATATTTAATTACTTATAGAAAACACAGATAAAGTTTAATGTTGCTAGGAGACATGAAAACCCTTGTCTACTAATGCAAGTAGCAAGACCCTGCAAATTGAAAAAAAAGAGAAACTACCTCAATATGTTTGCACCTCGTCAGCTATAACAGCAGTTTCTTTTATAGTTTGATGTAATTTGTCATTAGATAGTGGGAAGCAATAGGAATGAGTGAACGGACCAAGTGTGATGACAACCATGTTTCCAAAAATCTAGGTTTCTGTAATTAAATAACATAAATCAATACTGCCTTCACTATTTTAAGTGTATACACATTTGCCTGTATACATTCCAGAGGAATACATTTGTATAATTACACAACGCAATTAAAACACTGCTCACCTTAGCACATAGTAGAGCTATGACAATTACAATCTTGCTCCATAAGGCTGACGCCACAGTTCTGCACCTGTGAGTCTCCTGATGAATAATGATGTCGACTGAAGTATTTTTCGTCGTAGGGCATCATTAGTGCGTGATTAGCCTCAGTGAGATACAGTAGTCCTGATTCTTTATGACTTCATTTGAATAATGAAGATAAGAAAAGCCCGCTTAGTGCATCCAGGTTCTTTTAAACCAATGATGGAAAAGTCAGACCCTACATCAGATTAAGGTCGCGTATGTAAATATGGAAGTTCAGTCTCAAAGCACTAGTGTGACATTGGTTACGACACAGGCTTTGAGAATAAAGAAAAAAAACAAAAGCGACTGGCTTCTGTCTGACCTCCACAGTGTGGATATTAAAGAATAGTGGAGTAATTATCTCAGCTGGCATTACTTGCTAGTTTATAAATTATGAAGCCTGCAGTCCATGATTTCTTGCATTGTGATCAAAAGTAATTCTTCATTTAATAAAAATCAAGACCACATACTAATGTAAAGGAGGAATGTAGGCCAGGAAGCACATGGACTACCAAGCTAGCAAGAGATATGCAGGAATGGCTCACCATCAGCCGCATGTAGACAGGATTTAATGGATAATAATAATAATGGATGAATTAAAGTGAATTGATTTCATGCAGCTTGTTGCTTTTGCTTTCTGTTGTTTTCCACGGTTGAAGTTAATCATTGGAGCAACTGACAGCAGCACAGAACAACAAAAAGCACCTGTTACAATGAGTCTCAATTTTGTTGATAGGTTTTTTAGATGATGGAGGATCAAGGGATCAAGTTTGACAGAATGAACTGCCTCTGATGCACCATCATTGCCTCTGTGGTGGCTCTGCTAAGAGCATGTGCATCAAAACCTACAAAATACTAAAGTAGGGTTTCCCTTTTGGCTGTTGTTACGTGAATGAATCTCCTGTGTCTCATAATCTACACTGTAAAGGATGTAAAGAGGTACTCTGGCAATGTGGAACATTACACCCACATGTTCCTCTGTGGAAGTGTGTTCCATTCACATTGACAAGGAAATGTGTGTATTTATGTATAATTATCTATTTTTTAGTAGAAATAGGAGCCTGACACTAAAGTCTCCTCTTTTTGTCTTGCCTTTGCTTTATTTCCCGCCCACCCCTCCCTCTTTCTTCTTTCTCTTCTTTTTACGTTTTGCTTCTTCCTCTGTCCGCTGTTATCCCTCCTCTGCTTTGATTTCTCTACCCACAGGAACTTCCGGAAGCATCTTCGGATGGTGGGCAGCAGAAGGATTAAAGCACAGAGTGAGTCAGAGATGTGTGTGTGGTTGATATGTTTGCTCAAATTGACTGTGATGTTGTTCACCCCGCCATCATCCCGGTTTTTTCTCTGTTTTCCACTGTGTTTTTGCATGTGTGTGGCTCTAACCGCTGCTTTACTGGGATTTTGTAACGCTCTATTGCATTTCCTTGAGGATTATATGTGCATCGGTGTGTGTTTGATATGCCAGAGATAGGAGTCTGTGCATGTGTGTATGTATGAGTGTGTAAGGTGGAGGTGGCCTCTTCCTGTTGCATTGCTTTGATTGTTGGGGGGCGGGGGGGCTGTTCGGTTGGTTGTGAAGTTTGAGGACAAAGACACTAAATCGTGTGAAAAAAGTGATGATTGTTAAATGGTGTGTGTCTGTGTGAGTGTCACTGCAAGTCTATAAAACACTGATAGAAAAACAAATACACTTTTCATTGCGGAGACTTAGTGGATTTTTTTACTCTAGACATTTACTAAAACCCAAAATCTTGTTGCTGCTGACAGTAATGTCAAAGTTGTAACACACCTCAGAGTTCCCCCTGCTGTGAGGAGGAACCAATTCTCCTGCAGCTAATTTCTTCTTCAGACAATTTCTTCTCAGATCTCAGGCATAGCTGTAGGGGACATTTACCTCATGGTCACAGAAACTGGTGGCAAGGCTTAATGTTGATTAAGCCAAATAGAATAAATTAAATGAAACCGGACCCAATCAAGCCAGAGGGAGACCCATTAGACTATAAAAATGAAAGCTCCAGTTCTAATCAGTATTTGTGATGTTTGAAACATGAAATAGCCTTTTGATAGTATTAAACACATGTATTTCTAAAAGGAAACCTTGCAATGCATGTATCACTAAAAATGTCTTTTTGATCACAAGAAAAACACATAAATAAAAGATGCTGACCTTATGAATGTTTTGGCCTACATTTGTACTTGATAACAACAAGTTGGTATGAGCAGCAAAAAGGAGCATAAGTGAGGATCCATCAGCCTAGAAACTACAAAGGCCAAAAACATATGGCGCCTTGAGGGACACTGTTGATTAACCGTGTCAAACACTTTCAAGTAGTCTAAAAATATTCTAAGAGCGCAGTGATTACTGTTTAAAGCAGAGCTGATTTAATCAATGGGTCGTTGCTCAGTAAATCTCTGAAACAAGAACAGTCCTTTTAAATCCGTATCCACGTATGATACTGATACTCCAGGATCCTTTACAGTGTTATGATTGTTAGAATACTTTATGTTTGTTTGGCAGTTTGTTTGTGCAGAGGAGCGACGGCATTGTATGTACACTATATTTGTGAACCCGTAGCTGCATCCGCCTTTGCACTTGTGTGTTCTCGGTGGTGAGTGTATAGAGGAAGCGGCCAGTTTGGGGCTTGTTAGTGTGTGTGTGTGTGTGTGTGTGTGTGTGTGTGTGTGTGTGACTATCTCTCCCCGCCTGCACTAGCATTCGCTGAGCGTAGATCGAAGAGTTTCAGCCGTTCCTGGAGTGACCCCACCCCTGTCAAGACTGACTCTCCTCATGAACCCAGAGACAGTGAGTTAACACAGACTTATGCACATACAGGCATACACACACACACACACGCACACGGAGATGCTGACACAAACAGTTTCTTACAACTGCAGTGAGAAGCCAAAAATGGGTCAATTAAAAACAGAAAAGGGCTGTACGTTCATTAATGTACGTATTTGTGTGGCAAAATGTGTGTGAGTGTTGAGTTGGCACATAACAGTTTGTATGGGAATGAAGAGCATACAGGGACAGATTCATGAGAACAAGTTTTGAGAGCATACAAGGACATTATTGTGAGAGTATTAGAGGTTTTAAGCCTCCAAGAGGAATTTTATTAGTCAATGTGAGCAAACGGTAGGTTTTTTGTCAGTTTGTAATCCTAGCATGCACTCTTAAACTGAGAGAAGAAAAAGAAATAGAAAAAAAAGAAAAAAGAATGACCTGGACCAGTAAGAAATCGCCTTCTAAATGTCAAAATACTTCCCAATGCAATTAACTGACATTTGTCTCCACACAAAACTGGAAATTAAACATAACTACCAGATACAAACATGTCCTTTTAAAGAGCCTACTCAATAAGTGTTTAAGTGTTCTCTGTGTAAGTGTTTATAATATGCACAAATAGCTAACATATTTTGTTTTTCATAAATTACCATCTGACCCTTTGTCCCCTCACATCTCGGCTGGCAGATTGATTATAGCTCGAAGTTGCTTCCTACTCACTCAGTACTTTTGTCATTAATTAATTTGCTCACACAGGTGGCTCACATTGAGTTGAAAGCCACTCAGTGCTTAGTATTTGCTAGCCATAAAAAGGTCCAGTAATCAGTACCTTGATATATGAGCCAACTTCCAGCACAGCTAGAATAAGGCCAAATTATCCGTAGCATTAAATGAAGGGCAACCAGTCAAAAAATATGTATAAAACAATACAAATAGGTATTTAAAAACATATTATCATGTCGGCGGAACAAACACAAACTGCATCATCAAAAAACAGGGTTCTAACAAAGATACAAAGTGTAGAGAACAATGAAGGGGGTGACAAATACTGCCAATTGCAAAAGTGTAGTAGGTTTGTACATACTTGTACTTTATTATTTGTGTATTTTCATTTGGGGAGGTGTCCTACCTATTCGACAACATTCTGTGTCAGAAGTAAATATTGTACTTGTCTCCACTACGTGATGGTTTTTATCAGGGGTTTAAAGTTAACGCCACTTCCTGCAACCTGTACACACTGACACATGCCAAGTAGGACTCATGATATAACAGTATTCTATACCGAAGACCTCCCTCCTGAAGTAAGCTGACATTTTGTCATCACGGTTTTACAGCTCCTTTCATCCATGGACACTTGCATATAAAACACTCAATCGCACGTACAAACTGACTGTCTCTGCTGTTGATTCTGACCCTGTCCATCTGTCTCCCTATGACTGTGGGTCTTTCTTCAACTTTGTGATGGTCTCTCTTTCTGTGAGTATGTCTTCCAAAATGGAGTGTGCGTCTCAGTCTGAGTGCGTGAAGCTGGTACAAACGTTAAACGCGAGGACGCATGTGAATGGTGTCTAAGTGTTTCTAAAGGGCTTTGAATATGTGAATCAACACACACTGTTTGCATGTGCCGTTCGTCTATGTTGATGTCTGAAGTATCTGTGGGTTTTATGTTTTTTCTCCACCTCCATCTTCAGTGTTTCTGTGTTTCAGAGTGTGATGAAAGATAAATGAACTGTTGATGACAGTCTAATGGTGTGGTTGATGCCTCATTCCTCCTTTTTCCTGAGGGAAAGGTATTATTCTCCAGAGGAGTGACATTAATTGTCAGTCTTGTTTGTCTCTTTCCTCTTTTTCATACTTTTCTACTTCAATTCCCCTCTTCAAACTGCTATTTCCCCCTGGGTACCTACCTTTTTTTTTATTAGATGTCTTTATTAGCCTTTGAGGCTGATACCAACATAGATCTTGGAAAGTTTAAAAAACTAAGTAATAGTGACATCGCTTCAAAATTACCTCAAACCCTTATTGGCTTTTCTGTTCGATATATCTGTGATAAGCAAAATGAATGATTTACTGTGACGGTGAATACAGACATGAGTCCAGTCAAAGAATCAGAGAAGAGAATATGTTTTGTACAGGACAGCGGACATTTTGGCAGTAATAAATGCCAATCATGTTCGTTAACGCTCAGGAACAGCAATGATACCAGCAACATAACAATTGCTCAGGGATTATAACTGCCAACAAAAGCACATGAAATAATTATCAAGTGAAGAAAAAGAAACTGCATCACAGCACCTGGCCATAGATCAAAGAAGTATATCGACAGCTCAGAGCTAACAAACAACTGCCTCTCATTATCTCAGTCAATTAAGCAGTAAAAGCAAACTAAGGCAACAAAACAACTAAGAGAAACCTGAGTCCACACTGCCCCAGAGTCTCAGTTCAACCTCAAGAGGTCATAACAGGCTTTCTGACACAAAAAACGTCAGATAATAGCCATAACATACCAGTATGGTTCTGCTTTAAGAGCTGATACATTGTTTTCATTGTATAACTCTTGGTGGTTCAATATGACTCAGGTGTGCAGTGGCTAATACCATTAACAACCACTAAAGGTGAGGTCAGTCATTCTAGAGAAAAAGAGCTGAGTGTCATTCCCAGGTTATAAAATACCAACGCTTTGGGTTGCCAAAGAATCAGTATTTGACAACCCGGGAATGAGACTCAACAATCTCCTTACGCTGAAGTAGGTTACTAGAATCACTGTTGGCTCTGTAGGACAAATGAGTTTGACACCACATTAAGAAATCCCCCTCCAGGTGAGAAATAGTTCAACAGCTGTCCTGTACCATAATCCAAGGTTATACAGAAGCCCTGTAGAGTTTAACTGAGTGACAAGCTCGTATGCTAATTAGTGCCCCTGTTTTAAGTCTTTCAAACTCATGTGGAATAGCATTGGCCGTACAAAAATACACACGACCCTTGTATTGTATTTGAGTATTTTGAGTGATGTTATTGCAATACAATCTGCTTGATACATTTATATATGTTTTGTTATATGTTATATTATATATGTTAAAATATCTAGTGTGTAAAATGAATACATTTCCCTTCTGAGAACAGCCGCTCTCTGATCCCAGTTTTTATAGCTCTCCTTGTTAGTCGATTCCGGAAACACTCACTACCTGTCATTCTTTGTTCGGCCTCTGCCAGCTGTCTCTTCTTTTTCCTGCTCCATCTGTCATTTTCTTACACCATTATCAACAATTCCATCTTTTTTCCCCTCCTCCGCACTCACCATTCTCCAATTCCTGGACATGTCCGTCACTCCCAAGTTTTCTCTTTCTATGTCACCTTTGCCTCCAACCCGACACTTCTGCCTACACCCTATTATCTCAAGTCATTTTCCTCACCGGTGTGTTATATTCTATTCCAGGCGGAGACCTACAGGCCTCTTGTGGTACCCTGGATGAAGGAGGCGTTGATGACAACTTAGACTGGGAGGAGGAGAGAGAGATGGAGAGGCAGGCCTGTGAAGGAGATGATTTTGTACCTCCTAAAATCATGGTAAGATGCCAGTATTGTAATAATTTGCTAATTATTTAATCAAATGCAAATTTATATTATCTAATTTCCTGTTTAAACAGGTTAATAACAGACATCATACAACATGAGTAAACAGAATTTGTGAAAATTAGTTTATTCTCAGATTACTTAATATGCAGGTGTGGCATCTTAAATACAACTAAACTATTGTCTACCATATCACTGTAGATTCCCTGCAGGCATGAGAGTGTGATAGAGTTTTCTCTTTTCAGCTTTCCTCTCATTTCTACGAAACTATCTTCCTCATTACCTGACTTTGCTCCATTTTCTCCCATCTTCCACGCTTTCCTTCCCTCACCCTTCCACCTTCCTTTCCCTCTTTTATTCCTCCATCACCTTTAGCTGATCTCTTCGAAGGTCCCCAAGGCAGAGTATGTTCCCACTATAATCCGCAGGGATGACCCCTCCATCATCCCCATACTCTATGTGAGTTGAGATACATCACAAGTTGTTTCTTTAAAAAAATTGTCATATAATACAGATTGCAATGTAAATTTAATCAGTTTACAATGTTACAATGATTGTTTTTACAAATGTATTTTTCCCTAGGACCATGAACATGCAACTTTTGATGATATTTTGGGTGAGTGAATATTCCTGTTTGTGTTAGTATCTGCCTTTTAACCCTTTCTAACCACAGATGCATTTAAACTTCTGTTTTTAAGATTTATTTCTGCATTCTGAAAAAGATTGTTTGTTGTTCATAACAGAAGAACCTGCAGGAAATGGTCCCTTCAGTTTCCTAAGATAATAATGAACGCTGTATTAAATAAAGCTCACATACACTTATTTAAAGGATGTCAAACTATAGTTTGCACTAGATTTCAAGGTTTCCAGTTTAATTCACTGGCCTGTTTTATTTGCTGTGAAGTACAAACTGTTTCATTCAAATTAAACTACATCTTCCATTAGTGTCTCTGCTCTCTATTATTGCACCTGTACTTGAACTCACCCTCCAGAGAGTTCCTTTGTGTTCACATTTCTCCGTCTCAGTACATTGTTACTTGTCTCTTTGCATATTCTTTTCTCTTTCCGTTCTCGGTCCCTGTCGTTCACATCAATCCAACCCTTTTTCCCCTACCTTTACAGAGGAAATAGAGAAGAAGCTCACAGCTTACAGGAGAGGAAGCAAGTTCTGGAGGATGCTCATCTTTTGTCAGGTGAAGAATGAGACAAATAAAAGTATGAAACTATAGGATTTATTTGGAATATATGGGGTCATGTGTTTTATACGCTCCATACGGAATTGGAGTAACCAGCTACACTGCGTTCAGTACTTTCCTTTGGGATTTAAGCTCTTAAGATCCTAATTAGGAAGAGGGCAATTAGCAGTTGTGATAGTACTAATGTGTTTTATTCCTGTGTGTGTTTCTTAGGGAGGGCCCGGTCACCTGTATTTACTGAAGAATAAAGTGGCAACCTTTGCTAAGGTGGAAAAAGAGGAGGACATGAGCCAGTAAGTTAACACCGGACTACTGGGTCCAATCTCTGATGAATATTGGTTTATGACAGTGCCTTATAAAGCGTCAGCGTGTGACAATGCTTTCCAGGACATTAATTTTTTTTTTATAAAATATTGCATCATTAAAATACCTTAGCTGCATTTTCATTGAGCCTTTTATTCCACCAATAAACAGAATAAGGTCTCAATCAAATAAAAATGCCTCTCTTAAAAACCTTGAGCAAAACAAACGGGCTCCTTCCCAGACATATTTTCATTTTAGGCATTCAGTGAATCTAATTTGTCATCTAAATGCTCTTTACTCTATTTTCAGAATATTAATACAATGTCTGTGAATGCTCTCTGCCTTGATTTGAATCAAAGAGGTTCGACTGGGATGACTCAATACTTTCTCGACATTTGTTTGTCATTTATGAACACAATCTACTACTTTTCTGAGTGATGCATCTCTCCCAGGGGAACCATCTTTGAATAGGTGATGTTTACTTGTTTCAGAGATATAAACACAAGGCTCACCTTCTGTTCCACAGCTCTGCTAGACTCTGCTACTTCTCTAACAGTTGCTTCGGTGCAAAATCGCAGCCGTAAACCAATAAAAAGTGACAAGTGTGTGATACTTATCTTTTTAAAAGTTCCATTTGGTGTTGTGCGTTAGAGCTGTTTCTTTCTGATTCATTGCTGTGATGAATGTAAACAGGACAGGATCATTTTATTTTGCCCTTGTGTGTTTCAGATTTATTCTATTCAGAAGGAAACAAATCAGATCCTGTGTAACTGTCGCCTTTGTCTTTGTTCAGATTCTGGAGGAGGCTTAGTCGCTTCATGAGTAAAATCAATCCCGAACCCAACCTCATCCACATAATGGGATGCTATGTCCTGGGTAACCCTAATGGAGAGAAGGTATGCACACACTAATGCAAACGACATTAACTCACCATTTCCACTTCCATATAATCATAACACATTTGGTGTCACTGAAGCAGTCACAATATAAGGTACTTTGGTTCAGTTCATCAAGGTCTTTGTTTCACATTTACACAATATTTAACAGAATATATAATTATTTATGGCTTATTCATGTGTCATTGACTGGTATTGTTCCAGTGTCTACTTATCCACTATAGCTACCCTGTAGCCTGTCTACAGTGATACTACATAGATATGGCAAGAACCATGATTGGTCAGCTTGGGCTGCTTCTGTTTTCTCCTACACGTTCCCAGCCCCTGGTTAAGAAACAAGAAAGTTGAAGAAACTCCCATTAGCAAAGCACAGTGCATGAAATAATGGACTGTAAACAGGGAGTGACACAAGGCAACATTTAGCTTTGTTGCTCTATATCACAAATTGAATAAAAGAGTGTGAACACAATTACTGTGGATAGATCGGTGAAATCTGATGCTGAACTATAAATGAATTCATACACTGTTGGGACCAATGTGACACAAAGTATAATTCCAGTGTACTCATAACAAGGTATCTGTATATTTACATGTCCAAACCTAAAAATTGATAATAAACTTTAATAACTTAGGAGACCCAAGATGTATTGAGTTTTTGTTCCCTGTCTCTTATCATTACAGTGACCACTTCCTCTCGCTCGCTCCATCCCCATGTAGTCTCTGCCTCCATTTCTCCTTCCTGTTCATTTCCCCATTTCTGCCCTCTGCTTTCATATCACTCGGTCACTGTGTCTGTTTCGATCTCCCCTTGTAATAATCACCATATTATCCTCCTGGCAGTTTCCACCTCTTTTCCTCCACTTGGGGGGACTATTATTTTGCCCTGTGTACTGTTACTGGACATAGTTGAGTAGCACACATGCTGGGTAATGCTGCACCTTTCTCTACTTGACATGAACAAATAATAAGACACATAACCAGATACACATATAAAAAAATAAAAAATCAAAAGCACAGACACAAACAAGCTGGCAGACACATACACACACACATGCACACACCATAGCTGGCAGTGTTTGTCTGACCTGTCTGTTCCAGTCATGTCTGCCAAGTCAAGTGCTTTGTTATATAAAGTGGATCTCTCCGGGGTTGATGGACAGTCTGGCAGTCTGCAGAACAGACTGCACATCAGTGATATCTCCACCCCTACAGACAAACACGAACAGTTGTTTCAAGAGAGCTTGAATCCAAAACAAAATTGGTGTATTTTCTCTTTTTTCCAACAGTTTGGCTTAGTCCCAAGATCCCAAAGTGATATTTTCACATGAGGAGCTTGTCTAGTTTGTATAAAACTTCTGTCAGAAAACAGAAGTATTGAGATTAAGCTTGTACCTCTTTCTTGTTAGTGCTTGTCATTCTGGGCAACTATAAACCTGTTATCCATTGGCAACTACACTTGAACATTTCATACAGCATACCCTCCTCTCTTTCCACAAGATTTTTGAACTTGGCTGCAAGGATTTTGCTGACACTCAGCCACAAGGGCATTAGCAAGGGTGTCCCATGATGCTGAGCGATAAGGCGTAGCTCGCAGTTGGTGTTACAGCTCATACCAAAGATGAGGTCAGAGCTCTCTGCTGGCCAGTATGAGCTCTTCCACACCAAACTGAGAAAACTATTTCTTTATGGACGTCACTTTGTGCACAGGGGCCGCTATCATCTTAAAACCTTCCCCAAACTGCTGCCACAAAGTTGGAAGCCCACCATTGTCTAAAATGTCATTGTATGCTGTAGCCATAGAATTGTTTTACCTAGAACTAAGGTGTTCAGACATATATACAAACACACACATATATATATATATATATACCGCTATCCAGTGTTTTGGTATCTGATGGGATCTACTACTCAAACCGGACTGTCATCGGTTGGTGGCTGTTTTCTGCTGCTAAGGGATTTAAAAACTACCCCAGAACACATACTTTTGGGCATATGGTGCATTTCACAAATTGTTTAACTTCATTTTTGCTTGTGGCTTTGTGGCTTTAATAACCTCCACCCAGAGATAAACAGTACATGATCAACAGAACACATTACTCACAGCCTGCCTCTGTTTGCCAGTGTTTAAATGGTATCAGCGTCGATCCCTGCTCAATCCATTTTCAAACAGTAAGTTTAAATGTTGCCAAATGCTTCACTCCAGACAGCATTAAAAAAAAACACATGCAAACACACAACAGTAACAGACAGGATGTTATTTCAAAAATGTTAGGCTAAAGTTTCTGCAGATTTGAAAGCAAGTCACACACTGTAACTTTTTACACACAATCACGAATGTTCATATACTGCAAATGAATATGTGCTTGAGGTTAAGTTCAACCTGATATAATGTGATTAAGTGTATATTTAAGCTTATATATATACTCACACAAGCCTGCAGCCACAGAAGGGTGGGTTGACTTCAACAAAGAGGTCAATTAAACCACCCCCTCCCTATTTTAAAAGTTAAAACATAATGGTTAATGTATGATTAATAAAATCATTCAGCAAATATCAAAGGGGTCAAGCTTGTTATGCACAACAAAAGCTGATTTGGGGGAGTGACAACAAAGGTTTAGAATAGAGATGAGCAGGTGAGCAGGTCAGAAAGGCAGCCTGACCCAGTTTTATTTGAGAGATTTCAGCACAAAATCTGCATCAGTCTCAGCTACAACTGCCACTGAGAGCTTGTAAGAAGCCACCCAGGACAGAGAGGAAACTACCTAACTTGCAGCACATTATTTGAGATTTGTTATTTGCCTCCAGCTCTCTCTGCTCTACAGACGAGCCACACTGCCTGCATCTCCCCAACCATTCTCTCCTCCAAGTCTGGCATCTAGCCATCTACTTTTATCTTTTTCAAAGAACTGCAAAGACAAGGAGTGAAAGCTGCCTTTTTCTTTGCCACCTCCATTCTAACATCATAAAGTAAAAAACAAAAGTGCATTTGGTCTTTGATTTCTCTGGCGGGGGGAGTTTCGAGATGACTAAATTCAAGCAAGAAATCAGGGAGATTAAGTTTTTCTTGTGCACAAAGAACCAAGAAACAGCTGAAAAGCCTTAAAATGGCTGCACCTCTCCAATTAAGCAATCTACAGGTGTAATGAGGGCTGCAATTAATGATTATTGTCACTATTGATAAATCCATCAATTTTTTTATCTTTTGATTGGGAGCTTGGGACGGGCAGTTTTTAGACTAAACCATTATTTGATCAGAGTCCCAGGAGATGTCTTCAGAAAGCTTGTTTTGTACAATCATATAATACTGAGTTAAAATCTGTTAAAAAAAAATAATAAAAAAATATGTAACCTGCAAATGATTCACATTTTTAGCTTATGAATGATTACATGTTTATCAAATGTTCAAATCAAATGAAGACAAGCAGGAAAAATGAACACCTCTGCAGCTTGAACTCTCGTCTCATTTCATGTCCTCCTTGTTACCTGCTCAGGAAATAAAGTGCATGTGTCACTTTGGCAGTAATGAGCTGGATTCATTGCCGCTCTTGTCTGTGTTTCTATGTTTGTTGTGTGTTTGTGTGTATGCGTTTTGTGTCTGAAGATGGAGGCTCCCCTGCTGTGAGTGTATCCAAATGCAGTAGGATTAATTGGTGTTTGCTTTCTTATCTTGGCCCAACAGCTGTTCCAGAAACTGAAGAATCTGATGAGGCCTTATTCTGTAGAGTTTGAGTCGCCGCTGGAGCTGTCAGCGCAGGGTGGGTCTGAACAAACACACGAACACACCCAAACATGCAGCTCACATGGATGCATGCATGCAAATATGTTCATCGTGTTTCTGTTATTTGCTCTCTCTCCTCCTTATCCTTCCTGTTGGTGTTTTGATGCTGAATATCTGATATTTTTTAATGCAACTGATCCAAATCATATAGGCGCCACACTCCAGTTTGTACACAACAACCACCACACAGGAGAAAGCAGTCTTGTTACTTTGCACTTTCTTGAGACCCACTGTCCTCCTCCCTAGCTTCAGGTGGGAGTAGGGACATACAGTACTGTCTATTCAGTCAGTATTACAAAAGGCTGTTCTCAGTTCCGGGAACAACTGGAAACTCGTCTGTTACACCCAGATCCAGACTTCCTCTTCTTTAGCTCTTCACTATGATTAAAAGCTTTCCAAAGAGACATGTTCTCCCCTCCTGTGGTCTTGGTGAACCAATAAGTACTGAACACCTCCAGGTACCACTTTATCGGAGGCCCTAATCTCTGCACCACCAGTGATTTACAATGTGCACATAACAACAAAAGAAAGGGAAAATCTATTTCACAAATTTTTGGTCCCCTACAAATCAACCCTGTCTCCTAGAAGTTAATGTTAATACTACTATTCTTCAACAGTAAATGTGTTTGGAGGCTAACATATGCCACCTAAACTACATTTTTCATCAACATAATCAAGAAATGCTGTTAAACATATCTGTTGCAAAATGTTGATATAGTTCATTCAAGTCTTGCAATACAAATTCCGTAGCAACTAAAGCATGATGAATGTTTTTTCATGGTTATGTCTAAGCACTCACAGCTCTAGATCGTGGACAGTCGGCAGTCCCGATGTGTAAAACCATCCCCACCTTAAAAAAGTGTGTAAGATTTAGGGGCCTTCATTTACAGAAGATGTTACCTTTGAATTAGCCTTTTATATCAACAGACGTCACAGGTCCTCTTCCATGGAGTCTGCCATGTTGAACTGACATGTTTCTGCTACAGCAACCCACAACGGACAAATCAAACACTGGCTCTTCATGGGGCCTTTCATGTTGTTCGCAGCCGCTGTAGTTTCTCCTTTTGCACTTGGTTGAGTCAAGGGTTTTCAGTTGGTTGCAATCTACAAACTCAGTGCTATTTTGCCAATAAATCCTACACACTGTTTTGTTAACTGGACTGCCTTCGTTGGCTAAACCTAACCACCAGGACTCAGGAGGCTAACGCTACTCTCCCTGTTCATCCACACAGAACAGAATCCATGCAGCTCTTTTGGCAATACAAATTATATATAGAATTGCTTTACAGGACAGTGAGGAGCAAAAGTAAATTAATGAATTTCAAAAACATGCACACACACAAGTACAAACATGCATATATCTTACTCTAAACCTCAGACAATAGTATATTGTTTTCATATTAAGTGTTGCAACATGTTTTTGTTTGCTGATATAGTAATGGAAACAGAAAATCTTTTCCATATATTGTTCTTGGATAACAAAGTGATTCTGCTTCCTTGATGCGTGATTCAAACTTTTCTTGTCTCATTTACCTAATCAAGGCAAAGAGATGATTGAGATGTACTTCGACTTCCGCCTCTACCGACTTTGGAAGACACGCCAGCACTCCAAACTCTTGGACTATGAGGATTTTTTGTGACGAAGACACCTGGACAACTGGTGCAGCGGAGCCCTCCGGCCCCACGACGAGAGACCTGATAAAACCGATCCAATGACTGAACAATGCTCAACTGTAGTGCTCGACCCGCCAACTTAATAATAACAATCATTCCTGCTTTCATCCGGGAGAGGAGAAAGAGGCATGGCGGGATAAGGAGGCTGAGGACAAACAAAAACATGCTGTGCCTCGGCTCCGCCTCAATTTCAGAGTGAGGATCAAAGACGAACAAAAAGGGCCAAAAAAATACGCATAAAATAAAAAACTGGAGGAAAAAGCAGAGACAACTGGACTATACACATCTTAGTCACCAACTCTCTTTGCCTCCTGAGTTTGAAAGCAAAAAGGAAAATCTAAAATTGTGTAAAAAATAAATATCATCTTAGTCACACCTCTGTTGTAAGGACAAACTTCTTGAAGCTGATGTGCTTCGGAAAAAAGAAAAATTGCTGAAACTCATTCCGTCATAACGTGGTTCTGTGTTTTGACTGGACCTCTCAGATGATCCCAGAACCTGGAGACGTACATACATAAATAACCCATATGTCGATGTGTGTGTATATATATCACATGAATATATTAGCATAGCTTTAGTCATGCAAATAATACTCCATATGAGAATAATAATGCATCATTTATTTTTGATGTGCATTGTTGTGCAGTTTCATATGGAAATACTTTGGAATAACTCAGGTTTTAGCCATGAAGTAATTAATCTGTTTGTCTATTCTATCAAGATATTGTAATCTTCATCTCCATTGCTTGGAATGAATGTATTATCTCTCTAGAAATGTATTTTCAGTTTGAGGAATTGAGCTTCATGTTTTGGTAAAAAACAAAACAAAAAAAACAATGGATAATATGCTGATTTCTGTGTGTGAGCGTGTGCGTCTGGATGTGTTTTCCATGTAGAAAAAAGAAAACGTGCAGATGAGTTGTGCGTATTTTTCTCTCTCTGCTTCTGTTAAAGCAAAAGTAATTGTTTAACACCTTCATCCCCCAATTTCTGTCACAAACACACAAAGACATTGTAGTATGATTCATGATGTCAAGAGGGATGTAACAGCCATCCAAGTGCTCCTAGCCCTGTAGTGTAGGAGTTGCCCTATTGATCCCTCCTGCTCCTTCGCAGAAGGTTCAGGCCACTTAGTCAGCCCCTGTCAACAGTGCCAGCTGCTCTCACTATCTGCCAAACACTCTTGGCTTCTCTTAATGGCAGCCAAACGAGCTTCCGCCACCTCTCACTTCACTGGGCTGTGATCCAGTCTGAGGACCGGAGTTCTCCGAATTAAACAGAACTGCCAGGAGTTTAAGCTGTTAACAGACATCTGCTGCCCCTGTCAGCTAGTTAAAAGGCCAGAAATATGCACTGAGTGTGTGTCTGAGATGGTCACACTATGACCTGAGATGTCTCAAATAGATTAGGGATGGTTAAATGTGGAGAGCAGCAGCCGAACAGCAATCTGAAACAATGTGCAAGCGCTCACTCGCACACACACACGCGTAAACAAAACCCTAGGGCTAGGACGAAAACTTCAAGAAATCAATAAATCAGGAGAAAATTAAAAAAGTAACTGTCCACAGATTTTAAAAAATGAGGTTCAGTTACCTTGACATGATGAGTACTACTAGCCTGTGGAAACATTTATATGACCCCATTTGTCCCTAGAGGAGCAAAGGGTTTAAGTCAAGGAAGTCCTCTGTCGGGGAAATTTCTTAAGTTGGCGTTTTTATCAGGGTTATCTCAGCTTCAGCTTGAGACTTCAAACTTATTACAGGAAGCAATGCATCACAAACTGTGCAGAAAGGTGTGGGAGTTTACCTGGCAGGGGAGGTCTAATGAAAGACACACTAGTTGAATTATGGGAAGTGTAGGATTCAGGGTTTGGGGGGCTTGACTAGCTACTACAGACTTAAAGTCAGGATATCTAAGCACTCATAAGCCCCCAAACTTTACGGAAATGCCATACTAAAATCACTTAGAACCCTATCTTTTTCCATTTATATTCAACAGAATGGTCATTAAATTTTGCCTTATGTAATCACATCTAAACTGGTGATACTCCAAAAGCACATAAAATCTCCAATACTCTAGCCTCAGCTTACCATTTCATTTCTCAGGTTGACATGCTCCTGCTAAAAGGCTCCGATGTAGGCAGACATGCGTATATATGCGTCAACCTTAGAAATAAGCTGAGGCCGGAGTATTCAGCTTTTGTGCTTCTAGATTGCTGTTATGAAAGTCTTTGTGTCCGCACTTTTCAAAATGCTGCCACATTTCAGGCGTGATTTTATGACTGTGGCAACAATCCAAGGAGACATTGCTAAGTCACGCTACAGCTCGCTGCTCCGCCAATCACAGCAGTGTCCCACAATGACATCAGCCCCTGAATGTCAGCAAAACATTGCTGTAGAGCAACACGGCTAAGTGTGCTTTAAACCCAGTCAGTGAATGTTCGCATAGGCTGTAGGCGTGCAGAAAGTTTACACAGTGCATATTTATTTAATAGATGTCGGTGGTCCCAGCCCTGCATAACACATGCACACCCAGGCATACACACAGACAACGGTATTCTGCATCTGTGTATGGTAAAACACTTTTCCATTTGTCATTATTTGTGTGGATGTGTTAATATTTGAAGCATTATGTGCAGACTTTTTTGTGTTAAAGTCAACCAGTCTCACTGGAGTGCTCTCTAGCTCTCTACTAGCAGAACTCTGGTTTATTTTTTATTTGCTTTTGCCCTCTCTCTGACATTGCAGTGCAGGCCTACAGTTTGTCTGGCACAGACAAGTGCTCTCTCAGCCTGAGTCACGCAGTACATGTTTTCACTTCAGATTTAAAATTCAACAGTTACACGACCTGTCATATCATTAAACCATTTTAATTCCAGCCGAAGCATTAAGCTGCCAAATTATCAAAGATGTTGCCCTCAACAGCTGCTGGGTTTAATGGAATATTTTTTTCTTTCAGATTCGATACATGGACACTGGTTAATTTAAAGCAAAGCAGCAATGTGATGGATTCAGTCAATTCATAAAGCATTTTTCTTATGCCATAGAAAACACTGACAATAATCTCATTTCCAGTCTATAAAGAAGTTACTGATAATTAATCTTCTGTTTGAATTTACTGGGCTGAACTGACTATACCGTGAAGAGCACTCTGACTCAGGAGTTTGAGAGAGCTTTCTTGTTTTCTTCTTCAGCAAAAAAACCCCATCATTTCACCGGAAATCTAATTAAAGATGCAAACATGTCTATTTGTCTCTCTCAGTCTGTGTTGTATTATTTGAATCTTCGTTTCATTTCACATTTTGGGAAAATCAACACAAAAAAAGAGCAGCAGAATTTTTTCTTCCCTTTATCACAGCAGCTTTGGAAAAGAGCAGAGCATGTACAGCAAGCTCTCTGGAATCTGACCTTTTGTTCAATTAAAATATGTGTAAAACAAACTTAAGCTTAAAGGCACAGGAGACAGAGATATGGCAGTTTGATAGGACTGCAGAGAAAGAAATGTTTCTGTTTCAGTTATCCAAAAGACCACACATGAAACTCAGCTATCATTCCTTCATCACTATCATTATGTGACTGAACACCGTTCTGCCCTCCAGGACCCTTCATTTCAAACATCAGAGTGGTGCAGTCATTTTGGCTGTCACAACCTAATAAAACCAGCCTAACCAGACTACTACCACACATGCATATTTCCATTCAGGATGTGCCGTGTACAAAGTACTGCATTACAACACCTATTTTAAGCTTTAGAGAACTTCTTAATGAAGCACCCTGATCAAACTGCTCTTGCTCCAGCTGCTCCAGCTGCTCCAGTCCAATTGAAAATGGCATGAATATTTGTTTGCCACAGCAAGGTTGTACAAAAAAACCTGACTGGATGCACTTGTGTGTTAAGAAATATGCTTAAATTTAACAGAATTTTACCCTGTGTTCAGTAAAAGGGGTCAATACACCAATTAAAGTTTATGAAAGTGAACTATACAGTTTATACTCAGACTAACCTCTACCAAGAGTCTTTCTTTACTGTAGTCTGATGCATCCAAAGTCGTAACAGGATAGAGAGGCTAATTTGAAATGAAGAGGAGACACACACACACTCTCTCTCTCTCTCTCTCTCTCTCTCTCTCTCTCTCTCTCTCTCCCAACACACACACACACACACACACACACACACACACACACACACACACACAGCAAGGTGGCAAAATGGAAGCAGGTGGCAGTCACGCACTAAGTGTGATATAATCACTGAGCCTAAATGTTTTAATGGGCACATCTGATTGTGTATGAACCATTTTTTCAGGTAGAATTTAAAAGACGGATGTGAGTCCAATTCCCTAATGTGAGCTGGAATGGTGTTCCATTCTTGTTTAACACACAGGTTCTTTCTGTATGGAATTAAACTCTCAATTCAGCCTTAGTGCCAGAAATGAATTGAAAGCACAGGGAGAAACAGCAACTACGCATATTTTTGTATTATTTTGTCTTAGTATGCAAAAATGCAGATAAGACAGCCTTGATACTCAAAAAGTAGTTTTAAGTTGCCTTATCTCCCTGTCACAGAAATGCCTTGATCCCTAATCTCCATGCACTTGCCTTTCATGAACTCTGCCTTGCGTGCCCTGCTTTTCCACCTCCATCTCCCTTTTTTCTTTTCTCCACTTGAATTCCAATGGCGAAATAGCATCGAGTTTGATATGCTAAACAGAGTTTGCAAACATCATGGATATTCTGCTAATATTCAACTGCAATCCATTTTCACAGTCTAAGGACTGTCCTGATTGTCTTGAGACTTTACGTCCACTCCTTTCCCTACGCCAACATCTGTTTTTACAGACTTCCCATTCACCTGTCTGGTATGTGGCAGACCCAAACATGACAGACTTTCTGACAGAGAAAAAATGCATACCATGTGTGTAAAGAGAAGAATAAAACATTACGTTAACAGAGACAGCTTATGGATGCAAGAATCCCACAGTCGGAGGAGTACTTAAAGATGCTCTTATCTTAAGCTGTTCTTTCAAGGTCAAACAGCATCTCTGCATTGCACCTCCTGAGGCTACAAACTACAGAGTGCATGAAAAGGCCGCATCTGGTTTAACATGAATGAATATGGTACTAGGACACATCTGGTACTAGGCTGTTTTTAAATTGAGTCATAAAATTGGTATTTGTATCTCTAACCTGTCTGAATTGAATTAGATTGTTTTTTGATTAGTTAGTTACCTTATATTTTGTATCACTGTTATCTACAGAGCATAAAAGTTTTCAATCTAATTACGAAATACACTAACACTGTACTGTTACTGCATTATGTCTACACCACTCATTGCTACAATAGAACATATTAACCTTTACAGCAAAAACTTGTAAATCAGTAGCCTGAAACTAAATAAAATGTGCAGCTAATGAAGTGCTATTCACACTTGGGGCAATCAGGAGTCCTGGTGGGGGGTTACTGACAAGTAGAAGAAGGAAAAAGGGAAATTTCATGGAACTGAACAGCTGATATTTTGTATCTAGGCTCTGACCTACTCACTCTGACAAGCATAGATCGAGCTGTGCTGAGCTGGGAGGGTTGTAATAAACTTCCTCCACAAAAGACACAAAGTCTGACACCAGCTATTATGTCGACTCTACTATATTTGGGATTCAGCTGCTGTATGGCCAAAACCAAGTTAACTTCCCCTATACCATTCACCACCAATGCATTTTTAGCCACAGGGATTTAGATGCATAAATCTTAACAAAGCAATCTACCTAATATGCAGCGGCAGACTAGACTAAGACAAATCAGATATGCAGCAGCTAATTGTTCAGGTAAACAAATTCAATTCTCAAAATAAAATCCTGGCTTGAAGCAGATGATCTCTTACGTGGTGTAGTAGTGCGATAAGCATGAGATGACCATCAGGAGTGGGAATTAAGAGTGGATTGAGCACCTATAGCCTATGTGTGACAATGGCCATGTTGCGTTTCCCATTAAGCCTTATTGCAGAGAAATAATGTAAATGGGATGTGTACCAGATCCTCTAAATCAAAAGGCAATAAGCAAGGCTGACATTAAACCCATTCAGCAAGTAACACTAAGTAACACTCAAACAATAATTAAACTCAAACATGAATATTAAAATGTGTTCACAATGTAAATTAGCAACATGAAAGTGTCAGATTCCAGACAACAACCATAACAAAAAATTCAGCCATTCCTCATCAATTATAAACAAAGATCTAGATAAACTCTTATAAAATTACAACGATAATAAAAAGTCATAGTTATTTGCAATTTGGATTTTTAGTGCAAGAATATTTATATAATACATCTTTTTATGAATTTGTTCTATTGAGACATTTGTCTTTATTGTAAAATGTTATGAGTTTTAATTTATTGGGGTTTTTTTTGTTTGTTTTAGTGGTACTGTAAGGTGCTCACTGTCAGCAGGAGACTTCATAGCAGTGTTGTTACAGCTACTGTTCTGATTGCACCAAAAAAGGTAACTTTTTTCAACTTAGATTTTATTCATATGGTGGTGTGTTCTTTATACTACAACATTTGCCCTAAAATTAGATTTTTCATTAGCTCAGAATATATCGCCTAGCTTACAGTATAGCAATATATCATAATACATTGAATCGTAACCTCTGTTTCGTGATGCATATTGTGTCACCAGATTCTTGCCAATACACAGTGCTAGTGTTTTCTGCATCTGATTCAGACCCATTATGGGGATAAGGAAAGTGAATCTCATGTGTCTCCATTTCTAGATGTGCTGACTCTATCTATGCACGCCTTGTCAACAGGACTATGGTATCAGGGGATTGTTGCAACACAGATCTTTTCTCTTGAAACACAGGAAGTAATTTACCGGCACACTGCTGCTTACTGTACTAGCCGTATACCTGGTATTAGCTGCAGTCCTATTAGCTCACTCTACCAAGACTGGGAGCTCATGTACCGGGGGAGTGTTGTTGTGTTTGTTTTCACCGCCAGCACAGGAACCTGCAGGTCTCTGGGCAAGATAATAAGATGTGTGCACAAAATATCACCTTAAGGGACTTTATAGGCTCCATAATCTCCAAATCTTGATATCCTATAGAAATATTAAATTTTAAAAAATACAGGCTCAGACACAATGGCTCATTGCAGAGGGGGCGAAGACCTGTAGTGGAACTTTATGCAAACTATAGGCTGGAAGGGCGGAACAGAGATGCGTGCTATTTCACCACAATGGACTGTGCCATGAATTGATCGTTTAACAGCGGTCTGCTTATATTTAAAAGCATCACAACTTCTGGTCGGCTATTTTAGAACCATGATCAGATATATGGATAAAAAAGTAAGACTGACTAAACTAGCCAGCATCCAGCATCTGACATTTAGTGATTGTGGATGCCCATACAGCCAACACAGTACAGACACATAGTTATAACACACACAACAGCAAATTCAGCTACCAGTCTGCAAGCAGTGTCTGTCCTGCCATTAGACTTCTACAATAACCAAACAGATACAGGGGTCAACAACAAAAGCAGCAACAAACACCCAGCATCTATGACAAGGCTGTTATATAACACACAAACTGAATATGAAATAACACAGTGATGTTTTCATCCAGCAGCTGTAAGTTGGAATCCAGTCCAGCAACAATGGCTCCTTGCTAACATTTTCACCTGTTTGGCTGTAGAGCTAACAGGACTCTGTCAGACAGGGAGGGGTTGAGTTGTCAAGTGAGAACAAGTTTATGAGGAAACACATGAGGCCACAAGATTCTCCCTCTGCTCTCTGGACATGTTAATTGTTTACATAAAAAACAGTGAGGTAAACATCATGCACAGCAGACAGAAGCTGCAAGCTTTTAAAACTCCCGGTGTTGCACCTGGCGGGGGCCCCATTAAGGGGGTACTGAGGGAGAGGAATCAGCGACAGTACAAACAGGCCACAGTGCCCCTGCTGGAGCTGGCTGCTGCATACTGTCGAGAAACCCTTGGCAGTCAGTGAGGGCTCGTCTCTGCAGAAGATAGACTGATCTGAGTTTGTCCACAAACAAAATTTATTTTAACATTCAATTAAGCAATAAAAATGCATGTTCGGTCAGGAAGACTGGGCCCCTTTGTAACTGTAGAGAACCGTGAGTCCCCTGCTTGTATCATTAAACTGTAAAGGAAACAAAGACTTGGTGCATCACATTGTTCATTTCTCTTCAGTAGCTACTTACAGACCAAGATTCTCTCAGCAAAAAATTATCTTTAATCTTTTTTTATGACTGATGTCCAGAGTTGTTTCTCATTTTTTAGGCCATAGCATAATTCACTTTGTCCTTTCATGTTTCCAAGTGCCGCATTGGCAGCAAGTTAATTCAGTCTCGCTCTGCTACTAATTGAAAGGTTATTTTATTCTTTATTCTGCTTTTTTTACTCCTTAAAGTTTTGATGTTGTGATCTTTCTCTTTGAAAGCCAGAGACTGCAGTCAGCTTTAATTGAGCAAACAGTTACAGTGTAGTGATGAAGGGCAAATGGGGAGCTAATGGAAGAAAGGGGTACCACTGAACTAAAACATCTCACCTGCAGAAGTAGGTTTGTGCGGTGCAGTGTGCAGTTTTACAGAATGCTGAGCAAGCCCTTTGTTGTGTTGTTTGAGTATGTCTTTGCTCTTTTCTTACCACTGGCAGCCTTCAGGTAAACAATTAACTGAGCATGAGGAATGAAAGCTCAGATTCTGTCACAATCAGCACTTCTCATGTGCTGATGTGGGTTTTTAAGCTCCCTCATGTTCCCCAGCAGGGGGCACAACACCACAGTTCAAGATCTGAAGCAGCATCTGAACTGCGTTTACACTGGGTCTTATATGATGTACATCACATTGTTCTGCAGGGAGGATCATTTGTGATGGGCTTCAGCCTGAGGAGATGCACCCTTTGGATTATTTTTACACTGATGTGTTGATGGTCATGTTTGTATGTAGAACAGCTTATGTTTTTTTTTTTGTTTTTTTTAAAGCTGTTTTATAGTTCTCCACACTTTAAATGAGATTTCTGACTCACTGATTCCGTGTACACACATCAGGCAGCAGATGCTTTTAAATCTTTTTAATAAACTGAAATTGATCTTGATTTTGCTCGTCCTAGTGGCTAAATGGTTTACACAAAATCCAGGTTTCAAGGCATCGTTGTATCCATCATGAATGACGAATGGCAAAATATATCACTTTATATGATGAACAAGGACTTATTTTTCTAGGATGGGCACTCAAAAAAAGGGGTGAGCTGAAGACCTTGGATGTCTGTGATTTTAAAAGAAATCAAATGAAACTGAAGCTGCTTAGATTTTACATTTTCACAAAACAAGAACCTTCAACAGATCAGTCCTCATCTGAAGTGGATGAATGTGAAGATTCCTTATCTATGGGTCAGCATCACTGAGGGAGATTTACTGTTGACTGCACATGGATCTCACATTGATCATGAAATGATTCCATGACAGATCTATTTGAGCATTTATCAGTGCCATTAGCAAACAATAAACCCTCTATTCAGTATATCTTATAAACACTTGTTTTCCATTATTTTGTCAGATGGATATCACACTTAAATTGTATATGTATCTCTTATTCCTCATAAAGTTACTTATGAGACAGCTTCTGGTCACAACAGCACTGACAGGCAAAGAGATTACTTGGTAGGTTTACCTACTAGTTTTCAACACAAGCAATCTTAATTCTACATGAGGAGTCTAATATTTCCAGTAGGTCCAGTGTCTAGGATCAGCAGCGTAGTACACTAATGGCAAAGGCTAATCAGAGCATAAACTAATTCATTCTGGACCACATTGGACCTTTAAGTAGAGTATCTTTAGTCTTATTTTTGGTTGTTTGTGAAAATATTTGTCCAGAAAGAAATGACAAAAGGACCGGTGAAGGCCTGGCTGAGGGTGAAGCATGTTGACTACAGGATGGTGGACAATCTGGAGGCCTTCAGCTGGACAGTAGGGGGATTACTGTGTTCAGTGTGGGAGGGCGGAGGTCTGGTTTTATCCTTCTACTTGTCTTGAATATTAAAAAAAGCCCCTCTCATCTCCTTTCTTAAACATTCTTCTAGCTTTTTATAAACAAAATCAAGCTCATCAAAAGCTTTAGGCCTATTAAAACATATTGAGGAAGCAGGCTTGTGCAGCACCATAGACTGTGACTGTGGGACTGACGTTTTTTTTTCATTGTGTGGTGGGAATTTTCCTGTAAAAATATTTGGTCAGCTCAGCCTGTCAATGCAAAGGTATTGCAACATTTTCTGTATGACCACTTGAACTTATCGCTTCCTCTCTCTCTCTCTTCTGAGCTCACAATTTTTATCCTCTCTCTCTCTCTCTCTCTCTCTCTCTCTCTCTCTCTCTCTCTCTCTCTCCTGGGAAGCAAACCAAAGAGTGTAACAAGGTGAATGATGTGCTTCTGGTTATCTGAGTGTGGGTGTGTTTGCACTTCCTCCAGCCAGCACCAGGTGATATGGGCTGGTAGGGAAGGTCACCGCTGTGACATCACTTCCCCTTCCTCTCCAGATATTCCCAGAATTCAACTGCCAGCAGCCGGGAACTCTGAAAACTAAGAGCAGGAAGCGTGGCTAGCCAGCCAACATGAGAGAGAGAGAGAGAGAGAGAGAGAGAGAGAGAGAGAGAGAGAGAGAGAGAGAGAGAGTGTAGTGGTGATTTTGCAGCACTGTCAGACTAATTTGCTGTAAAAAACAAACGAACATAAGCAGCGAGGAGAGAGTTAAATTGGAAGTACAGAGGCTAATGACACAGGAATGAGGAAGGTGCTGTTGTGTACTGTTTGTGTCTTTTACTGTTTGTGTGTGTGTGTATGTATCTGATTGAGATTATGTGAAATACATGTGAATCACCTGTAAATAGAGCGATATCGCCCCCTCCTGGTTATGCCCAGTCAATAAAAAACAGTGGATATGTATGAGGCGTTATGTGTTTATATGTGTTTTGCTGAGATTGGCTTTAATTCTTCATTGTTTGGGGTCCCACACAGCCCAATATTGTAGAATCTATGAATGTGCAAATTGTGTTCATTTCTAAAGCGTTCCTGTTGGACACAAGATATTTTTGAGTGGAGGGGGACTTGCATGTATACAAAAACAGTGCATGTATTGGTCTCCAAATCTTGCTTTCCTATAGAAAAAAAAAAAGTTTGTTCTCACTTTATATAGCATAATTCACATATTGTGATCTTTCTCTTTGGAAGCCAGAGACTGCAGTCAGCTATAATTGAGCAAACTACGGTTACAGTGTAGTGATGAAGGGAAAACAGGGAGGTAATGGAAGAAAGGGGTACCACTGAACTAAAACATGTCACCTGCAGAAGTAGGTTTGTGCGGTGCAGTGTGCAGTTTTACAGAATGCTGAGCAAGCCCTTTGTTGTGTTGTTTGAGTGTGTTTTTGCTCTTTTCTTACCACTGGCAGCCTTCAGGTAAACAATTAACTGAGCATGAAGAATGAAAGCTCAGATTCTGCCACAATCAGCACTTCTCATGTGCTGATGTGGGTTTATAGGCTCCCTTATGTTCCCGAGCAGGGGGCTCAACACGACAGTTCAAGACACAACAGCCTGAAACGGCCTCTGAACTGTGTTTACACTGGGTCTTATATGATGTGCATCACATTGTTGTTCTGCAGGGAGGATAATTTGTGTTCGCCTTCAACCCCAGCAATGCACAGAACAGCTGATGTTTTTGTTTTTTTTTAAAGCTCAATCTTTGTTTTATAGTTCCCCACACTTAAACTTAACAGCAGTTCATTTTGAAATTGCATTCACATTCGACTGCGATGCACATAAATAATACTGTCCTGTATTTTTCTGGTATAACATTTAAGTTCTGGTGTATCTGATTCATATTAACTTGATATTCATGTAATATTCTCTTTTGTGTTCATTGATAAGTAAATTAACAAGAAGACACACAAACAAGACATTAACAAAGGATAGGGGGGGAAAAGGATAGAAATACAGATAAGCTTAAGTAATTAAGTCATTAACAGGTGGTACCTGAGTACATTTTTTAATAGTGAGGTGTACGTGTGTGTGGGGTGTGTGTGTGTGTGTGTGTGTGTGTAAGGATAAGAGAGATGTTTTTTTAAAATGGCCAGATGAATTGCAATGCTATGAAATTAGCACAAGGGGTCAGTGTCACACTGTTTTTCCTTCAAAGAAAAATCGAAGAGAGAAATCCATCCCTTCAGCCAAAGTCTGACTCATTTAGCTCAAACTCTTTTCTTTCTTGCACATAATTTGTTTTTTTTTCTAGTCTGGGTTTGCTTGAAGTCAGCAAATTAGAGGAACTACAGCTTAAATCATTTACTTCTGTATTTAAATGCTGATGTTTCCTCTGGTGTAAATAAATATTTCATTAACAAGCAACATCAAAAGATGCACTGAGCACATAAAATACTGTCGGCCTAAATAATGAGTCAATACATATAAATGTTTCAAACTAATTAGGAAAAACATATTAAAAAATGAATTAACTTTATGTGCATTCAATTTAGAGCACTTAGACAAATATGGCAGATGTGTAAAATGTACTGATAACGTGATATTTAGGCTTTTAAGAGCTACAGCTTCAGAAATGTTACAGTACACAGCACACACTAATGCACTATTTCTGGAACTGAAGACATTCAGAGCAAAATCAGTACAGAAAGGCAATAATATTTTTATTCAAATGATGAACAAGATACAGTATGTATAGAATAATTCATTTAAAGGTCCCATTTTGTTGTTAAGGACCTCTCATGCTATGACAATACAGCGCTATGTGTTCAGTATGTTGGCATGCATTTAGGGGAAAAGAGCCCCCAAAGCTCTTAATGGTATAAGTTTACACTACTGAATGCAAAATCATGTGAACAATAACAGTTAATCACATAGCCTGGCTCTTCTGACAAGAATGGGCAAAGACTGCACTGAAACAAAGTACAGATATAAATATTGTATGTATAAAATATTTATCTTACAGCTTTTCTGTGGCTTGCACCGTCACCCTGCGTTCGAACCCAAAATGTCCTTCAGTTCAACCTTGTTGGTCATGGAGGGCAAAATATTCAAACCAAGGGGGAAGTAACTTTCTTATTTTGCTCAAGGTAAAATATTATCTTAGATAACAATAGTCTATAGCAACTTACAGTGAGACAGAATGCAAAATCTCTGATAAGTTTGTGTTAAAGCATGTTTAAATGAGGTGACATTTCACAATGTGACATAAATTGAGATTTTTATGCAATTAATTCTCTGACTAAATCGTGGGCATTAAAAAATTATTGGCTAACATTGAGAAAAAAAAATCTGTCAAAAGTACAGTCCAATAATGTTATGAAACTCTAAAGCCAGAGTGCCTATCTCAGTTTGCAGCACTCAACAGTGGAGAGCACAACTTAATTACATATTTCTGGATAAAACATCGGGTAAGACAAAATTAATTAAATAAATGAACCACATACAGCCCTCCTTATCCATCCACTGAGCCTGTACGTGACAATCTGCCAGGGTGTACCATCGCACCATACAGAGAAAGACACATTGTATGCATAGTACTAGTTTTAAAAACAGACATACAGTGCAGAGTGACATGCAAGTAGTAAGTAAAAATAAAAATATCTAAAAGTCCCTTTCTTATACATTCAACACTTAAGTGCTGAAGTAATTAGTGTGTGGAAGCATTAAATGTTATAATTCATATTTTGTCAATATTCTATGTGAGAGACACGCCAAGTGACGTTATCTAAACTAACATATTGGAGAAGATGAAGGACACAAATGTAAGGTAAACAAAAGGAACACAAGTGGAAAAATGTAAATTTACTGCTTTGGGATTATCTAAAATAAAACATCACTTAATAAAGTACTTTATAATTATTTTTGAAATATTTGCAGAGTGGCGTACTCCTCCGACAAATGATGAAAACAGTTTTAAGTTCACCTCTACAGATATGTCATGCATAGATTTGTACAAATACAGCTGAACTATGCTTCCATCTCAAAACTTCCTTCGGCAGCCAGCTCTAATAGCGCAATAAAGAACAAATAGTTTAAAGGTTTGTTTTCGTTAAGTTACCGTAATATACGTTACAAAATTAGACATAATTGAAGTTTTACAAGTAGGAACATTCACAATTTCAACTTGAGGTTCAATAGTCATTAATTTCTGTTTTCAATCTACATACAAACCTTTACTTTGAGAAGTGAAACAAATACATGACACAGTCGAAACATGTGGAACTCAGCATCACAACACACAACCTTGTTTGTCCAAACAAATGGAGAAAATTGATTTGCAGATTAAACAATAAAAAACTATTTTTAACCATTGCAGACAATGGCTACAGAATATGCACCAACACATTCTGGTTTTCTTATATGCTCAAATATTTGGTAGATCGCTTCATTACTCGTGAAGGTAGTGATAATTGTTTTAATTGTTGCAGCTCTAAGAATTTGAAAATATATGACAAACACCTAAAAACCATCTCATTGCTCACATTAAAAAGATCCATCAGAAGAACTAGCTTTACAAAGGAGAAGAAAATCCCAATTTTTCTATGCTATTGTGTATGCAGTGGTGATGAATTAGGTTGTTTACAAAGCAATATATCAACTGCTTTTAAAGCTTTCTATTGACTGTAGTTGATGGGAGCATTAATATTAAAGAGCCAGTGATAAGACTAAAAAAAACGGTGTCAAACAAGTGTATCTATGAGCATGCAAATGCTTATAAATAGCTTATATATAGTGCTTGCATTGGAAAGTAAACACATGCATTCAATGAAGTAAACATTTTTTCACTCCCCTTTTTCATTTTGGGAAAACTGTACAGATTCTTCACTCTAAAATATGTTACAAAACTGGGCACTGCTACTCTGAAGCAAGCAGAGTGAACCAGACAATCATTGTCAAGAAGCCTGCTCTACTAAAGAGAATGTGGAGGTGATGGTGAAACAAACCGTCCCTCCCCATAAACCATCGCCTGTTCCAGTGCCCTGTGTACCTGAAAGCATCGTCAAGTAAATACAAGGAGAAAGTTGCTAAACTACAATAAAACACGAAACTGTACAGTAGAAGCCTGAGACAAAGCATGCTAGGACTATAAATGCATGCAGGATAAGAAGAGGAGAGTGGGTTGGGCAATAAGGGCTGAAGACAGGTTCAAGACTCCCATGTGACAGTCTCAAGTCCCACAACCCCAAACTGAGTGTTTTAACAGGAAGGAATGGAATAAAAGCAAAGTGCCTTAGATCCTCAATTTCTCCTGTTTTTGTTTGTTTTTTTTGCATCCAGCACATTTTTCCACCTCCCAGGAAATGTTCATAGGTGTAGGCTGCCTGTTATAAAACTGTAAGTAAAGGGGTGTCGTGCGGTGTGGTTGCAGGCAGGCAGGCAGACGCCAGCGTGCATAATAAACCCTCTGCATCAGGAAAGAGCCTCATCCTCTCCCACGTAGGGCAGGTCCATACTCCTCATGCCATCGCCACTCTCCTGTTTCCTAAGTAACACACCAGACACAGTATTAGTAGCACTGCTATAGGTCTGCTTTCAACCCTATATTGCTGAACAGAGAAAGGAATAGGCTACTTGTTATTTGTTACACAATGCCAGGAAGCCAGAATTAAGGACATCTCGCAAGCAATTGGGCAAGTTTTCAGACATTTTAGTCAAGCAAAGACACAAAGATGTATCAATTTTCAGGCATGTCCTTTGGATAAGTGTGGAGAGGGCTTCATGCAAAGGGATGGGTAACAACTAATCCAGATAAATGGATGCTCTGGGCTCATAATAAACTGAGTGTGGACAAAGTGCTACTTTTGACTGTGTCTGAGAGGCAAAGATTCAACTTTATTTTGGTATATATCGAAGTAAACATTTATAAGCGTGGCAATATTATATTTAGCTGCATGACACAAACAGTTCAATATATAATGCCAATCAAACATTATCATCACATATTACTGCCAAATTGTATCAACACCTGTCTGACACAGTGGCAATAAATAGATCATAATCCTTGCAATGTGTTCATAATACTTTGTCCATCTCCATAATATTGTGCGTTATTGCAGAGATCAAGTATCTAAACCACAGCTCTGGTCACTTGTCATGGCTTTGTGAATACAAAATAGTGTATTCAAGACAAAATATTTAAATCTAAATATTTTGAATAATGCAATAATAGTTATAATTTGTTATAAATTCAAATTGGATTTTCTGTACTACACACCTACATGCTTTGCCAAATGCACCCTTCAACATAAATTATAGAGTAAATCATCTTGCAGGTACTCTAGAGCACAACATTCCTGAAGATGGCTTGTCCAAACACCCTTAAACTAGCACAGGCTAGTTTACAAACTTGATAAACAGGAGTATTCGACCATTATAGCCATATTGAGAAATGCAGCTGTGTATGTCATGCTTAAGTATACTCTACCACTGAAACAGTACTAAAGCAGGGAAGAGTTGTCCTGAAGTTATTTACCTTCTTTGGTCACAATGAATGTAGCAGTACCTCATATTGCCTGCTCTGCCTTTCCTGCAGGGCAGGAGAAGGAAGAGAGAAATAATAAGAAGATACTAGACAAACTGCTAGTCAAACATTAGCAGGACCTAGTAGCGTTAAGTGAGAACTGCTCTAAGTACTTTGACTCCTAATGTTACTGCAAACCTTTGCTAGAGACAGAGCTTAGAGTGTGTAGTGTGTCTGTAAACAATCCTTACGTGAGCGTTTGCCCTGGAGCACACAAACTGCTGCGGTCCTCTTTACGGCCCCAATCAAAGGGGTTCCCAAAGGAGCGCTTCCTCAGCATAGTTCTCACCAGGATCTGAAAAAAGAATAATACAAGATTCAAACACTACGCTCAGCAGTGTGAATAAGAAAAACTTTAACTATAAACGATCTTCTTTTGTAAAACAAATGTGCGGTTATGGTAGCAGCAACATTTTGGAGGTCTGATGGATTTTATATTACTACATTTGAACTTCGTACAGGCAATGGCCAGGGCAGTACTTCAGTGCTAGTTCACGCAAAAAGCGTCTGCTTCAACTTAATCCCAGACGTTCATATACTTCACAGCACTTGGCGTCAACTACTGTAATTAATGAAAATAAAGTGCAAGGACTAAATGAGTCATACATCTGCTTGAGCACAAAGTGCAGAGAGGGCAATCATGTGGGTGGAAGTGGTGTAATGACTGTTTTGTAGGTGGTGCAATGTGACTGAAATATAGTTATAGAATTATATGTAAGAAATTGAAAAATATCTAATGAATAAATGCTTTTTAAGGAGAAAATTAATTGCTAATTTTCCTCTACATTTGTTACCATGTTTTTAGTATAATCTCCAGAGGTGACATCTGACATGTGACATGTCTCTCACAGTAGCTGAATTAAAAATAAACTGTACCCATTGGTGACATTTGATTTAATGACCCGAGAAGCAAAAACAAATTAGACTTCGGCGTGACTGTGATGTTCATCGGTGTGAGGAAGACATGTTCATAAACTCACCACTGTAGCCAGGCTGGGGATGTGTTTAACAGAGTTCTCCACCTCCTCCTCCGTTACCTCAATCAGCATACAGCAGTTATCATCCTCCAGAGGAAGAGGCTCAGCACCGTGCCTCGTCACCCACGGGTGCACCTGTACACAAACGTGAGGAGAACAAAGAATTTCTTTTTGTATTTCATTCTGACAAAGTGTCTTTGGAGGCAAATCTTATAGAACTGATGCAAGTGCAAAGACTTTATTACAGTTACCTTAATCTGTGGGATTGATATTCTAGTCTCTGGATTCTTGTCCAGCATTTTCAGCAACAAATCTTTGAGATCATCGGATATATCAGCACTGTTGAAACAGAAAGAATGAGTAATAAGTAATAAGGCAGATAATAAAACGACAACTGAGATGTGTAGTTCTACTATAACTTCAACAAACAGCCGAACTTACTGTTCAGGTAACTCCACAGGTTGAGTCCTGATTTTCTGATGAAGACTGAGGATGCGCTCATCCATAAATGGACACTGAATGAAAGAAAGGTTGTTTTCAATGGCAGACCAGCAGATAGTCATTAAGGATAAAATAATAGTACACAGTATTGCTGCACACACTCACCACTCCAAAGACGAAGCAATAAAGTGTCACTCCCATGGCCCAAACATCCAAAGCCTACAACATGATGATGATTTTATGTTATGAAATTGTTCCTTTAGTGTATGGTAGTTGAAATCCACCACTGTATGTAAAAATGTATTTGGTCCCAAGACAGAGATATGAAAGATATGAAAACTAGGACAGTAAATTTTATATGAATACTACGAATACTCGTTTTAAAACCAAAAAGCAAAGGTTCTTGCAATTCTAAAAAATCATCCCCAGAGGGCACTAGTTAGCTAACTGTTCCTTTACCTTTCCGGAGAAGTTCTTTCTGGTCTCAGAGAGCGTTTCAGGGGCAAGGAAAGCAGGTGTTCCCACTGTGCTGGTTAGGAGGGCATCAGCCCCCTCAAACTGATTACTGACTCCGAAGTCTGCTATCTTTATGTGTCCATCTTCTCCAACTAACAGGTTAGAGGGTTTAATATCTCTGTGGATGATCCTCTGGTAATGTACTGTTGAAATAGAAAAATTTATAGAAAATTATTACAACACCATATTTGAGGAATTATGCTTTATGACAAGAGTATTATTTTATATTGCAAACAAGTCTGAGTTGAGGTGGGTGAGGGGGGTGTGTTAAAATATTTTTTTTCACCTACTGAGTATTATAATTTTTAATTGTGAACAAATCAGTTGTTGGCTTGACAGGATAAAATAAAAAATGGCTTAGACCCCTTTGGAGGACTCTCTGGCACTATGGCAGTACACTTGACTAGACAGGAAGTGGGATAAAATATTCAGCAATAACAGCCATCAACTGAAAGGATTACACCCACAGTCCCTGCTTTAGATGTGTAAACAACAGATGTGTTGTATTTATCTGTTTGAAATGTATTTTTTTGAACCAAACTACCTGCACTGTGACTGATTACTTATAATAAGAAAGAATAAATAAAAAATGCTGCTTTAGTGACTCTACCGCAGAGCCCTCCCTCTCCTCCTTCAGTACTAGTCTCCTAGACGACACCTTGTGCTAGACCTCGTCTGCTGTGCTGAAATGCATTAAGAGCCACTGAAACGATGTGAAAGGAGTCTTGTGGGTGGCTGCAGTCAAGAAAAGTATAGACAAAGGACTTGTGTAAATGGCATGGAAGAACTGTAGGATGAGGGCAGATCTAAGATGGCGCCACGGACGGTTGCCTCGGTGTGTTGGTGCGCTTTGTTTTTTCTTGTTTTGTGTGTTAATTCAGTTTTCGGCTGTGATACCCGGGGCTCTTTCACTAGAGAAGAGCTCATGAACATCAGGGGAATAACTCCAGCTGTTCTGTTTCCCACTTTTCTTCTTTCTTCCGTGGAATTCTGTACAGTTTTCCTATCTTTTCTTATCTTTCTTATCTTTATTTATCAATATTTAAAAAAAAAAAAGTACTTTATTCTTTTGTGATTTTTGTGTGACTTGTATATTCTTGTGTGATTTATATATTTATCTTTTTATTTTTTTGTGTGATTGTATATTTTAAGCACCATTGCACCAAGACAAACTCCTTGTATGTATAAAAACCTACCTGGCAATAAATCTCATTCTGATTCTGATTCTTCTGATTCTGATCTAGACACAAAAGCGCTTCCTCTTGATACCAGGATTATAAAATATTATAGCAGCTGAATCAATATTGAATAGCTTCAAATCACAATTTATCATATGCGTAAAAAATCATTTGATAGCTCCATTCAGGGAGCGGACACCTTGTTTTGAACCGTTTGGAGCATTTCAACCAAAAATAAATTGTTTCAGAACGTAAAAAGTTGGTTGCCAGCTGGAACCAAAAAATAGCAGGTTTTCTTTGGGAACCAAAGTATGTGTGTCATATTATACAGGCTACTGTGCATTGTACAGCGCCCTCTGTTGATGAAGCATCCTTTATTGGTTCCACTCAAAACTGGTGGAAACACGGGCTTGTTTGCTAGATAGCACCAAGGTTCCAAGAATCCTGAACGGTTCAAGAACCAGAGCTAATTTAGTGGAAAAACACTATGAGAGTGATAGATGCACAACCCTAATCACCCCATTCTTAATGCTCTACCATGCATTCACAGGTTTAGTGGAAGAGTAGCAGGAGGTTTGGAAAACGCACAGTACTCAATTCCCCTGAGCAGATCTTGGAAGTAAAAGCGTGACTGGTCCTCACTGAAAGGTTTATCTGTCGGCACCTCCATCACAGCCCTGAATACATAAACACATAAACAGGTACACACACACTCTCATTAAATAATCATCACTAATGAGATTGAGCTCATTCCAGTGTCACAATCATTACCATAAAAGAGGCTTAGCTTACCCTTGCTTGACCAGTTCAAACACTGTGACAGAAACACAGATGAGGTTAGTCATTGAAGCTTTTCAGTTACAGATACAAACAAACTAAAAAAAACAAAATAACAATATATTTTAAGATGAATTTAAAATATCTTTCTTTTATGCTTGCTTTATGCATGACTGTTTGAGTGTGTGTGTGTTTGTGTTATTCTGAGGGCTGACTGTCTGGCCACAACGTACCCATGTACAGATGGTCCTCGCTGGGGTCATCCAAAACCTGGCACCAAATCACAGAGGAATGGAAATTAGTCGAAACACAATAGATAATTGTTTGTATTCAGTATAAATAAATCCACTTTCACTCTGCAATCTCTAATAATTGCACATAAATTGTTTTATGTTAATATGAATATATGAACAGCAACGCTATGAAAATGGTACACACATGGCTGTGTTATAATGCAGTTTTGCTTTACCTTCGTACAGAAGTGTTAGAATAAGCAACATGCAAACTCTTGTTTTGATCCTTTATGTTCCATCCTTCTGTGACATTTTGCTGAGGCTTCTTTCCATTTTGTTCCATTAGCGATTTGGCAACACACCATTGTTGCTTTTTGAGAGAAGAGGTGCACTTTTGTGTACTGTTTGTATACTTCTTAATCTTGAGTACACCTAATTCTGTTCTGTCGTGTTCTGATATTTATCTATTTTTTGTTACCTTAATGTAATACCTGCATTTGTTTTCCCTAAAATGAAAGCCACTATGGACTGGAAAACATTACACATATTATGACACACGATATGTATGTTTTCACAGCACTCACCTCTACAAGTTTCACCACATTAGGATGGTCCAGCTTTTTCAGGATGGCAATCTCTTGATAGACCCGCTCAAGGGGTCCTTTGGGCTGAGGGGGACCCTCAGGGACTGCTTTGGCTCCACGAGGGGGAGGTCTCCCTGAGAAAGAGAGAATGTGGGTTAAAGTTGAGGGAAGGATAGAAGGACAGGACAGGACAGGACAGGATAGGATAAGACAAAAGACAAAGTGGGTTTCAGTATTGGTAAGCAGTGTTGATGTACCACTGGAGCATTGTAAGAGACTGTGCTCTCTGCTGTGCTAACCATCTGCCCCTGGCTCCAGACTTACGTGGGAAACCTGCCTGCCTCATCAGCCTCTTCTTGGACAACACCTTCATCGCCTACAGGAGAGAACAGGAGATGGATTTGAATAGGGGGGAGGATAGGAAAAAACAGTAGAGGGGGTGGGAGAGTCAGAGAAAAAATGAACAGAAAGGTAGACGAAAGTGAGGTGATGCATTACTGACAGTGCGCCCACTCACACACCCACGGATGAATATCCCAGCGCCCTATAAATGTCTCGCCTCACCTTGAACATCCTTTGTGTATTTGTGACTACTAACACTGACCATCATCAGCACAAAAGATTCTAAAAAGTAGGCTCTTACACTGGTTATTCTTACTGCCAACCTTGGTGCAAAATGATTAAAATGCAAGCATGCAAGTAATGTACTCATCATGCCTTATCTTATAAAAGTACTCCACAAAATGTCAACTACACCCACTAATAATGTTTAGCTGTAATTCATAGATTATACTTGAGATGATACATTTATACTTTGAGTCAAAGTTGTGATTTTGGGATATGTAAATTAAAACTAATGGACTTGTTTTCTGATGATGAAAAAACAGGGATATACAGAAAGTTAATGGCCCCCTGTAAGCACACTTATGTGATGCAGATGTTAGTCAGCAATCTCCCTGACCATTGCTTGAACAATTACCTTTGCTGACAATCATTAAGGCCGTGTTCATCAAGGCAAAGAGCGCAATGTGTGACAGCTACAGATATTTTCCATGTTCGGGGAACTAAGACTTTTTTTAATAGCCACGATGCACTCAGTTATTATGGCAATGATATAACCACTGAATGTGACATGTGGGCTTTGTCACTTGGGAGGAATATTAAAATAATCCCCACGTCATTATCTGTCAATATCATGTAGCTTAATGAGAACTGAAGCAATAATCATGAACAGCAAACAGAGAAGCTCAGTCTGATGTGTTATTACAGTGCTCAGGGAGGCACAATTAACTGGAGACATTTTCATATGTGGAGATTTTACATGAAATCACACCATTAAGTGTGACAAGAGGGTTTGATTATTACAAGGCTTGTCTGTGCATGCAGGTGGTGGGGCGCTGTGTGACAAGTGATTAGGAATGACAGTGAAGTGAGAGAAACAGACACCGTGTTAATAGTTGGGAAGGACTTGCATCTGTATTTGTGTGTGTATGAAGAACTCACATAGTATGTGTTGTCATCCTCGTTGTAAGCCAGCTTAACAACACCATAGGAGCCCTGGGCCGGAAATAAGTAAAAGAGAACAGAAGCCAATAAAGTGAGACTGAGCAGCTGTCAATTCTTCATGTGAAAAAAAAAAAATCACACTCTGTGTAAAGCAAACTAAATAAACACAAATACACACAGGAACGCATACACACACAAGGGAAGTGTGTGGGCTGACAGTGTACACTGAAAGAGTACCAGCTGCTTCAAAGTGAGAACAGAGAATTTCAAATCATCTCTCCCTCTCTCTCTTTCATTTTTGATTTCAGGCTAATTAAGGAAACTGGATCTGGTTAATGCTATCAAGCTCCCCTGCCCACACACAGGAAATTCAGGATAAAAACTAGGCCCAATTAGTAGCCTGTGTGCACAAATGCATACCCAAAAAACAAACAGAGAGCGGGAGAAAAAAGGGAGGGAGAGAGAGCAGGATCAGTTCCTGCTGGGGGAGCAGATTGGTGAGGCTGCACAGAGCTCATCCTACAGTCCCAGAGATGATCTGATAACAGAAGCCTCTCCAACAATCCTGAAAGGCTCTAATTGTCTCCGCTGAACACAAAACCACACACATTAACATGTCTACCTACATACAGAAATTCACAGACATGCACATTCTGTCTTAACGTGCATACAAGTACATCCACTCACACACATGCTTGTATCCACTAAGCCTTGCACAACCCTTAGAGAGCGCTATTTATACCAGCCTCTCATCCATCTTCCAACTCTCCCATGGCCTGGTAGTTTACACAGAGTTTGGGAAATGAGGACAGCCGGGGGAGAGAGGGATATCAGAGACTGTTACTGCGTGTCCTTGATGATGTGCGCTACTTGACAGACATGCAGTAGGCGGAAGGGAGAAGAAAATGGAAGAGCCAGTGAAAGGGAGCAATCAGTGAGTTGTCTCTGATGGTACCTTTCCAATCTCATCTTTCAGCTTGTACTGGTTGAGTTGAACACAGTCCTTGAAGAGAGGGAGGCAAGAGAAAAGAGAGGAGCAGAAAATGGTTCTTTTCAAATGAAATCACATCAGCTATTTACATACCCTAGATATATCATGAGTATTCTTACAAAATAAGTTTTTTTTTAAGAACACCATGCAAAATCCTGTATGTTCAATTTGACTTCAATTAATTTTTTTTATTTTTTACATTTCCATTTTCAACAGAAACTCATAAGTGCAGAGTTTTGCACATCAGTGTTCCCAAAGGTGCTTGATGTCTTTCAACTCAAGACACATTTTTCTGTGCTTGTCAGCATGTCAGTATGACTCTGCAATCACTGTCCCAGTTGAATTTGTCATTTTCTAAGATTCATTTGAAGTAAAACCTCTACAGACATTTATAAATCTAAAATAAAGACTGGCAATTTACTTTTTAAATGTTGGCACTAATCCTATCTGCTAATCTTCCAGGATACGTTGGATTTGAGAGGTAGGATGTATTGCCCAGTTCTAACAGTTCTGTAGTATATTTTGCAGTATTTAAAGGTCACTCACTTGTATGGTGAAAAGCAGTGTGGATTTAAAACAGTGAGTGAGAGGAACACAGACACTGCTGAGAACAAACTGAACCAAGCCTGCAGAGAATGATTCGCAGCAACAACTAGGGATGCACTGACTATCCAGCTTTTCATTAAAAATACATTACTAAATGTAATTTATTTTCTTGTTGGGTCTTTAAATTAGATTATTAAAAAGCCTGCATGCCAAGGAAGACAGTAAGATGATGTGTACAGAATTCAGACGAATTACAGTGTCAGTCTCCACCATAAGACGATATTTCCAAATATTTCACCTAATTAACCATTAAGTGTATTTTTTTCACATCTGCAATATGTGATCCTGTGAAAGCAAACACATCTGTAAGGCTCTAAATGTCACATAGGAGAACCTCTGCAGCCAGTTGCTCTAAGAGAGATTCTACCATCACATGTGACATTTACAGTTTTCTGCATCTATGTGTAACAGGGATCACAGCTATTGTCTACATCTACTGAGACTGTAAAACCTTACCTTTGCATCCACAAAGTTCAGTCTCTACCAGTGTGCTGCTGCTTTTAAGACAAATGCACATGTAGTTCTGCTTACTTTCAGGCAAGTATGATGCTAATATTTAAGATGTGCAAGAGGAACACCTCTGTACGAGCCTGGCTATGTGTGAACATCAGTGAGCTTGGTCATTCATGTGTAACGCTTTATGCAATGCACAGTCCTTAAGGGAATACACTGGCAAGCTGGTGCAAAGAACATACATTATATAATCAAAACTATTATTGCACTGGCTGTAACCTCATATTGGATCATTTCCTGTGATTTCTTGATCATCTGACCAATCACAGACAAAGAAAACTGATAATAAGGATAAACAATAAGTATTAAGATGAACTGCTGGTATCAATATGGCAAAAAGCAATTATAGCATTATTTTGTGTTAGCAGTATTTATTTTATTCCAGAAAGGCTGGGACACATTTTAAGCAGCAATATTAACTTCACAGTTGAAAAGGCTTTAAAAAATTTGAAATCCCTAACCCTGGACATGTGTTAGCCTCAAGGCATGGCCATACCTGGAGGTCTGTGATGGAAACACTGTGGGACTCCACAGTGGGTCGGCGGGGTAAGCGCGGAGAGGAGTGGGGTGATGTGATGGGAGAGTAGGGAAGTGACGGGTAAATATAGCGCCCGTTGAGTCCTGGAGAGCTGCAGGGCGATGCTGACGTTTGAGAACGCTCTTGCAGAGATAGTTTCCTGTCTGACAGGTTTAATCTTCCCCTTTGCTCTAGGCTTTCAGGTCGCAGAGCCTCTGGCCGCCCAACTGTGTGGGACAGCAGGTCGCAAGAAGGAGTCCGGAAAGGTGCCGCCACAGAGGAAGCTGGCTCGGGCGTCTCTGAACTGTCCATTTCTTCTACCTGAGATATGATACATTTAAATCCTTGTTGCAGGTTCACATAGGAATGGTTGTCCTTGTATGGGTATGATGGCCAATATGTGGTATTTGTCTGTCTTATATGAGACTGAAGTTTACATGCATACAATAATAGCAACACCTGAACAATATAACACAACACAGCTTCAACATAAACCTTTGTGAAATTAATAAACTAAATGTTTTGTGGAGGATGTGTCAGTTATAATACTGATGTCACTCATGGTCATGCCCTAAATTACGATGTATTTATGGATCTAAAAAATACCAATTAATGCCATGCCATTATCATGTAAAGATTAGAACATTTACTTCCTATACTGTCTTAACTGCAAAGTGTTGATTTGAGTCTGAAATGGGGTCTGGAAAGAATAAAACTAGTGGCCATGTATCATCACATGTCATTTAATTCAGTAGAAGCCCAAACGTTCAGTCTCAGGTACATATAGTGTTACCTGAGCGTGTTTCATCTTACCTCTTCCTCATCCCCAGCCTCTCCAGGTGGTCTGCTGGGTTCGTACTCTGTGACCACGATGAGGGACTCCATGGGGTCTGGGGAGGGTGTCTCAGAGTGAGTGTTCAAAGGTGGAGCAGGACAGCTGCACAGCAGATCAGGCAGGGGTTGTGAGGGCTGTGCCGGGGGTGCATGACTGCCACAGGAGGCCGGAGGCTCAGCAGAGGGCCAGGGGGTTACGTGACAAGGAAACATGGTGCCTCTTCACAAAGACTGACAACCAGTGCTCCATCAGATGGAAACCTCCGGGGGAATTGGTGTCTAAGACATAAGAACAAATTGAGAAAATACATGGGGAGAACAATTGCTGACCTTTCAAACATCTACTGTTCCATCAACAGGTGGAGCCTTTAAATGGGACAAAGTACTGGGACAGAGCAGGAAAATGGACAAAACAGTACATTCTGATTTATCTGGACGGTGTCTTCCTAAAATGGCTACTCTAAAAAAAGAGTACTGAATACTGAATTGAAATTCTAGTAATAACCCCATGCCTCCTCCACCAGCCACCTCTCTTTCAGCTGCATCCTTCTTTACCAACAAGGTGGCAGCAATCAGTCACTGAACCATCCAACCACAGTGTATCTCCTCTGTTTAAGGGTGCATTACAATTTTTATAATTTACCGTCTCTCTGAGGAAGATGTCTTTAAACTGTCCCAACACAAAATTGTCCTCTGGACCCTATTCCCTCTAACCCTGATCAAGCTATTTCACCTACAATTATGTCTGCTATAGAGCTCATGATTCATGCTTTATTGTCTTTGTGTAAATTTTCCAAGAGTTTTGCACAGGTTCTAGTTATCAAAGTGGCACGATAAGGAGAAGTGTCTAAGCGCCAGTTCCTGAGGATCGGTGCTTGGCCCTCTTTTTCTTCTCAATATAAAATTTCTGTAAGTGGCCCAAAACACAGCAGGATGTCGGGTCTTCAATCAGCTTAGTAACTATGACTGTTAATTAGACTCTACACGGGTTCCAAGTCGCGTCTTGCATTGAGCTTAAATCACTATCGCCTATTCATCGCAACTGTCATGGCACCCACCTACCTAAATTTTCTTGATAACTACAACAAAGAAATGACAACTCATCCTACAATCACTGTGAGACTCAGTGGTGGAGTGAGGTATCTAACTCAATTCAGTCAGCAACATTTCTTTCTGTCTTCAAAAACTACACTATTTGCTATGGGCTTTTGGCAAAAGAGTCTACGAAATTAGTAAATATCATGGTAACTGCTAACATAAAGCATACAATTAAATGATAATCTTGATGGGAATTGCAAGATAACTGTAACTCTACACATGCTTCCTGTAGTGCAAACATCAACCAATATCAATTAATGACATACAAGCTACCAACAGATTGTGTTTTAAAGGAGTTGCAAAGAATCAATCAGTTGCCTGTTCTACTGACACAATATATGATTCTTCGGTGGCATGTTCAACCGTAACCTTGCCAGGAAGCTGGACTCACAAAATCATGAATTCACAAGACATTATATCTTGGCAGGCTACAAGTTATGCGCTTGTGTCCAAACCACAGTTGTTCAGACCAATCAGCGTCCTATGAACGACTGGCAGCTACGGCATGGGCTATAAGCGTGGTTTAACATTAGGTGTAGGTGTGACAACGTGAGTGAGAAGAGTCAAAAACAACAATGGTGGCTGCTTAAAGAGGTTAGCGTAGATGCTGCTAGCATCAGTTATATCAGAACTGGACTATTTCTTCTTTGAAAGAAGAGCAAAGAACAGCACTGAAGACTTTGTGCTCTTCTCCATACTGGCTTCGATAATAGTTTGACTATGTAATATGGTTTGTTGATCTGATTGATGGAAGATCGTTTGTAATTGACAGATGGTTTATTGAATAATCTGGCCTGTATTTTTTGAAAGCGACTTCACTGAGGGAGGCCATAACAGAAGAACAAATATTGGCCTACCCTAAGTATACTCCACATCTCAATGCCCAGTGAATTTCCCTCTGTTTTAAAACTGTGACCATGCAGGAACTGACTTAAAGCAACAGTGAAGTGGGAGTCAAGATACACAAAAAACAGATGGTAACTATATCTCTTTAGCCAAGAATAATTTTGGAATGGCATACATCCTGTGACAAATAACGATAAAATATATATGTTAAATTAACGTTAATTACCTTTGTAAACAGCTGGTACACAGTGTTCAAGGGGGCAACATGAAACAGGTTGTGGGTGTAATGAAAGGGTGTGGGAAAAACAATCAGAGATGCTGTTCACTAGCTCTGAAACATAAGTAGATGCAGCTCTTTGCATATGAAGCAACCGTGGAGACTGGACTTTCTCCACACATTCTGTTAAGTGTTAATTAACCCATGCCAACACGTCTAGTATCACAAACTTCAGCTCTAAGTGGACAGATTTGATGCGTCTATAAAAGCAACGGCTCACTCTGCTTGTGATGTCAGTTATACAACATGATTAATTATCATTTGTACAGCATATAGCCTAAATCTTTTAGCATAATTGCAAGAGGGCCATTTCCATCTCTAAGTCCACTCAGCTTATTATCTGCTTATTATCTGTGAGAGTAATGGAAAGAGAAGGAAAGGAGCCACGAAAAGAGAGAAAAACAGAGACAAGAGATCCTTGATTTCCGTCATGGTTCTGACAGGATTGTGGCACTGTCAGTGTGTGGGAGCTGAGTAAATCTCACAGATACAGAAAAACAAGGGGAGAAGCCATAGGAAAAACAAGACAGTGGGCGCTCCAGCCAAGTTCAGTATGAAGACCATGTGTGGGAAGAGACACCCACTCCAGGTGGTCTCTCTACCTTCACTGCCAGCCTATATATGATGTAAACTCACAAGAAGAATACCACGCATTTTGCAGACTACTGAACGCAACTGTTTCCTGGTGTTCTTGACTGCCAGGTCTCTCTAGTCCCTTTCAGACAAACTGTAAATGTTCCTCCCATACTCAGCATCCAAGGCTGTGTGCTTATCTGTGTCGCTTTTCTCTGGAGATACTCTCCTCAAAGTGTAACATATCTGGCCAGTATGACCTCTATGTTTTCCTGACTATTCTTGGACGCAGACATTTTTGTGTCAAAAGAGCTGAAATCCAGTTTTACTTTTGATGGTCACAGAGTACTACAATGTGCCATTATAAGTGGACTCAGCCTCAATGGAGTACATCAAAATATAGAGACGTGACCCTGGATGAAACTCGCAATGCACCAGATACAGTAGACTTTTTATAGAAGAGAGGCAACTTACCAAGCCTGACCTACTTAGATCACAGATAAGCGGTGAGACACACATCAAGGCTCATTACCATTCACAGAAAGGGGTTTCTGGGCAGTTGCTACATTGGTGATGTTAAAAAAAACAAGTCTTTACATGATATTATCACTTATAGCAAGACACACAATGTCACTGCAAGTCTCACTCTCTGCCCAGGAGGGGTTTGTCTGAATATCAGTCAAACAGTGGTTAATTTGGTCTTTGCCTTTCACCCCAAATCAGGGAGGCCTGGACATACGCTAATACTAAATTTACATTAAGAGATGTAGAATATCAAATCCCTCCTTGCTGGACATCGTTGCTAAGTAGGCTAAGCTGCACACTAGCATTGCAGCATAGCTCCCAAATGTCTCTATAGTTCATAGACAAAGGTATTGTATATTATACATAACTGAACTGCTGGCTAAAGCCCTGAACTTCCCTGATCCCTGGTGATCACAGCAGCTACACGAAGAACAAGCAGTTAGATTTGAGCCTTGTGAAACACCAACAGATGCTGCCAAGCTCCAGATGCTGTACTGCCTGCGCCTCTTATCATACCAAAAGTCACATGACCTGACCTTCATTATCTGGGCAGGAGGGGAGGGGGAGAGAGGACTTATCAGAGCTTGCAGGGGGTCAATGCCATGTACAGCATTAATAATAACACAAACACGGTCTCACAGACATACAAGTTAAACACAGGGCCATCTGGAGCAGAGGAGGATCCCCAGCTTCATTAAAAGATCAACAGGGCGACCCTGTCAGTGATCAGCGGAGCCGTGAAACAGATAAGCTCCTGTAAAAGGAGGGATGAGCCTCCATGAGGCCAACTCAACTGTAGTGTTAGCACACAATCACAGCTGATATTACTCAGAATATGAGATATTTAATTGGCATAATAATATATATATATATATATATATATATATTTATTTTATTTAAACTGATTCTCCATTAATCACCTCTATTTCACTTGTATTGTGACACAGTAATAGTAGTTTATCCAAGTTAGATTCTAATTAAATTAATTAATTTTAATAAGTTATTTACAGACTAATTTACAAACACAGAATAGGGAATTGAAGCCAAATCTGTCAACAGAGACCATTTGGGAAAATAAATTGTGCTTTCAACGCGAAAAAATAGCTTTTGAAGTCCATTTGATCACCAGCAAAAAAAAAAAAAGATGGTGTATTTCAAACATGTTATGAAGTCTGTCATATAATCATAAACCACAACACTGACTGTGCTCATTTGAGTCACTAGATCAAAATAAATACTAGAAAATAAATACTTGACATGTGAATGCAACTTAAACCGCTATAAAATAATAAATAAAACTGTTTCCTGAGCAAAGGTACTCATCGTTATTAAACCATTAGACCAAGAGCAGTCATTAACCACACATCGTTTTCTTACGTTAACTCACAAACACGGTCGACTCTACGTGTTATAACATTACAGTAAATGTGCACCTGACACAAAAACGCTTAAGCTTTCCTAGTAAAATTAACAGCTCACTCATACTCACAATTAAGAATTGTTAGACTGGCTGTAAACAACATTAAAAAGAGCAGGCGTCTTTAATTACCAACGCTATCACACATTAACAGGGGAAACCGTTGTTTACCGTCGTCTGAGCTAACTTAGCTCTAAGCGTCAAAGCCAAACAGCTCAGCTAACGTTAGCAGCTGCTTCATCTGTCAAAGATACAGATGTTGTCAGGCAGGAGTCAAGGATGCTAGTGCGGCTGATAGTACGCCCGGTAATTACTGCTACAGGAAACAACAAAACCCCAAACACTACATGGGAATAAATAACCCTTACCTTGACGTGTTACTTAGGCCCACAAGTCAGAATAGTGAGGTTCCTTCTCCGGCTGCGGTGTAAGAAGCGTCTGTACTACGACGGCTAGCTAGCTGTTTGAGAAACGGGGAGACTGTAAGCAGACTGATAACCGATGTTGTGGTGGACCAATCCAGCTGAGCACACAGGTCCCGTGCTTCACATGGAGGAAGTGTTGTGGTAGTGCAACAGTAACAGTTTGAGCACTGTGTTTTACAAAAACTTGTGTGGGTGTGAGCTCTCTTTTGCGCTCCTCTTCGTTTTCGCTCACTACATCAAAATAAAACACTTCATGGTTGTCCGGGATTTCTGCTTTAAGCACTTTGTAGCCGGTCAGCGCCACCCTGTGGTCTATAGGAGAGTTGCACCATGGCGTTAAAGCAGCTTCGTCAATCACTTCTTTTTGTTTGGTTAATATAAAGTTTAAAATTACTATCGACTCCACTATAGATACATGTCATATCAAATAAGTTACAGAGACCAAGTAAGTAACTTCTTAAAACAACCTCCATATTGATTTCTTAAGTTCTGCATGTGATGTGGTTACCAATCCATCTGGCAAACATGTACGAAGACAGAGGCAAGAATGTAATTTGGAGCACTTTTCAGTCATTGGTCAAATTTCAGGACATGCATGGTGTAACTGGTGCATCTTACCAATCACAAATACATTTCACCATTTCATCTGTCAAGCTCAATTTGTTGTTTATGCATGTAAGAAATCTTTCTATGATGCATAATCTGATATGGGGCAGGTTGATAACTAGGTGTAGCGATTTGGAAACCAGGCAAATCTGGCCTTCAGTGAGGGGAAAACATAAACAATCCATAAAAGTGGTCACCAAGTTGAGTCAACCAGAGAACAGGACACATCAAATTGGAAACATGTTTATTTTCATAAAAAATGAAATTAAAAAGCAAAAAGTTGCAAAACATAGGATTGCAAACAATACCCAATATATCCAATCCAACAAAGACAAAAAAAGACTATACAATGCAACAATCTTAACAAAACTGGAGAAATTATCGTCTCTTCTGGAAGATGTTGCCTCTTCCCATTCCACCACGGCCCCGACCCCTTGCAGCCACTGCACAGAAAAAGGAGGAAGACGACAACAACTCATTTTAGAAAAATGTGCCCGACTCACATAGTAGGCAAGGTGTCTCAATGATCAGGGGAAATTATACCAAAATGACAGGTTATAGAAATCCATATTGGTTAACTAATTTTGAGATACTCTGGCCACAAAGATGATCTACATAGTAAATCAAAATATGGAAGAGGTTGATAATCGTAATAACCCCTGTATAGATGTATGATGCTGAGACAAGGATAATTTTGCAACCATGTTACACAAGCGATAAAATATTGGGTGCATCCTAAATAGAACTCAATACATAGAAGTTGAATTGAATAAATGCCTCTTTGACACAGCCCCAAAGCCAGGGTAGGGATGTTTTTTAAGACTGTTTCTATTTTAGTCTTAATTTAGTCTTTACAGGCACTGACGTTATTGTAGCCACACTGTATAATTTAGGGCATGTTACATGAATGTGACACCATTGTTAATACAACATTCTGGCTCTTCAGTGTCTTTCTCAGCTTATTTAAAGTGACTTTGCTGTTGCTGCTCTAGAAACATTTAGTTAAATTTACAATATTTAGTTCTAATTCTGTTCCGAACTAAATACGTTTTTTTTTTTTTTTTTAAAGAGAAGCAATTTAGTACCGGTAACAAACTGATGCGATAAGGACTATTAAAAAGGAGTAGTACTATCAATACAATCTTAATGATACTCATCCCCAGACTGTCCAGGGAGACACCTGTCCAAAAACTCGCCACTCACCTTGTGCTTTGAGAATAGCTGCCTTGCCCCTTCCTGCGCCAGATCCCTGGTTCTTGTTCTTCATACTCTTTAACATAGGAGCATTCTTTAACATGTCAGGTAAGATCAGGAAGCGGATCTTGCTGCCACGGATGTAGACTTGCTCCAACTGTGCCACCCGGCCATCGCGATAAGTCACTGTTATGTTGGACATCTGTAAGGAGAGAAGGGGAAAAAAAAAAAAAAAAAAAAAAAAAAAACTTAGATGCATCTTACAATCTTTTTGTAATAGTAAATGTATCTTGGCTTCTTAAGCCTAAAGCAGAAATACAACTATAAAAACTAAAATAAACAAATCTACAGCTTACCACAGCAATTCGAGCATAGCTAGCTCTGTTAAAGCGGTGGTTCACAATCATCTGCCTCTTTAACTTTACAGCTCTGCTGCTTTCATCCTTTCCATCTAATGGAGGGACTGACTTAAAACTTGGATTCCAAGTTATTCAGGTAACTAGCAGGATTGGGAAACATGGCTGTAGTGCTTGGGGACAACGGTTGACAATGATTGCGTTCAATAAGAAGCGCCACCAGATGGGGGAGCTTGCAAGTCTTGTATTAACTAGAAGTCAAGAAATGCTGCATACTATCTATACTTGTGTGGTCAATCATACTAACAAATTCTCAGATATTTAGCCAATAGCTTTAAACGGATTCATTCAGCAGATCAACATACACAATCAAATGTAGATTTAAGGAAACTAGTTTTTCAAAACAGCCTCAGAAAAGATACAAGAGGGTAATTCTCTTTAAATCTCACGTTTTGTTTAATTTATTTTTGTCACATTTATGGGCATTTACTTAAGCACCACACATAACATAATTCAAAACCAGAAAGCCCACAACACAAACTGAGTCAAGCGCATTGAAGTAATCAGAATACAGTCAGTCAGAAATTTTTGCACACAAAATAAAGAGACGGTAGAAAGAAAAAAATAAAAACAAAAATTGGATATATCTAGTGTTTAAGGTTGATACATAAGGCCAATGTAAAAAACAAACCAAGTCATCTATAATTCCATTATTCCATGCAAATATGCATGTTATCTTACCCAGTAACGCGTTTAGGATTCGATTCTTATTAATTAATGAAATAGAAAAACACATTGGGTTATCCTGTAAGTGTCAGAACGTGACTGGTAGCGGGGTATACTAGGTCAGAAGCTATGTTATTCAACTACATTACTCAGTACAGAATATCATAATATATATTTAATGCAAGCTAGTAATGGTTTTAGATTAGATTTTTGTTGTTTGGATGGAAGAAACGTGTCAAAATCTAAAAGAGACCATTGTTTATAGCAGGATGCACGAGTATAGAATAGTAAAGGGGCTCCACCCTAACTTTTTCACCACCTTCCCAAAACTCACCAGGGGGACACGGTTCCACAGCAGCCACTCTGACACAGCTGAACCAGATCATTTAAGAAAAATCAGCCTCTTTAGTCCTACCTGTACTGAAATCAGCTTCATTTTATTCATTGATCATTATTAAAAAAAAGGACCGACCTGGCAGTTCATGTTGTCCTCGGCCTCAATCAGCTTTCCCCTGTACACCTCCCCAGTGTTGGTCTCACAGGTCACAATGTGTCCCTCTGCTTCATGTAGGACCTTGATTGGCACGCCGATAGACATCTTCAAACCGTTTCCCTGGAAAACAACATGTATTGTAAGAAATGTTACTATGTGCTGTCCCATAATAAGGCTGCCACTAACTTTATTTACAAACTAGCCAGGTCTTGGGTTGCTGGGCTGAAATCTTGTCTCCTGTTTTGGGTTTTCTGTGTTAATGAAGCTGCTGAGAACCCAGCAGAAACTCTTGTGTTATGTGAGGCCATTAATAGCGCTAGCCGTATGTGAACTGCATTAGCCCTGCAGCTAATCTCTGTCCCAGATGTAGTTACTAACGTACTATTTAAAATAATACAGTGAGCTCATACATAGTAACCACTGGCCTTAAGTAGGGTGCAGTGTGAGAATGCTTAAAGTCAAACTTGGTAAATATCACTAATTTCTCTAAAAGCAGAGACACCGAACCGCTCAGCTAGCTGGATTAGCTACCTGAGCTAACTAGCTAACGCTGGTCCTTCATACAACAATGCAACGTAAGAGTAAAAACCTAGCTCATATACGTTATTTTGAAGAAACTACTGGTACAAACTACTAAAAACCAAAGCCCAGTGTGACCTAAATACTTAATATAACATTCGCATTTGATTCTTAATTGAAATAGGAACTTTGAGTTCGGCGAATACACGGAACCATGTTGTTTGACTGAATGAATGAGCTCTTCGGAACAACACAGACAAATACCTCTGTTTGGTCAACTAAACAATGATGCAGTTTTATCCATTATGTTAACACGGTTACCTTGTTTCTGTCGTAAAAGCGGATTTCTTTGTTGTTGTTTCTTCGTCTTCTGCGACTCTGCAACGTGCGTTTGTCGCTTTCTACCTTTTGGAGCCTTTTTCCGCCTGCCCACAATGCAACGCAATGGGTCAATGAAGTGTTTCCGGTGGCTTCCTGTGGTGCATTGTGGGATTTGTATTTTTCCTCTATTTTTTGTCCTGTAAGAAATTTTTAAAAAATCCTGATTTGTTTATGGTTTATTGGTTTGTTTGATTTGTGTAAGGCGCTTATGGAAAGAGTCTCCCCAGTTTTATTTGCCAGAATACTGAAGCTCTGTTTAATATGAATAACAAGCCAGTTTTTGTATAGATGTATTCACTAGAGGACTAAAGTTAAAATTGCAAGAGTGTGTGTAGTCCATGTATACATATCAATGCACACCAACAACCTCTGAGGTGGAGCAGGTGAACAATTTTAGGTCCCTGAACATCACAGAGAACCTGTCATGGTCATCCGTCTGCAGCTGGTTTCATCAACAAGGCCCGGGATCCCCACTGATACTGACTCTTAAACCCGCCCTGTGTGTATGCATTACATTAATGCCCTTCTGTTGTTTTTTCATATTGTATATTGCAAATATAATTATATGTCACACTGCTAACTTGCAGACTAAGTATCTGGACATTTTGTACATATTCTCGCTTCCTTTATATTTGTATACAATGGCTCCTTTTTATTGTCTCTAATTTTACCTTTTATCTTTATTTATATTTTTCAACGCTTTATTCTGATTCTTATGCACCAATGTAAAAGGCAAATTCCAGGTATGTGAAAACTTACTTGGCAATAAACCTGATCCTGCTTCTGTGTGTGACCGAAAGCATCTTGACTGGAAATGACACAGAATTATGAGACATGCATTGCGCAGCACAGGAGGACTGCAGCGAGTGATTACAACCGCCCAGAAGATCATTCATACCCAACATCAGTGATATTAGTGAGGTGAGGTGCGTGCAGGATACTAAGACTGTACCAACCCCATCCACAGCCTGTTCTTCTACTGCTGTACCACCAGTCTTAAAGACAGCATCTTCCCTCAGGCTGTGAGACTGTAAATTAATCCTCAGCACCCCATCATGCAAAATATAGTATTTTTATTTTGTTTTACGAGTAGCATAAAAGAAACTATAATCTAAATTTCATTGTTGTTTATTTCATTGCATAAATGACAATAAAATAAACTTAAACCTAAAAGCTTGAACATACACATACAACATCACACATGCTTTGCATTTAGACTTTTTTTATTAGAACAGGTCATTTCTCAGTTTTTTATTTTTCTCTCACCAAAGCAAGGTTTTCTCCCTAGTTATTAGACACAATATGTCTTATGTATATCCCTTGTATTGTATTGTATTATATATATAGTCATCAGCCAGTGAGAGAATGCAAAGAGAAGAAACTGTTACTGAGTCTCTGCTAATTTGCTTGTTCAGTCTCAAGCAAAACAAAAATGTGCCTGCTACAGCCCACATAGTCATTTATGACTGAATGGCATACTATAAACTGGATTGTTGTGCTTCAGGACATCATACCTTCATGGACCTTGCTTGAGCCTTGTGTGACAATAGAACACAGTTGATGGCGTCTGATTCATGTATCATCTACAGTCCTTTGTGTATTTGTGGTTTTGGTTTTGTTTTTTATTTTCTATAAATAAGACACTTGTATTACCCATAACTACAACATTTATATAACCCTTATCTCTTGCTTATCAAAATAGCACAAACAAACAAAGCATTAAAATGAAATGGCTCCATCCAAACCTCAAAGTGTAATATACAACTGATATGCATAGTTTTTGAATAAACACACATAAGCTAGATACATACCCATGTATGTTTATTTCTGGAGACATGTCTCCGGAATTGCTTTAAGGCACGTAAATGTTGCTTAATGCAGGTCTTTCCCGCAATGGAAGGGCTTTTTAATGAGGAAAGAGAAAGCATAATGGCATAATAAAAGACATCATCAAATGAACCTTCATTTGATTTCCATTGCATTAGGCTCATTGACTGGCGTCAGCAGCCAGGCTACTCTGTAAACACCTCTTGCTGAGTAGTCTGTGGTCATGTGTATGTACTTTACGTGTGTGTGTGTATGTGTGTTTTTCATGCTGTCTGTTTGTGCAAGCCTGACTGAAAGTCGCCACACTACAGGTATATGAAGTGATATTTGAATAGGCCAAACATGCTTTTGTTTTGTATGGTTGGTAACTGGCCTGTATACATCAGGTGCCTTTGGACACATATGTTTGACACATGTCACAGTTATTAAACCAGCAACAGACTTGTGTTGCCTGGCAGTTATCAAATCACTGATCAAACTAGCAACACCAAATGTGCTGTAGCTATCCAGCACTTTGAGAAATGCCTTTTTAACAGATCTTTACACAAGAGATGATGCACACCTTATGCTTGCCTTCAAACAAAGTTTTCACAGAGGACGGTTCATGGTTTATTCAGACCATTAGTGACAGCTCTTAAAATGACATACTTTAGTCTGGACACGCTTTATATGTAACAGTATGGACACTTACGGTAAAAATGTAAAGTTATTCAGTTTTGTAGCAGAAAATGAAGCACTGAACTAGTAAGTATATACGACTTTTAATTTTCCAGTGGGTAAAAACAATACACATGACCATTACAAAAGTTGACTGGATGCCACATTATCAAAAAAATACAGTTCAAGAATTTAAAAAAGCATTGCAAGATACAGTACAGTTCAGAAAGAATTGTTTTCTACACATTAAGACACAGCCTAAAAAAAGGACATTCATCTTGGAAAAATAACACACTACCACATACAGTATGTCATTGTATTGCTGAAAGTATTTTAAACATCCACATTTTGACAGATTCTGTTGCATGCTTATAGATCTGATCCAACTCAGAGATGTTAGATCAGGACAAAGGAAAGCGGGTCAAAATGTTGCCTGGTAATCAGTTTATGTGACTTCAGAAAGGTGATTTGCTGTTGCTATTAATTTGAAGTTTCATTAACCAATCTCCATAATGTCATGTTTGCACACAGTTATATGTTTTATGGTAATAGAAATATATATTTTAAATACCTAAATATCTTTGTCATGAGACTTCAGTAAGCTCTGCACAGCGGACACAGTCAGTCTGTTTTTGGGAGAGAGCCTGAACATTTACAAAAGCAATGCCACTTTCACTGTCTTTCACCTCCAGAACATCTGTTGTTCCCCTCAGATATGTAACTGATTCTACTCCATCCTGAGCAGCAAATCCCACGATGCATGGCTGCTGCTGCATTGCTGAAAGGTTGCTGCCTTTTATCTGGTGTCCATTGTGTATGCAGCTGCTTGGTGCAACGGCAACATTTGATGTCCAATGGCAAGAGGCTTCGTGAGTAGCTTTTGGTGGCGTTCGGTCAGGGCTGGGGTCCAGGACGTAGCTATTCACTATTGTGCCACATGATGAACCCTCTCTACTGGTGCGGGAGGAAGTCCTCATGATACTGCTGCCCCTGACACTTCTGCCATTGCTACTCCCAGTCCCGTGTCCATCCCTCCGCCCTAAGATGTGCTGATACAGGATCCTCCGAAAGGTCTGTCTAAACTCCCGAATGCGATAAGCATAGATGAAGGGATTCACAACAGAGTTAGCATGGGAGAGGATGATAGCAATGTTCATCCCCCAGATATGTGTGCGCTCACAGCTCTGACACAGGTAGTTGAAACAGTTCATGATGTGCAGTGGAAGCCAGCATAGAGCAAACAAACCTACAATGATGGCCAGCGATTTGGCAGCATGCACCTCCTTCTGCAGGGTTGAACGAGATGTGCCCGACGATGATGCTATCTCACCAGGAGCAGGTGTGTGCGCAACTTTGAGTCCCATCAGTCGGAGCTGGCGCCGTGCAGCCATGAAGATATGGGCATAGATGACCAGCATGACAAACAGGGGCACCAGGACGCAGCCGAAGAAATTGAAATATATCATGTAGTCCATGGTAACCACTGCTTCAAACAGGCACACCGTCAGGCCTTCAGGGCATTTGTTGCTGCTGGCGGTGGCGTTCCAACCTGCACAACAGAGCCAGGAGTGATTTATTGTCAGTTTTATCTTTTAATAACATCAAACAAATACATTTGTTCCATAGAAGGAAGAATTCTATATGGTAAAACATGTGCATGGCTTGGGTTTCTGACCTCAAATCTAAGAGTTGGCCTCAGTTTTCCTCTGAGCAGTAAGAACCATTTCACTGAATTTAAGTCAATGCATAACTGCCAGGAGCAATTGTCAATACTGAAGAGACTTTGAGCACACTCTAGGTATACAATACTAATGCATTTTCCCCATTTTGTATGTCTTCTACATTTGCATTAGCCAAAATATTTCTCCCACCTCTGTTCCAGCCCAGCATCGGTGTCAGGCCGATGCCTACCGAGAGAACCCAGCACAAAGCGATGATGCCCTTTGCCCTCTGCCCTGTCACCAGGCTGTTGTACCTGAAAGGTGGATCAGAGCACAATAATACATTAAAGCTGGTTGTTTTATCTAATCTCAGAGTGATAGTCAAAAAAGTCAGTATTTGGTGATTTAAATGAGGAGACTATGGTTGTGCATACAAGCTTAAATCCATTATATATTTAATAAGCCAAAGGAAGTTTTTTGTTGTTGCATTACTGGCTTTTAAATACTGTCTGTTAACAACTCATATATTTTCATCCCAGCGCATCAGATGACTTTGTCTAGCAAAAGTACCTTTTTGTACAGTATGTTCTTCCTTCCTGTTAGAAGAGCAGAAGACAGTGTGAAATCTTGCCATGTGTTGTTGCATGACTCCACAAACAGTTGAGTGAGTGTGCCTACATATGCAATGAAGAGGATTTCCTTCCTATACTGTATTTTACCAGCACACTTCTTTCTCATCTAAGTTCTTTTGAAGAATCCAGTCAGGTCATAAAAGAGCTTCTGAGCAATGCAGTGAAATACGAACATGAGGACTGGAATCTTCAAACACATAATAGTAGTAGCAGATGTAAGCTTTACTATACTGTTTTGATGGCTTGTAACTTAACTCAATCTTGGGCTTGGATTCAGAAAAATATTGGCTAAATACCATACCTATCGACATGGTTAGGAAGTGTGATTTACACTGAAACCACTGATAGAATTGTGATATCTTAAATATAAAAATAGCTTGTTATAAGGTTGTAATATCAAAGTTTTACTTTGGTCTATTTCTACAAAACTGATACAAGGATTTAACAGTATTCTTAGGTCTGACACATACAGCTGGACCTCACCAACATTTCAATTCCCGGTTTTCATAGCTATTGCTGCATCCTAAAATGATTGGGTATTTTTGAAAACTGTGTAGTAGTACTAATGTGCACATTACTTTATGCAGACATATGGACTGCACAAATTTGAAGGAATAAAAATAGAAAATAATCATGAATAACTAGTATTCTTGGTAACATCAGCTCACCTACAACCAATGTCCCATGTGACTGAGCTCTTTCATATACAGGGTGGCAGCCAGTAGGCTATATTACCCTCTTAAAACTGATGAATGATTGAATGATTGATGAATTATGGGCTCTCTGGCCACAATCATGGCACCAGTGTGAGCACAAAAACACACAAAGAGAATCTGTTATGCAACTGCTTATGCAAATGTGTCACCTGTTGTGGCTTACTAGATGAACTAGCCTCCCATGACAGGAGTTAAGAAGGCAGTTATGTGAGTAAAAAACAGTGGCTTTGGTTACACACATGAACAATATGAGTCAATAGTGTGTCAAAATACCTGTGTAGGCTGCAAAATGTGTTAGCCATTTGAAAGAATAGTATTTGAATGGTGTTGATTTACATGGATAAAAATGATCAAAGCCTTCAGCAGCACACAAACTGTAACCCAATAAAGCCTGTGGTGATATATATCCATGTCTGCCCACAGCCGGCCAGATTAGCCCTAATTGAATAAGATCTCTCTATAATTCAATGGGTTTTGCTGCACCACTGCGTATGTGCCATGCTTTGGACGCCTCTCACGTTTAATGGTTTACCCACACTACCCTGATATGAGCGCCACGTGTGAACAGAGCATCATGTTCAAAATGCAAGTATATTGGGAAGGTACACAGTACAAAAAAAAACACTTTTTCATTAAAAAATGTAGCTTTCATGTCCCAGAAAGATTTGGACAGTCTGAAAAGCAAACTGAATTTGGTTGAAGTGAGAACATGGAAAGCCGTCTCTGTCATATTTCAGTACATCCTTACCTGAGTGGGTTCTCGATAGCGATGTAACGGTCTACGGCGATGGCCAGCAGGCTGAAGATGGAGCTCTGGGTAAGTATGAGGACGAAGCAGGCGATGAACAGGCAGCCAAAGAAGTTTGCGCAGAAGCCGGTGCTGATTGTTGTTGTTGATTGGCGAGAAAATATCTCAGGTGATTAAAAACTCAATATTATGCATTCTAACAAATTCTGATAAAAAGGACATGAAATTATATAACAAATGTAATGATACCTAATAGTGATAGCGAAGGGAATTGCCAGCAGCCCCACAGCAATATCAGCCACCGCCAGTGACACCACAAAGAAGTTGGTGATGCTCTGCAGGTTGGAGTTGAGGCAGACGGCCCAGCAGACCAGGATGTTCCCAGCCACAGCCAGGCAAGCGATCACCAGCTCCAAGCCAATATAGACCAGCTGCTGATTCTTCAGCATGGTTATTTTTTCCTCTTTTTTGCTTTCTTTGCGCTTTCATCCCACACACTCAGCTGCTTGACATGTTTTTAGACAAAATACCTGCCTGCCAAACCGCTTGGTACAACTTAAGGGAACAGTGATCGTGTCACGGGAGGACAGCCAAGGCAGGAAGTTCCCACCACAAACATCACTTTTGTGTTGCCTGACCTATCTCGTACCTTTCCCTGCCGCACATACAGTACACATGTCTGTCAGTCTTCCTCTTTGTCTCTGCAACTGTCTTCCTCTCTGTAACTTTTGTCACAGACAGCAGCCAAATATTGAGGAGGAAGCGCCTCTGAGTTTTGCCCGATGGCTGCCAAATCAGTCTGGAGAGAGAGAAAGAGAGAGAGCACAGTCTCAAAAGTATAGCCTGAGCAAACAGATTGCAGGTTACCACATAGACACACACAGAAAAGCCATCTATCTCTAAAAGACAGGGGGACAGATTGTTAGGGCCAAAGCAGACAGTCCAACAATGCACCTTTTATTTCAGGAAAAGTTTCCCAAAAACCTTCCACATACTAATCATTCCCGCTACTGGCATGCTTTCCCCAAAATACACCACTATAAATTTTAAAGCCATTGTCCCAGTACTGGAACACTTTGTTAAACTATCTTTGCTGCATTTTTTTAAGGGTATTTTGCTAAATTCCTCTATAGTGTCAGGAGATTAGAGTAAATTATTACAAACTGTGGGACTACAACCTCAGATAACCTTCATATAATGTAGGCCACGCTATTGAGGTTATTAGGGGACATTTCATACAATTTAGGAACAATTCAGGGGAGTAAGAAAGAAAGAAGGACAGGTTTCTAGATCATGTCAGATAATAATAAGCAAGGCTGCATCCATACTGTAGTGTAGAGTTAATTAGAAATAACTAGAATTATCTTTGAATTACAGCAAAGAACTAAAGTTGCTGTGGAAGCCTGAAGTGACTTTGCATGAAACATTGCTTAAGTTGAGACATTTGCCTCTCAGCTTCTCTAAACAATACTGGGCTTATTCTGTTGAATTTTACCTGGTATTTAAAAAAAATAATATTCTTGCTTGTATCAACCAGCACTGGTACGACCCATCACGCTTAGTTATTTCCTTAGAGTTAGTATTATATTAAGGTTGGTGGATTAATACAGACATAGAGCCAGGAGGCTGTATTTAGTTTAGCTTAGCATAAAGACTGGAAGCAGGAGGAAACAGATAGCCTGGCTCTGTGCCTATCAGCTCTGTCAAAAGCTCACTTATTAACACATTTCATATAATTTGTTTGTTTTATTTATCCAAGCACAAACTAAAATGTAAAAGCGATAAGTTGTGGTTTCACGGGGAGTTACATGCTGTAATGGCAACCTCCATTATCGATCTATATCTATACATTTAGAAATAAGAAATACAAAAATGACAAACAATTTATTTTTTTCGTGGTTTTGTTCAGAAAAATTACAATCTGTTAACATTATTGGTATTGAAATATTGATATATTGGCTTCAGAAACACAATATTGGCCAGTATCGACATCTTAAATGGGCTGCTGTATGTCAGTTCACCCAACAGACTATACGGCACACATTTCATCATGTTGCATGAATCACAATAACACATATAAAACCTGTAAATATTTACTTTATTAAGTTCCTGACAATGAATAGTAAGATTTGACAAGATAAGGTTCAACAAGATGAATGAATGAATGACAAACAAATGATCCTGTAACAACAATGGGGAAACTTGGTCACTATGGGAGCAATGCTGGGACCATTCTCACCTATTGTAGGTGCTTTACATCAGAATACCTCAGAGAATAGGAGTTCCTGATCCAATTTTCATTCAATCACACGGATTCCCATCCTTGTTTTTCTCCTACTTAATGCAGATTAGGTGACACTGATACTTCATATGTCTTTACTCTTATTAATCACTCTTGCAGGATGGTCACTGACCTTGTCTCTACTATTCAAGCTGACACTTATGGCCTTATATCCAGAGCATGTCAAATGGCAGATTCTCAACCTCCAATCAGCTTTGAAGTTGATGTACCTTAGTATCACAAAAGCTGTAATAATTATAATTATTAAATTACTTAAGTTGAGTTTCAGTTCTGTTGAATTCACTTATTGGGGAATTCCCCATTGGGTAATATCAAACCACACACATTTTGAGAATGGAAACTCATATTTCTGTTCTAAAACTTACTGAAATTTGATTTAAACGTAGAAGAGTTGCCGGTGCCAATGTTGAAAATATAAAGAGAACAGAAAAAAAAACAACCGTTTCTTTCCTTTCCACACCTTCATGAAAGCTGTCACACATAGTTCTTTCCTTAATCTACCTCCGTTGGCCACATATAACCCTGTAGCTTTACCAGCACTGATCCTGATTGGCAGAACTTCGGACCAAAGTCCTACTTTTCCTCCATTGTTCTGCTACTGAAACCTTCTCACAGGCCAAAGGAATTTAAAAAGCAGGTTTTATCCAGAGGGTTTGGAAAGCTACAGAAAATTGTAAAGACCTTTAGTTTTTTAAGACCTCAAGAGGCTGCAAATGTTTCTGAACCTGCACAAGAAAAGGAATTCTTCAAAGTTAATGTGAAAAGAAAACACAGTTGAACTTACATAGCTTTTCCCCAACAATGACGTTTATAGGCTATACGATAAGCCAACATTCTTCCAGTTGGCTGCTTTGGCAAAAATACTCCCTATGATGATTATGAAAAGCTATATGTGCCCAGAGGTCTTGGAGGAAGTGATAAGAAAATGGATATCCTGCTGGAGGGGATCTGTCTCTGCCCTGTCAATCAATGTGCCAGTCCAGCACCACCAAAGTCAAAGGAAAACAAAAATAAAATCTATTGGGCAAAGCACTGTGTGTACAGCTAATAAGGGAAGTACTGATACCATTATTGTGAACTCCTGATAGCAGAAAGAGAGACATAAACATGATCTGAGTCAATACTGCACCAAAGGGCAAATTATGCATTTGGTGTAATGATGGAAAATAAGGCTTCATTACCACTGCATTATTTTAAGTTCATCTAAGTAAGGCATCTTATTCATTCAATCAATTAATTGCCATAAAAAATCCCCAATCCTGATACAGTGAGAGCTTCGATAACAACCAATAACTGATATTGTTTGAGTGTGCCTTTGGTTAATTTATATCCTTATGCCACAGATGATGAGAAAACACCTGTTACCACTCCTGTTAAAAAGGGTCCAAAGGTTAATTGACATACAAACATTACAATTTTAACTATAAAACAGCCTGAACAAGCAGAAAACAAATCCATTTTCTTACCTTACTGTGAGTGTGAGAATAATAAGTCTTTCCACCCAACCAACGTGTTCAGGTGATCAGGCTGGCAGCGCACATTAAGGGCACAATAAACGGGTGGTTGAGCCCACAAACTTGAATGCAGAGAAAAACCGTGAGAAATAAGAGAAGCAAAGATGTAAATCCTCTGTTATGTTACCGCTGCTCATGCTCGGTTTGTCAGTAGAAGTTTCAAGCTGCGCACAGACAGTCGGCAACAGGAAAAAGCGCGGCCGCAGGCACACCGCCTCTCTCTCGCTCTCTCTCTCTCTCTCTCTCTCTCTCTCTCTCTCCGTGTGTTGGTGTGTGTGTTGAGGGGGTCTTCTGGAAACCGGTGACGTACAGACAAATGGAAATAAACGATGACAATAGGATGGGACGTAAAAAAGTAAGTGAAAGAGGACGACTGACAGAATACATTCAAGTCTCATTTATTATAGTAATTATAATAATAATTCATTATAATAATAATAGTTTAAATATACTCCGAGTTTCACAACACAGAAATATCAGCATAAGAACGCGAGAAAGTCCCTTTCAGTCTTTGGTTTGTTTTAACTGAGCCTTTGCGTAAAATTGCGCACACAGTTTAATAGGAAGACTACAAACTGCTTGTGTGCTTAAAGATTAAGTGCTGAAATCTACTCTTTGAATTTAGTTTGCATGTTTTTATTGTGTATCCATGGAGCTGCACCACACTGTATCTTTATTTGTTATGTAAAATACCCCCACTGTATGCCATGGGTGCCATCCTTTGTGTCACTTTAATATTTGATGACATATGTGGCTAGCATATCATATTTGTTGTTTTGGACCCATCTCTAAAAAACAAATGCATTATTAAAGTATGGCTCATATACAGTTTCATGGCATCTTTCTTCTTCTTTGCAGTATTCAGAGCTCAGCTAGCTCTGTCTAACTGGTTAAGACCCATTTACAGAAGTTGGCACATGCATTGCTAATAAATGATAAATCAAAACTAGAAAAGTGAACACTCATATTTCTTATGAAGAGCTGTCAGACTCTGTTTATAAGTCAGACCATGATTCATCACTTCTAAATGAAATACAAGCAAAGATGTTCTGGATGCTTTGTATTGGATGGATGATTTCAAAATCCAGATTAGGTCTCCAGCTGAAGGTCTTGATTCTTTGTTCATAACAAGATTATAGGTGATGAATGGAATATGATCTTTACCCAGGAAAACTGTCAAGCACATAATATACAAATATAAAGTTCAGAAACACAAATGTCTAAAGACAAGGTCAGGCTACAAAAAGTTACAGACTCACTTTAAGAAAACACTAAAAGCAAAAAGGTTGGGCGAGTCTGTCGTTATCCCAACATACATCAAAAGAGTACATGCACTTTGCTATTTTGACTTGATCAAGGGGCATAAATAGTCAGAAAATTTTGACATAACAAAGTTAAAGGACTTCATCTATCCCTTCATAAATGAAGGTATGAATGGACAAGTGTGTGCAAACACTGCATCAATTTTCAGTGACAAGCTGAACCTGCAGCACCTGCCATCAACCAGTAGCGGGCACTGATAGTCTTCTTTTCCACCCCTGCTGCTGTTCTCAAAGATTTCACAGGAAATTTATTTTTCAAGTTTTGTGCATCTCCAATTTCACTCCTAGGTGTTGTACATACATGCATTGTACATACACTACATGTCTACCCACAATGCTCTCCCTGCCAATAATGGACTGCATCTCATCTGTTATCACAGCTTCATATACACTCATTGCATCCAGTGTTTACTCTATATATTGAAACATGTGAGAGGAAAGCTTACACTGTATAGTTCTAAATTATATCAGCATATTATACATGACAGATGATAAGTGGCTACCATGCTGAAGGCTTACTGTGTAAATTAAAAAAAAAAGAAAATCAAACATGTCATATTTTGTAGATACAAGGAGATTTTATTTAACATTTTTGTGTACAAACATAGGCTGCAAATGCCTTCCAAACATGTTTGCCCTCAGAATACAGTATTCCTTTTTACAGTTCTACAAGCAGAACATTGAATATTGAACAGGAATAAGAGTCAAAAAATTGAGGAAGGTAAAAAGAGAAAGTGTTTGTGGTTGGTCAACAAGTCTCATCCTCAGCTTTAGGTTATGTGTCAAAATAAAACAAAGCTATTTCCAAAGGTTAAAGTAGTCGAATTTAATGTCAGCTTGATGTTTAAGAAGTGGCAGCAGAGGGTCATTTGAAAGTATTAACTATAGTATGGAAATGTAGTGATAGCTACCAGGGTCATATACAATAAACAGAAGAGATTTGTAACTTTCATATAGAGCAATATGTTCCATATCTTCAGGAAAATTAAACCTTCTTTGCTGTATTTACTTTTTCATGTACAGAACTAAACAACTGAGGTTATGGAGGGTACATGCATTTACACTGACAATCAACAGACCAAAACAATGCAGATTTTAGAGCAATATAAGACTCTTTTCTCCTCTACCACATACTGACAGCTTTTCAAAGAGACTAGAGGCGTACCAGCTCAATCCTTAACGATCATACGTCAGTGGACGCCACAATAAATAAAACGGCAACCAAATAGTGTACTCTCTAGTATAATACATATTATACAACTCCATGGAAAAGTAAGAGTTATGTTAACTCACAAAATCTACCTTTTAAACTGACAAGAACCTGCACCTGCTATTCAGTTATCTTCAGATAGCTAAACAATCACAGTGGCCAGTCTGTTGTACGACACAAGTAACTACAGAGATGAGCCGATAATGCAGGAGTAGGGGGTTAAAAGATGTTTGCAGTTGCACACAGTGGTTGTAATTCTGGGACAAAATAGTGACAAACTTTAAGGATGTCCGATGAACAAAAGCTGATAAACAGACATTTCCCGAAGAAACCGTATAAAGACCATTTTTTTTCAACATTAATTTAGCTTTAGATGATATTATATCATAAATAAATAGCTCAAGTAGACCGTCTCATACAGGGGCTAAGCATAAATAAATAAGAATAAAAGGCATTAAAGGAGCTGAAACTTTAAGAGCTAAAGGGCAAGAAATGCTTCCCTTTGCCCCATTAAGACTGACTTTAACACAGTTTGAATTACAGCATCAGTCAGATGAGTGTGGCAAGTGGAATGGGCATGTACGGTACAACCTAAGACCATGCTTAAGTTTAAGGTCCTGTCTTAGTCTTGAAGAGATGAAAGGTGTGTGGCTGTCCTCAGCAAAGGCAACAGGAGACTGAACAACGTTTCCACTGACGTTCAGAGTACCACAGGCGCTAAACAAAAAAAGTGTTGAGGCACGATAGGGTAGTGTAGTAGTGTAGGCAATTGGGACTTGTTATAAAGGTGATGGAAGAATGAATGAATGAATGAACGGTGAATTCATTCTCTGTCAAAAACAACATTTGCATGCTATAGTAGGCCAAAAGTAGTGGAAGTACAGTTAAAAAAAAAAAATGGCAGCATTAACACTTTCAGAATAAGATCTCGACATTGTTATTTATGGGGTTGATACAATTATGGTGTTTTATCTATATTATCATGTGCAAAGTGAGTGTAAATGTCTTGACATTAAGAGAGTTGATATGTATCCAAAAGGAAAGACTCCTCTTGCTTTTAAAAGTCTAAAGACATTTATGTTAAAAACTTAACATTTGTTATTAATAACATTTAGGCTACTCAAACATGCCCCTGTGTGTTATCTTTAACATGGACAGAACCACACACAAGCCCTTATCAGATCCACTAAATTAGTCAACTGGTTATAGTTTTAAGCCTAAGATATATATGGGAAACCAACTGTGATATCTAACCTTAAATGACAAATTCACATTTTATTCTGTCTTAAAACAATAGCTAGATGCCAATATAAACATAGAAACAGGTTTTGCTTGCTGTAATCATTCGTCTTGTTCATACTGGCATTAAAAGAACCCTTCCTAATGTGCTTCCAATGTCAAGCAATGGCCAGTATGAACACGAGGAATGATTACCACAAGCTAAACCTGTTGCAGTGTGCATATGGTGACCTGACTACTGTTTTGAGACAGATGTGAAAAATTATGAATCTATCCTTTAAACTGGCCAGAAAAGCACATGCTCTAATAATGTAAACCAGATACTCAAAACTTACCAACATCCCAAAGTCTGTGATGATATATTTGTGAACAAGACAGCAATAACAAGACCAAAAAGTAAAAAAATACAACATGCCTGCATGTTAAACCAAAGACAGAAATTTAAGATTTAAGAGCTTTCCTTTAAATTGGTCATTGAGTTAGTGTAACGATATGAAGAGCAGTTAAAGGGACAAAGAATTATTCAGACATTTTTCCATATGCATGAGATAAATAAAAAAAAAAAAGACTTGGGAGGAGATGAAACAATAATACACAATATTCCTTCATTTAAACCAACAAATATGCTCTTCGATGGACATAAACGCTGAGTGCTCAGGTCACTTAAATTGTTATACAGTAGTTCTAACATTGCATGAGTGCACTTCTGCAGCCACAGATTAAATGGTACAAAAAGAGACAATGTCATATGTGTGTGTGTATGTGTGTGCTGTATTATGACATTGCATAATGTCTACACTAGACAGGCGATGGTCTCTGGATGTGAGACGTTCTGCTGAGGAACACCCAGCAGTTAAAGAGCTTGTGCCTTTTCCACAGCAGCATACAGTATGTAACTACAATGTGTGTGTTACCTTTATTATAATATCTAAATGAATCATAAATTGATAGGCTGGACAGAACAGCAGAGTAGTTTCTATAAGAACAAGGCTAAATCCTGCTTATTTACTGCAAGACTTGAAGTCAAGGCTAAGACCTAACACTTTCTTAATCAAACCGAAAAAAAAGTTCACATAGAAAAACATACCAATTTCTCCTCCCTGGCCCCCCAAAATAAATTACAATAATTGCAACAATGATTATACTGTTAAACCAAAAAGAAAAAAAAAATACAACTTTAAGATTATGTACATACTGTATCTGTAAATACAACTGCTTCCTTTTCTCCTAGAAACAAACAAACAACATATTAATTTGGCAAGATGTCCTATGTTACAATAAGTAGGACATGTCGTCAGCAAAGATATGACCACAGACAAATTCCTATGTTAGAAAATATATTGCTTCCTGGATATTTAAGCTGAAGACTACCTTGAGACACCAACGACACAAATAGGGGGAAATTTTCTTTTATGATCGGAAAAACCGCAGGTAGTCAAATTGCAGTGTATTACTAATCATTGGGTTCCTTTTTTTTTTTCTTCTTACAGTCCCACTTCAAGCTGTATCGCTGTTCTCTGACTCCAACAGGGGTTTGTTTACGTTGTCAACACTTTCAACGTACAGGTGTTGGCTTTAACTGACACAAAGAAAAAAAAGCCAGTATGGTGGCAGCTCTGGATGTTTGTTTTCAACTCACGCAAACGGCACAAATGTCTTCCCAGAAACAATGTGCTAAGATTATGTAAGACACGGTTAGAATTTTCCTCAACAGGACATGAAGCAATGTTTGAGATGGATATTTTGCAATCTTGAGCTGATGATTGTCCAAAATAAACACAGATAGAGAACAATGCCCAAACACAAAGGTACATGGAAACTCTGATTGGTTGGCAAACTAATTCAAGAATCAAGAATCAATCTTATGGACTGATTTTGACCATTTCTTGATTTATGAACCACAACCGTCTACAAGCTGTAAAGGTCAATGACCAACAGAGAACAAGGTGGACAAATGTAGATGGCAGGTGTACCTACATAAGCAATGAAGGTACAAGGAATCACACTAAATATCAGGTAATGAGAGATACCAACTGGAAGGACCTCACGTCCTCTGAGCGTCAGAGGCCCAATGGCGCCCTCTTTTGTTTGAGGGGGCAGGCATCGCTAGAAACAATCCTTTCCAGGAATCTGGTCAGTCAATTCAAAAACACACTACTATAGGCTCACTTTGAGCCAAGGTCCTTCTCTATTTCACTCCTTCATGGTCAAACTCTCACGTCGGCAGAGTCAATATTAGCTCTATACTTCAGTGGAGAAAAGGATGCTCTGTCGTTTACTGTCTGGGGTGGGGATCGTCTCCAGTTGCAAGAAATACAGCAACACCTGGACCTGCAAGAAAAGAGAAAATGTTTGAGGGACAAATTAGCAAAAATGAAAATGAGGTTTTGGTTTTTCAGAAAAAGCTTTAAAAAAAATCAAAGATAAAATGCAGAAAATCTGTGTAGCTCACCTGTGCCATAACTTCCAGGGACCAGCTGTCCCCCATGCTGATGGGTTGGGTGGGGTTAGCCGGGATCTTGCTGTCCTTCTCGGAAGGCCTCAGCAAGGTTGGCCCAAAAACCGTTGCCAGGTTGTGGAGGGACATCTTATTGATACTTTCCTTCTCTGCCACCCTGAGGGGAGGAGGACAAGCAAGTGCATTAGTGGAGCAGACCGAGGACACAATCACATGCAGGTGATGTTAATGTGCAGTGATGGATCTGTGTGGTCTGCTGTGTGTGAACCTCTGGCATTTATTAGATTCTTCTGTCGCTTTGCATGTGAACCGCCATAATGGAATCATAACCATAATGGAATCATAACCATAATGGAATAATAATTTCACCCCTATCATCTACTGTACCAATACATGTAGAACTTTTCACACTTTTTCCATTAACAATATCTTAAATATGAGTGAATTATCCTGCTTGCTTAACTGGGTATTTAGTTAGTGTTCACATATTGTTATTCAAAATCACCATGGAAACCAGAAGACATTTTGCTGTTGCAGTTGAATGATATCCCACAGTAATGACCAAGGTTAATACTGTACACCATTTTGAAAACAGAAAAAAAACAAGAATTACAGAAAATTCTCCCAATTGCAAGTTTTTAAAACCTTATATGAACAATTTGAGAGCACTGTGACACAAAAATGAAATTAAAATCTGGAATATTAACGTATGTGTTTGTGTGTGTGTGTGATTGCAGTTGACTACACCTCTTGTATATCTGTGGCTTGTTGTTGTGTGTGTATGGACATGAGTTTTATTTGTTCCTACTGTTCATGTGAACATTCATATCTATATATTATGCAAGCCTGTGTGTGTTTACTTGTTCCTACCTCTTTAGGTGATCCAAAAGGAAAAGGAATGTGACCAGGTTGGGTTCAGGCAGCGACAGCAGTAAGTTCAACATACAGCTCTCTTTGGCAACACTATCGGACAGGGCTGCACAGAAGAAAAGGAAATTAATTTTTACATATCCTGCAAATGGAGGATTTTTTTTTAAAACTAACAGATATTTAGAAGTTGCTATTATATAATGAACCCCTATGATCCACTACAGCCCTGATAGTTAGTTTGATTGATTAATTTACTGCTAATTAGCTGTGATAGTGACTTACTGATGCCGCCTGCAAAATTGGGGTAGAGCTCATCAGTGAAGAGCGGTTCTGGCAGCTCTCTGAAGTACAGCTTCAAGGTCCCAGCGATGGCATTAACGTCCATCTCGCTCATCATCACTGACACATCTTTGTGATCTGCAGGAGAGAGATGGAAACAACATGAAGACAGGAGGTCATGCAACGACGAGGAGGATGATAAGACAGGGAAACACCTTGGCACAAGCAGCAGGCGCCATGCATCTTATTTTCCCATCAGAATTACAGTAAAATACACACACTTCACACAAAATAAATTCACAATTAGCACTACACACAATGCAAATGCAAGTCCGTAAGAAACTATTTAATATGTTTGGTTAATAATTTCACATCAGAGGAAATTCATCAAACTCACAGTCAGACAGAGCTACAATAATGATCACCTGATCAACAGAAATAGAAAGATTAGAAAAAAGGGTTTCCTTCAGGTGATGGTCAATAAATCCTCTCAGCCTTTTCCTAGAAATGCATGGCAGTTATAGTATTATAACCATGATAGGAAAGGTAAAGACAAACTATACTTTTGGCAATACATACGTATCTGACATGATTACAAATGACAATAGTATCAATGAAACAAAACAGGTTTTTACTTAAAAGCTTTCATACAAATAACCTGCTCAGACCATTTACTGTATATAGATGTAGGCTATACTCACTGGTGTCAAAGGCGGTCTTCAAGGCCTGGATGTCAGTGGCGACTCCCGATACTCTGTAGATGCCCACCTCCTCTATACCCCTCCTTTCAATCTCCTCTAGGCACTGCCGGACAATGTAGGGCACCTTGGAGCGCTCTCGCCTGGATGAAGACGAACATCAATAATCACCAACAAGCAGTGTACATTGAGTAAAACACTTACCAGCATAAATACTGAAACCACAATGAAGCAAGAGACATTTCGTTTATTGTGACAAAAGTATGAAATAAACAAGGCTGATGGTTGTGTTTTGCAATGTGTTGATTACTGGAAGGGCTAGTAATGCATCTGGCTATTTGCTTGTGTTTCTGTTGAAATGTTTTATCTACAGTGCTAATTGATTTGTGCTGGTAAATCTAGTTAACCCACTTGTTATGTTTAATCCTCATTAATGTCACTCATCAACAACAACAATGGCCACAAACACAAAACACAATGATGAGCCCAATTGTATTCATGTGTAATGATGTTAGTCCCCATAGCCACTTCACTGTCGTGAGACCATTTTCTGTATAAAATGACCTATTGTGACCTCATGAAAGTGCACAACCACAAACGTAGAGCATTCAGAGGACAGGTAGTTTTCCTCGGTATATTTACAAAACGGGTTTTCTAAGCAATGATGTAACAGATGTAATTGCCATACAAAAACCTGAAACATCCAATTCTTACAGAAATCTCCAAAGATACCATTTTTATCAATTCTCGACTGGTCAGAAATTGTAACATTTTGCACCAAATCTGTGTCACAAACTTCTTCAACCCAAAAATTGCTGTAACAAGCTGTGAAACACAATAGAGCACGAGAATGAACGTCAAATACTTCCATCATCATGTTCTTTATAAACTTGTTTTGAGCAGGCGTCTAACCAAAATGTAGAAGATGAGTAGAGATCTTGACACACAGCACTGAACTACATCTCAAATGCGGATTAGAAAGTATCAATTTGTCTTCGCATTGATGGAATCATCAGCATAACATTGTGGGATGTGAGGAAAGTGAGGAGGCCGAGAAGCCCTGAGGAACGTCACTGGAGAGTATAAATGTGTCCTTGATGCCTGATAGGCTGATTGAAGGATAACTGTTTGAGTTTTAACAGGTGACCAGATGATTACTCTATAATTAGGTAGCTTCTGTGTGTTTAAATGTCAAGTTCAAAATAACACTGTTGATACAATGCATTGTGCATAATTTTGTCTTACATTTAAAATCTATAAAGACATTTATCTAAAAAAGTCAACTCACTTAGTCACTGTGGAGATCTTGACTCCGAACACACCCATAGGTTTCCGTGAGGGCATCCTCTTCAGGCTGAACTCTCGGCTGGTGAACTTCATGGAAAGTTTAACCTCGATCTGACACAGGAAAAAAGGGCTTCAAGTTAAAACAGGTTTATAGAGTGAGAAGCCAATCTACAAGCCTGAAATCAATCTGCACTAGCTTTCCGTGATCTTGAGGAAATCCTGACATGTTAAATCCAGATGGAAACTTCACAGAGAAAACAACTGCAACTGAAGCACATCCTGGACAAATTGTTGAGAATATTTCTCACTTCTGTGTACTACTATAATGTAAATGCAAGGATGTCTAATAGTATGAGGACTTTGAAACAAAAGATAAATCATAGTATGATATAAAAGTGAGGGATGGAAATACAAGAATGAATTATGATAAAGTTGAACTAATGCGATCTACTCACCCCGTTCATGGGAATAACTGTTCTCTGCCAGTCTTTGCCTTGGAGAGGCTGGGGGTCAAGCTTGGTGGAGGAAAAAGACAATATATGTTAGCATCATATTCTGCTGACAAGTTACTTATATTTCATTTGACCTTAAGAGATGTTTCTTAAGTTAGCGGCATATTTAAAATATCTGAAATTCATAGGTTATATATATATTCTCACTATTTTCTCATGAACCACTACAGCTATATGCCTGTTTTGGTAAGAGGAAGTGATCTTAACATACTGTTGTCCTTCTTATATGCTGCTCAGTTATGTCAACATAGCAGGGCATAAAGTTATAATTGCATCAACAGTACAAATATTCCGTCTATTGTAGTGGAATGTTTTTAAAGCTGGTTTTGTTGCTATGTTACATCCCTTTACTGTATTTTTATGATTAGGATAAACACATTTGTTTAAAGACACTAAATTCACACCCAAACATGCACAAACATACTCAGATCAGAAGAGATATGCCATCTGGGGCAATAAAAGCTGGGTATACACACACACACACACACACACACACACACACATCTGACACTATGAAACAAACACACACACAAACACAGTATACTGTATGTTGTATGTTTACCTAGGCAAAGGCCCATCTGGTTGCGTGCAAAGCTGGATCATGTTTCTCATAACTGAATCTTTCACTGCTGAGAGTGCTCTTTGGTTTGAGCCATTTATCTACAAAGAATTACGTTCAACTAAAAACAGGAAAGCCATAAGAGCTTCCTGATAAAATGTTTTAAAAGCCAATAAACAGACTTTTATAGTCTTTACTGGTTGAAGGTTTAGCAAGCCCACTGCTGTTTATCAACATATACTTTTCCAATAAATCAGATCAGTAAAACTAAACCACATTAAATGCTGACATAAGGCCAACAATATGAGCTGGGACGTATAGAAACACTGTGTAAAGATAACAGATAACAGAATACAGCAGATTCAGATGGACACAGGCCTGTATACATGTGTGCAAGTTGTTGATTACGCCTATAATGTGTACAGTTCAAAAGTAATTTAATTCCTGAAAGTTGTTTAAATTAATAAAATGACAATATGATTTAGGATAAATGTGCATGTTTAAGAAGCAAAGGCTCAGTACTAGCATAAAATAATCACTGTATTTCTGTTAAAGAGATAGGCTACATTTATGGAGTACATGTAGTGACAAACTGAAAATGTGTAGCATACTTTAACATATATATATATTTAAATGTTAAAGAACAAATATAAAAATGCATGATGAAATAACATTTTGGCATTTGAACTGTATGATAAGGATATTGTAACTTTTGCTGGCAGTGACTTTTGATACCAAATAAATTAGATATTGTAGGAACAATAGGCATGTTGTTTGTTGGGGGTAATTCCAGTGTCTAACTACTTATTATTTTGGACCAAAATAGCTTTCATATAAGACAGAATATTTCTATGTATACAAAGGAAGAATTAGAATAAACTGATGAAGTTTGGGCTGATACCAAAAAAGATGCACAAGTCAACAATAATCACACAAAAGAGACATTGACAGAATAAATAGAAAATAACATTTAAAATGTTAAAATTATATTTACATGTGTTAGAAACACACTTAGGCATTTAGGTAAATGGTAAATTACCAACATCTGGTTGGTATGTTTTGCTATCAACCAATCTGGCATGTTAATGGTTATTCTATTCTGTTCTAAACATTCATTTGTTTGGTAAATCAGTAAAACTGAAGAGTAATCTGTAATCACATAAAACATTGTGGCTTTTATTGAAGACAGGAGCAGCAGTTTCTTGCCCTGGATTTATTAAAATCCTCCTGAGCAACTTTCTCACCAGTCTGGGTGGTTTGTTTTGAATGACATCATCCGTCAAGAAGTGATCGTGTCACAGGATTACCAGAGGAACCACTAGGGGGAGCATTGTGACTGTAATTCACGGACAGTTTGGCAGACAACAAGCAACAAAGGGACTCGTCCTGGTGTACACGGCTACAATTTGAACAAATGGAATGCAGTGTGCACAACCACTGTTTTCTCTCATGCTTTTGTATTCCCTGTTTTTCTTGCTTTTGATTCTTAGTTTGTTCGAGAAAAATACATCTTTCAAACACAGAGAGAAGATCTCTCTGTGTTTTTGTGTGAGGTAAAACAATGGTCCACAGTGTACAATCTCACACACACAGACACACACACACAAAAACAAACACCCACACCTGCCCTGCTGTAGGTGGAGGAGTATGAGAATGAGGTTTGTGGCTGCAGTGAATCAAAGGAGAGACTCACATTTCAGGCTAAATCATTTCTGTCTGCCTGTCTTTCTCTCCTCTGCCTTTGCTTTCTTTCTGTTGATCTTCTCAGTGACACATGGCATTATCCTGCAGGTTGGCATCACCTTGGCAACCTGATCACCTCCTATCTAGATCTGCTGTCAACCAGCGATCAGTTAATCTAACAGCCAGACTGCTCAGGACAGGACGGTGTCGGCTTTTTCAGGATTTTTGGCATTTTCACACACACCTGTACTCAGCTCTGACTATTGATGTTTCCAAATATGCAGGATGACATTGCTGTTACTCAGTAACTATTATGGACCCTGGACTGTGACTCATGTTTGAAACAGCTAAACCTGGCAGGACAATGATAGATAAATGGCAAGAAATTTAAAGGCTTGTTTCATTTCATATCAAGAATTCACTGAGAATCTTAACTGAACAGAGTGACACATCACAACTTTTCGATATTCAAACATCTCCCTTACATCCACTGAACAGCAGTTTCCCTCCAATCAACCAACCCCAACCCATCCATTATATAATGGGGCAATTAATCTAATCAGACAATTTTTACATCACCCTCTGTCATTCATTGAGCAATAATATGGATTTCATGCTTTGTGGCAGTGGTGGTGACATAACTGTTTATCAGTAATGAGTCACGGTGGGTCTGCTGAAAGGGGGGGTGACGTCATGTCATACCGGGATCTGTCCTTTCCCCATGATGCGGTCTGCGCTCTCTCCATCCTCTTTGTTCTGCTTAGTCTTGTTGTAACACTTCTCGTAGCAGAGCAGCCTCAGGGTCTGAGAGCCCTCCAGCTCAATCTCAAACTCCTTAAGGGAAGAAAAAGATGAAAATTTTTAGCAAAAACTGGTGCAAAAATGTCAATGATTTAGTACAACGACACCAATAGAAACAGGAATGACAAAGGTTATGAGAAAAAGAGACATCCAGAAGATCTCAGCATCCACCCTACATTTGAATCAATACATGCCACTGCAGCTGACCAACATTCCCTGTAATTATGTACAGTAGGGCAGCACTCTGCATATGGTTTGTACATCGTTCTGGGGCCCACACTGTGTTGGTTCACTTAGCATTTGGACAGATGTGAGTCATCACCAGCAGCCCCTCATTAGCTAATATTATTTCCACTTTGCTGAGCAAAATCCTCAAAGAGTTTTTGGGTTCACGGTGGAAAAAAACTGTGCTGCAGATGAACAGACCCACTGATTGTATCTCAGAGCTCTTCTTCCTCTGTAGTGCTACCTCCAACATCCAGCTGTGTCATTAATTCATTCATGTTTGTGTATGTATGTGTGCCTGCTTGCATGCATATATACAATATGCATATGTGTGTTCGCTACTGTTTATGTTTGCAGGGGCTGCAGATGCTCTGTGTAGGTTCTGTTGGAAATCTTGGAAAAAGAGATGGACAGCTTACTGATTACAGTACCAGATGTCAGATACAGTGCTACTGCATGTATGGGTTTGGTCGTTGAAAGGAAATAAACATATTTATGATGTTCCAATAAAGCATAACTGATAAAACAGTATTGAAAATACCACATCTTATGAATCTGTATGGTTACCAATTCCAACTTTTTAACTTTAAAAGTATTTTAGGATGCAATAAAGACATTACAAGGTCATGTTTGATGCAATAAAACACAACAGTTGACCCCTCTATTAACACAGACTCCGCAGAGACATTTTATTCCAACTTGGAATATGTTGCATGCCAGTTTCGCTCCAGTCTTACCTCGTTCCATTTGGGTTCAGTAGTGTACCGATACACTCTCGTCTTAGCTTTATTTGAAAAGAAGCCAAAGGAATCCACCTCCAATGTGCAGTAGAGATCTGATAGAAGGGATTCATTCCATTAGCAACTGAACTGGCCAAGTGTTAGATATGAGCCACGTTGAGTTTGTCAAAATGTTTCAAACATAGATCTCCAGGTAAGTGTTTTAATTCTTACAGTTACTAACCAGAAATAAACTGCAAATATGTCTACTGGAAAAAAACAACTTTAAATCACGGTTTTCCACTGCTCCATGGTCACATCAAACTCATTGTCTGATTATTCGTATTTTCTGATGTTTGCATGGAAGCTAAAGGTGAGTGACTCACTCAAGCTCTGTTTGAGGCCGGAGGCAGAGTGGACAATTACATTCAGGAACCCGTAGAGACCGGAGGATTCATCCTCTGGAAAAACAGTCAGCGAGGAGAGAGAGAGAGAGAGAGAGAGAGAGAGAGAGAGAGAGAGAGAGAGAGAGAGAGAGAGAGAGAGAGAGAGAAAAAAGGCAGTGAAGAGGGGTTAGAAAAGCACGCAGATCTCTGTTTGTTTTGGAGCAGAATCAGACATGCAATGAACGGATAAAACAGGCCTGTACAGTATAAAACATGTGGCTCAAACTTGTGTGTACTCTTTATTCTCATCTTCATCACAATTATTAATCATATTCAAGTGAAAGCGTAACCACACATAAATACACAGAGCCCCAAACGCCTTATAATGTTACTGTGGAATTTCTATTAAATCCACATCCAATTTGTCTCAGAAGAACCCTATCGCTGAACTACAAAGACTGCATATGGATGACTAACTGAGTATGATAAGGACAACTTTACTTTAGTAGAAAGCATTAGATTTTTACAAACTTAGCTACTCACCTTCTTTATTGATGCTCAGTGGGATGTGGTGGACAGTTTGCAGCTTGACACAGGAGCTGGTCAACATTTGCAGCTCCATAGAAGTCAAGGAGGAAGTTTTAAAACCTTGAGGGAAGACAATAAATGTAATTTGTGCTGTATACTCCATCACAAGGTTCTTGGATTAGTAGTTGCTGCTGAGAATGTTTCCAGTGTCTTGGATGTGCTACAAATGGGAACATCCGACTGTTCTGATCTGGATCAGAAATTGTTTGACAGGACATTTCTGGGGCACTTACATTTCTTCTGCTGTTCCTTGATGATCTCCCTCCACTCTGCGCGTTCATAGTCAGACGAAATCAGGAAACTGTAACCCTGAGAACACATGTGCAAAAAAAACCCAGCTGTCTTAGGATGAGAGAGATCAATGAGAATTAATCTTAAAGAAGATCAGCAAGGGGATATTGTGCCGGAAATGAAGTGGCAAAAAATCTGGAGAAAATATGGAGAAGAAGAGTGTATGGGGAGCAGTAGGAGGAGGAGGATGGGGAAGAAATGATGATGAAAAGAGAGTATGAAGAAACTGGTGGAGTTAAAGCTGGAGAGTGTCATCACCTTGCCATTTTTGTTGTAGACTCTGAGGGGCATGCTCGGAGACGTTAACAGGAGCAGAGACTCCTGCTCAGACAACTTCTTCCTGAGACGGTCAATGACTTTTGAACCCTTGTTGGCTCTCTGAAATCACAGAGGTGAAAACGTTTGATTGTGTGTGTATGTTTGTGTGGCAAATCTGACATTTATCACCTCTCAGTGGTTGGAAAAATGCAATGTCCAATAAGTCATATGAAGCTCTTTCAAAATCCCAGAGGACAAACTTAGAAAATGCACTGCTGTCAATCTGAAAACCAGACTTCCTTCTTAGTTCCTGAACAGATTTTTGTGTGTGTATACCTTCTCTCTCTGGATCTCACTACGGAGGTGGGAAATCTTGACCTTCATGGCGTCGAGCTCTTCATCGGGGACCTGGGGGATAGTGAGGGGCTCGGTCTCCTCGGGGCCCTGGAAGGTCAGCTCAGTCAGGGGGATGTACCACTTACTGTCATACTGTTGGTTTTTACTGTGGTGGCAGGACGAGAGGAATGGCAGAGCGGATGGAGGGTGAAAGGTGAGTAAAAGAGACGGATGTGAGGGAGGTATGGAAGGAGGAGTGGATTTATGGGGATGCATAAAAAATGGTGTGGATGAAAGGATGGGAGAGGAGACAGTGTAGAGGGGAGAAAAACAACAATTAGGAAACAGGTTAACTGTGTTTATGAAGAAACACCAAGAGGACCTTGAGAAAAATCTTATTTATTTTATTCTAACTTGAAATTTAAAGGACCAGTGTGTAGGATTTAGTTGCAGATTACAACCCCTTGCCTCACCCTGCTGTTCCAAGTGTGTGGGAGAAACTATGTCATTGAAACTCGTGAAAAACATGAGCCTATCTAGAGAGAATTAAAACAACTCCGTAATTTTACACACTGGACCTTTAAACTTGAACGAGTGTTGGATAGTTAGATGTCTGTGTGTCCATTTATGATTATGTCTTAATTATACATTAGTTTTATGAATATTTTTAGAAACCTTATCTTATGTAACTCTCAGAGATCTCATTAAAAGCTGGCTTTTAACCGGAGAAATAAATGTTGATTTGAGAAATATGAATCCTTTCTTACCCTCCGATCTGTTTCTTCAGCTTGGCGCAGAGCAGCAGATCAGTGAAGAGGAAGACATGCCGCAGCTTCCTGGCTCCCTCCACCAACTCCACCATGAAACTGTCCCTCAGAAGCTGGCGGTTCTGTGGTAACAACAGACAACAGCGATGGGTCAGTGACATAAGGCTTTTGGTGTCGATAACTCAGCGGTTGGCAATGAAGCTCATCAAAACATATTTACGAGCTGTCACACTGTTGTATATCCACTTAGTTGGCTAGAGGAATAATCACTGAAACTGTACTAAAATGTAAACATATGAATATTTTTTCCAATATAGTAGTCTGTATTATGGGGAAAACAGCTTCAGCCATTTCTGTAAGTCGTAGTAATAAATCAGCTATCCTCTTTTTACGAGGGAGACTGGACTTAAGTTTTACTTGCTGCCAGTCTGCTTTACTGGATAATAACTGACAAAGGTCATGTGCTCAAAATTAACCAAATTATTCCTAAAACGAAGGGTTTTGCATTAGATTGCACTGATTAAACTTATTACGCGTCATATTCTGGCACATTCATCAATTTCCAGGACAGAGAGGAATGAATGACGTAGCAGAGGAGAGGGAAGAGAGAGTGTTTTTTGGAGCTCTAGGATTTATCACTGATGTCAGACTATGTAATGAGATGTGTAATACTGCCATCTGCCAAAAGGAGGCAGTGATGTCATTGTACAAAATGAGACAACACATTTACAAGAATGGACTTGGAACAAAAAACAGGGAGCAGGCTAACATCAAACCACAACTCAACAGCAAACAGTTCACTTTCACATGCTCTTGGTTTTACTTGTAGTGTGGGCATTGGGTATAAAACAGTTAGGCAGTAGAGCTTTACAGTTAAAAAAAGAATATAAATTGTTGATTGTCTGATTTTGTTTTTATACTCAGCAGGCAAACAGAGCAAGTAGGATTTGGTAAGGAACGGACCTTGCAAAAACATAATGTAGCTCATTTTTGCACTTTTGATTGCACAAATCAGAATTTATGTGAACGAGTCTGGAACAAGGTATTTTGTTCATTTAATTTATTCTGCAAGTTTCAACCTGGTTCACCCAATTTGTTTGAACATTACTTGTTGTTTTGTTTAAATTACAAATAAATTAAGTGGGTTCGAACATTTTACAAAGATTTAATTTAACAATTTTAAGTTTAACTCAGAGTTAAGACATGAGAGTGAGCACTGCTTGAGGTGCAGTTTTCTTTTTTAGTAACAAACAATAGGAACATTTTACAGTTCAACAACTGCTGCTCTCCAAACCAAGCAAATCAGAAAGTATCTGCTAAAAAAATGTCTTCCTTCCTACTCTCTTCCATGTTGTTTCAGAGGCCACACCTGCACCCCCCGCCCCTGCAAACCCAGCCAACCTTACTGTTACTGTCACCGCCAGAACACACTGAAGTGGAGCCGATGCTTATGCAGGAGAGGTTTATGTGCTTACAAAACCTGACTGGACATCTGCTGGCAAAGAGGAGCATCATGCTGTGTCACTCGGTGTTGACGCTTGTGTGTGATGAAGAGGTTGACAAAGACAGAGAGAGAGAGTTATGAGAGCATGAAAGAGAGAAAGGGAAAGACATCAAAAGGAAAGTAAACAGCTGAAAGTGAATGGAGAGAAAGAGGTGGCAAGAGGAAGAAATGAGAAACACAGAGTAGCTCCCGACAGAATACATGTAGTACTGCAGTTTCTTACTATACCAAACCATGTGACACGTCACCAAAGCAGCACCACTGCAGTGATCCATTGTCGAGGGATTTCTTTATGCGCATGCACTTGCAGGCACACGTGGAGATCCTACTGTATGGCAGACTACAATCACGTTCTGATCCCTGAAATGAGGATCTAATAGAAGTCTAATTCCCACTGGTGGATGTAATTATTCATTACTAGCTAGATAATGAAGCCCGGAATGATGACGGCCTGTGATAGATAACTTCCAGATGAGTTGCTTGCTGTCTATCTGGCATTTCTCTCTAGTGGGATGCTACATCTGTCAGAACACACACAAACACTCACTCCTTCCTCTTCACCATGGTCCGGATATCATTTCCTGATCCAGTTTCTATTGTAACACAGACTGAGATATATGTAATGAGTCAGACTTTGATAAATATGATGAGAATAGCACACCTATGAAGTCCTTCCACATGTAATGAAATCCCCTGAGGATATTTTCTAACTAGCATATAAAACAAGGATGCTGTCTTACTTCTGTCAATCTACATGCTGTCATGTCAGTCTATATTTAGAACATGTACTGAACAGTAGTTCGAGTGAGGCATTGGTCACACTGCTCATCTTAGTTTTGGCATATTACTTACATAAAACCTAGGAATTACAAATATTGGAACTTAAGTTGTACCATAGAGCTATACATGCATATTAAAAGCACCAACGCACCATCTGTGTACAGCACACTGTACAGTCTGCTCCGGGCGCTGTAATATGATCCCATATTTGAGGTTTAAAGGGAATTAAATCCATTGCCAATTACATACAGTATGTATAGGGATTAAACTTTCATATGTCAAATATGAAATATATGTATATAGGAACACAGCCATGCTAGAGGCTCTGTTAGGATGTGTAGGCACAGCAGAGCTTGCAGCTAAATGCTAACATCAGAATGCTAACCTGCTCCTGGTGACAATGTTAATATGTTGATGCTAAGCAGTTGTAGTGTTCACCCTGTATTTGGTCATAAACCAAAGTACAGTATCGGAAAGTAAGGGGATCACCAAAGACATTAGGATTTCTCGTTTGGACACCATGGATATCGGTATATATAAATGTATATATACAAACATAGCTTTATATATAGATAAATTCTAATGCCTGAGACATTAAAACCAGATTTGCATTACTGCCACACATTAAACTATTGTTGTACAGTGTTGTTATTTTTTTTATGGTATTCTCCTCTTTTAACTTTCTTTTTTGCTTTTCAAAGAGTGGTCTAATAATCTGTCTTGCCCTGCCAACCAGTGGTGACTGACATCATGCTTTTTCCACACCCTGTGCAGCAGTGATGTAGCGTGGCAGAGTCACAGAGTTGACTGTGGTCACAATTACAACAGACCACACCTTACCACACCTAGCTATGATTTTGATGTGGTCAGAGGTTCAAGAGACTTACAGTATACCTTTCAACCCACAGAGGCCAGTGCAGATATGGTTTCCCTCCTTCCTCTTACTCTTTAATTATATTTTTTTCTTCAATGGACAAACTTTGAATTTAGTTCTCTTTGTATATGACAATGCAGCTGCAAATCTTCATTGATGTCATCTAGCAAGCTAAAATCTCCTGTGATAATCATGACATGTTAGCAGTACATTCCAAAACTGGATTAGATTACTGATTGGATTATCAAACAAAAAGTACAACAGTAGATTAGGTTGGATTAGTATACAGAAAATACCCTCACTGACAAACTGCTAACACTGACTCAGGCAGAGTAAAATGAAGGGTCAGAATTGTCTTACACAGGAGCTACTAGAACTACACTGCCCATCAAGCCTTAGTGTTAATCCTCTCCTCTCATTGATCTCATGATAAGGAGATAAAATAAAGGGAGGGATAACAACTAGATTAGGGATTAACAGGCTTCTAACTGTGTGGGAGTGAATGGGAATCATGTGAAGGGATAAAACGAGACTGACCACTAAAATAATGCAACACAAAAGCGTGTGTTTAACCTGCACATTCAAAACACACTCGCTCAATGAGTGATCTTTCATTTTTTTCTTATTTAATTAAGGTTCATTGTTTTATCTTTGGATGCAGACACATATTCCAGTCGGGGCTCATTCCTACATTAGTAATCTGATAAATCTAAAAATGTGCTTATGCTGCTGCTTTGCTCTGCTACTTGGGAAAAGACATCCTTAATAAAACCAGCTGTCTCAGCGCATCAGATGACATTTTCATAATATCGAACAGCCAGTAGGAGAAATGCGACTTTCTCCATTTCTCATAATAGCTGACCGGAACATCAGCAACGCCGATGTGGAAGGAGAACGACGCGAGGCAGAGCACGCTGATGGCACAGAACACAGATTAAATATTGACCATCTCCTCGCTGAGAGCGTGTACGAGAGTAATGGCATGAATCTACAAAAGATCCATGTTTATATTTAGAATACACGCTTGAAGGGGCATCTCTGCGCTTGTGTGCTTTTGCAGTTGTGTATGTGTGAAACAATGTGTGTATACGGGGATGCGTTTGTGCAATGACAGAGGGAAGGAAAGACGTACAGACAGATGAAAGTGGTGCAGATGGGTGTACGAATGCATTTCTGCTTGAAATACACACACAGTCACATATCTTTCCCACAGGCAAACAAAGCAGAGCGAGGAGGTGAATTGAGATTTAGGCAGCGCCATCATTTGCATTTTAATTAAGCAGCCTCTGTTTGTCCCCTCCCTTCATCTGCTCGGGCCAGGGCCTCTGGGGGCCACTTGTGCTGCTCTGCTCCTGCATGCCTCCACTGAACAAACCACAGGTTACTCACTGGTGTGTGCACATGGAGGGTAGGTTCTCCCTCAATACTCTAAATTTTAGGTCAGATCATAAATGAGCACTGTGGCCTGTTTCCGATTCTATCACTTGTGTTATTAGATAGTTTTTGCTCCGAACAATCAGCACTGTAACAATTAAACGGTGGAAAAAGACTACTGATTGCAGCAGGGAGCTTAATATTGGAGCTTTTCTGCCATGTCATGTTGGAAACGTCTTCCCTGCACCCTTAAATCAACGGTGTTAACTCATGTTTGTTTACTTGGATTTATACTTTATGATTTCTTTGAACAGCTAACAAAATCAACACTTATTAATTGTGTGAGAAAACGTGTGAGCCCAGTATCACCATACCTACAGTATATAATTAAATGAATGTTATTTGCCTGTACAAATCCTGCAGTCATCCAATTTGTGTTGACATCACATGAACAAAGGATAATGAGGATAACTCCTTTACTAAGTTAAACCATCAGTGCGATCAAAGGCTGGAGTCCCGCTTTGGATGTCTGAAGAGCACATTATCAATGCAATTTGGTCTGAGAGCAGATTTAGCTTCAGCAAAGCGACAATTTAGGAGGGCGAGGGTGTGCTGAATGGCTACTTTAAACCTGGTAACTCAAATTACTTGAGTGTTTTATGTAATTAAAGATATCAAAACAACAATACAACCACATCTTCTCTTCTAAAAATGATTTAGGATGTATTAGCCTTTTAAACACCGTCCTCTACATTGAATGGAGGTTTCTCAACTTTCCAGGTAACACCTGGAACGCTCTTGTAATGACTGAAGCAAGTTATATGCTGTAGCTCGTTGGTGAAATGCAGACAAAAACCTCAGGCATATTATATACTCTATGGTCTATGATAAGGTATAATATAATGAGCCCCATCGATTTCCATGTGCTGCTTTCATGTATCCATGATAAATATTTGATGACTGGTGTGGAGGTCTGGATGGACTGGGATGGAACCGAGGCCTGCGGGGATAGGAGGGATGTGTGTGTGCGTCTGGGTGTGTGTATATGTTCAAAGACAAACAAGAGAAGGGAGAATGGAAACAGAGAGCAGGAAAGTGCATATTTGTGTGTGCGTGTGTGTGTGTGTGTGTGTGTGTGTGTGTGTGTGTGTGTGTGTGTGTGTGTGTGTGGAAAGGGTGCAGTAATGACCCCCCTGTGAGCAGAGGGAGGAGCCGGCACAGCCTTTTCACTCGTTCGCTCCCACCCTCCATTTATGAATAATTAACTTAGAATGTGCCAGTCAGAGCGGACTGGTGGCTCATTACAAGGCATTATGTACGGCAGTGTCACCCAAGCTATCAATCAAGAGGCATCCATTCATGTGCGTCAAGTCATCTCCAGGGATGAGAGTGACAGTGGGGGGTAGATTGTGTGTGTGTGTGTGTGTGTGTGTGTGTGTGTGTGTGCGCTTGCGTTAGGGGAGATGGAGGGATGGGAAGCCACAAGAGAGACGCAGAGCAAGCAGAGAATCACCCTCATCTAGGAAACCCTAGTATGACCATATAAGGGCATAAGCTGCAGATTGGCAGGGTCATGACGTCATCATGCTCAATATGAGCTGGAGAGAGTTAAACTGATGACTATTATCTACATCTAGACTGCTCTGTATCACATTTGGTGCAAAGTTAAAATTACATCTAAACTTAAGGGTCTTGATATTTGATTTTAAAAACCCAACAAAACTATTTCCTGCTGTTTTGTTAATGGTGCAGCAGTGAAAATGTCTGAAGTAGCCAACAAAGGGAGAATCACAATTTTGTGAAAATGCCTGTATGAACCAGATATTGATGTACTGTATGTTAGTTGCTCCAGTTCATTGTCATGACATCAAAAATAAATGAAAATGCAAACATTTGAAGCCACAACACAGCGTGTAATAAGGACAGTATAAAAACTGTAATTTCTGTCTGATGCTCTTTTAGTAACCCCAAAGCACTTTGTTTTAATCCAGTAAACTAGTGCTCACTAGAGCCAACTAGCATCAGCTGTTTGAAGAAAAGCATGCCAATAGGGTCTTAAATGCTCACCTCTCCCTTCTTGACAGTCATAGATTGGCGTCGGGGCGTCGTCTCCTCATTGATGCTGGACAGGAAGTTCTGGGAGATCCGCAGGGCGTCCTGCAGAAGCGGGTGGTCTGGGTGGCTGGTGGGCGTATGTTTGAGCAAGTCCTGGAGTACAGCAGCAGTAGATACAGAAATATTAACTTTCAAAAGCAAAACTATCCAGGAAAAGAACACATATTCAGGTATAGGTACACATATGCACACAGACATGCAAATAAAATGTTACATATTACTATTCGTCATTCAAGTATGCGCCTATTTTTTATTTTTTTTCATTTTTAGCTCTTTGATGCATAAACAGTCATCCTCTTACTCAAACTGCCTGCTGAAAACAGTTTGTATATCGTTAGTGCTTTTTCATACACGCAATAAACAATTGTATTTCTTTCTTCTTCATTGATGGAGAAAATGCTTTATGGTAATAGTAACAAAGCAGATTTGTAAGAAATAACTGAAATGAAAAACAATGACGTTTTGTATTCTGATAAACAAGCTGCAGGTTTGGTTTGGATCACCCATGTCATTCATTCTAGGGTTAATTTACGAGCAACATAGGCAATTACTGAAACACACCTGAACACAGTTGTAATGTGACATTTCTTAGGATTGCCGCTTCAGTGCTCACTCTTACTTACATGAAGTACCAACGTGCTGCGAGTCACTCTATCCACTGGTTTATATAGCAAAGCTGCACATGAAACAGGGAGGAAACCAAAAATAAGTTTTTATAACCTTCCATATGTAAATGTTTTATTTTTTGTTACATTTTAATATTTTAGTAGCATGAACTAGCATGATGTGACTGACCCTCTAGAGAGTTCTTGGCCGTCTGGTCCTTAGAGTCCTTTGGGCTTCTCACTTTCAGGTTCTGTTTGGAGACAAAAGGCAAGTTCAAAGTGGAGAACCCTTACAAAAAGATCTTTAAATACCATTTCAGTATGGTTAAGACATATAAAAAAAAACATACATATGTTATTATCCTTGCTCTAGCACTGAGGTCATCCACTTCCAAATTAATTATGCCATCCTCAGCAGCTTTTCCCCCCACCATCTTGCTCAGATGGCTCAGAGTCATGCATCATTACGAAGGCCATTAACAACCCTCGATGATGAATTCCCTATCCTGCGTGTAGACACTAGACTCAACTCTAACTGGTAGACCTCATAAAACATAGACGAAGACTGATGGTGTATCAGAAACTGCCACATGCTTGAAAAAAAATATGGGAAGAAAATGTACAAAAAAGAGCTGAAAGACCTAAGCCAGGAGACTGCTGAATATACTGTTCAACACTGGACTATATTTTTATCCTGCTAACCTAAAAAGCTAATCAAATATTTGCTCTTACATACACATACATAGTGTAGTTCAAATAAGTCTCCCACAGTCTTTGTAAAGGCTGCATCTGAAGCCATTTTTGTGGATGCTGGACTAACAGAAGACTCCCAAAATGCATGAAGAGAGCTGTAATACTGTTTGAACCCTCACAATTCACAACCCTATAAAGTACAACACTGTTGGGAATGTAGATTACTGGTTTAAACCAGGGTCAATATTGTTCTATCAGCCTCCAAAACTATATTTGATGCATGGGAGTAAGTGTTTTCAAATCTAGTTTGTCTATGATAAAAGGAATTGTCCTGAGCCTCCGAAGCTGCTGGAAATTTGTGTTTGGGGAAAAGATAAATGTACAAATTTATTACACTGTCAAGGCTCATCTACAGTCTGTGTACTGAGCTCATATTTTCCTGGCCAGCGATGAGAGTGAGACCAAGCTAGAGAAAATACAACTATCCTCTGCACTGCACCCATTAAGATAATGTACACACACGCGCAAAAAATTGCCAATGGCTGCATTTGTACAGAAATATTCAGCAGAACATTCAAATTTAAATGCAGGGAAATGATAAAAGCTGCGTGGGTGAATAATGGGAAAGCGTTTTGCAAGTACAGTACATCTGGGACAAAACGGTTAAGCAGCTGCAAAATTGACTATACGACACCTCTCAGAAACGGTTTCTTTTCCTAATAACACGTTGTTTAACACTCTGCTGTAAGTCACTCCTCTTTTTGTCATTTCTGTGTGACTAAGTAACACTATCTTTCTCTAAGACACTGTCCAGCCACAGTGGCAGCAGGATGGACGAGGTATACAGCTACACAAGAGCAACTGCTAACAGTTAACATTGTTAACTGCACACATGTTATAGTGTATTCTAACAAAAGAGGGTGTAGGAGGAGGATATGACCAACCTGATACTCATCTTTTAAAGTATAAGAAAGAATTATTGGGGTTCAATTTGCTGTAATGTTGGTGAAAATCACCCTAGTGATAAATGTTCAACTGAACCTGTACGTCCTTTTATCTAAATTAGATACAGCATCGCTCCACACTTCAAAGACAGAACAACTTGTGAAACTCAATTGGATAATTTGCTGGTATGCAGGGGGTTAAGCGTCTGGCTGACTGATTTTACACGGTGGTAAAAATGATCCCATAACTGAGAGATCACAGCTTCGACCCCTGCTTTGACACAGAAGCTGAACCAGTAACTGTTCAGTTTTTGTCTGGTTCCTTCCCCCACATTTACGGTATAGTTTTCCATAAAAAAACATGTCTTTCTATCCCTGCTTGGTGTTGCCATTCTTTCCTCTCTCCTTCTTACCTCAGAGATTTCAGCAAACTGTGTGTTAGCCTGGCAGCACTTCTCCGCCGTCTCTACAGCCAGCTCATAGTTGTCCACAAACGCTCTGTAAACTCCTAGCTGGCTGGCCTGATGGACAGAGAGACAAAGAAACAGAGGAGGGATGTGACGTTCACATTTCAATGAACACATTAGACATAATGAAAAGTCAGTAATTGTGATTTGTGAAGAGATTGTTCTGCCTGAAATCCTTTGAATCCAAATACAAATGTTAATACACAGACAGTAAACTCTAAGTAAGCTTTTGTATAAGAGAACTGAACAGCATTCACCATGCTCTCAGGCAGAACAGTTCATTGTAAACCCACAAAAAAGCCTTTCAGTCAGAAGCTCAGACGAATCCAAACACACTTAACAGTCCTCTTCACTACTTCTTTTTCTTAACTTCCGCCACTTCATTACTAAACTTCACACAAACTGCAACCTTGCTGCTTCTCAAAAAATAATATTTTTCTAGAAATAAGATAAGCCTTTGTTGATCCACAGAGGGTAAATTGAGATGTTGCAGCAGCACAAGGACCGAAATAAGTACAGATAAATAGAGAAAGTAACAAATACATGTCTAGATGTATATGAAAAATAAACACTACACAAGAGCAATGCAACCTTATAATAAAAATGACAAGGGAAGCGTTATACGTAGCAGCAAAATAACTTAAGTCCTAACAAGTGTGTGTTGTCAAATCTGGGGGGCACAGCAGCATAATGTAGCCTGCTCTTCACAGTCAGTACACATACCTTTGTTTGAACTGTTATTGGAAAGCCTCTATTTTACTAAATTTGTATACCTTAAATTCTGGGGAGTGCTGGTGAGTTTCTTTAAAGTCTGAACAGTGGCGCCTGAAATACTGGACATTGCAATGACCTTCTCAGTGTAACTTTGAAAACGCTAAATCGCAACAGTGAGATGTATAATCCTTGAAATGTTATATCTGAGACAGGAGATTCAGCCCAGTCAGCTGTGTCTGAGAGACTGTGTGTGTGCGAGTCGCAGAGGAAAGACACGCATCACGGTCACAACAACAGCATGTTACCACGGTGCTCCTCGTAGCCGGGCCCGTTGCCGTGGCAACCGGCGAGACCTGCACTGTGCTGGGGTGAGTAATTAATGATTGGTGTAACGGAGGCTATGAAAGCACATTTAGGAAGCTGGATGGCTGAATAAAACTCGCACCAAACGCTGCCTGCCAGCGCTGCGATCCATCTCGGCGGCGAACAAAAGGACAATCAATTCTCCTGAACAAAAGCCAAAGGAGGAGAGAGTACAGTGGAGACGGGCTTTGTGTGTAATGCCGAGAGCAACACGCACACTCACAAACTCTCAGACTTCTCACAAAGAATACCAAATTCCCCAGAAAATCTTACCTGAGCATATTGAATACAGGAGTGTAACTGAACATGAATTATCCCCTTTAAAGCTCAAAGCATATTGCCATATTTCATACTCATTGCCCCCATATCAGTCTGTGACTGGACCCTGGACAGAGAGAGTGGACCCTGGACAAACTGCTGTCCATACTGGACAACACCCACCACCCTCTGCACAGAGGTGTGTGTTCAGTGGCAGACTGCTGTCCCAGTCCAGCTCCACCAACAGACTCAAAAACTCTTTCGTCCCCCTGGCCATCAGACTGTACAACAGCTCTCAGTAAAGGCAGGGAGGACAAGAGATAATAGACAATGTACAATTTCTACCTGTATTTGCACATTCATTTGCACTGTTTTACTTCCATTTGCACTCCACTCCATTTGCACTGTTTACTGTTTGCACTGTTTACTGTAGCTACTGTTAATTTTATATATCATATATATATAATACTTTATATTTTATCTTTTATTTTATTTTTAATTCTATTCTTAAGGTTAGGGTTTTTAATTTCAGTTTAATGTTTGTTTAATGTATGTTTTATATTTTGTATGCTACTGGATACTTGAATTTCCCTCGGGATAAATAAAGTATCTATCCATCCATCCATCCATCCATCCATCCATCCATCCATCCATCCATCTATCTATCTATCTATCTATCTATCTATCTATCTATCTATCTATCTATCTATCTATCTATCTATCTATCTATCTATCTGTTGTGGAGCAACAGTAATTTGGGCAGATGTGTCTTTTGTCCCTTCCAGAGACAGGCTTAAAGGGTCATTGAGGTTTATTACAACTTGGGTCTCACTTTCGTAGATCCAGCCATATTCTCTGTATTGTTATGATATCATTTTATTCATTGCTGAGATCTGGGTACACAGCAACAGTGCTGTAATGAAACTGGATGGGGCAAGAAATGAGGTTGTACACAAGCCAACAGTTTAGCCAGACTATCTAAACCACCTCAGTTGGAGGTCAAGCTGAAGGTTAGTGCAGCTAAAAGTTGTTAATAATTTATCATTGCACAGGAAAACTCTGCATGCACAACTAAGGTAAGTACAGTAGATCAAAGCTGAGAGGAAATTGGTTTGTAAACAGTTTGGATAAAAATTTTGCCTTTGTTTTCTAACCTACTTCCATTATCTTTTTTTCTTTTTTTGGTGAATTTTGTTTTAACTTATTTTATTTTAAGTGTATGTATTTTATTTACCTATAGTTTCCTTACAATGTTTTTATTATTGCTGATTTTAAATTTGTTGCTTCGCGCTTTATAATTAGAGTTTTGAAAAGTGCTCTACAAATAAAGGACTTACATATCTGTAAGCCAATCACTATTCTTGTCTCAAACTGACCTCATTCACCCCCTTTACATCTTATTTTCAGGCATGACCTTCCTAACACGCTCTGATTTTTGCTGTCATGGAGGGGGCGGGGTGAAATTCCATCCTGGCAGGAATGTGAAGTCACAAGTTTTCTAAACATCGTTTGCACTTATTATGTTATTGCGGCAGTTACAATGCATGTATGTGTGGTATAGATCTTTAAAAAGTCCAAAAAAATAAGGCTGCGTGCCATGAACCACCATGAAAAAACCAATAAACACACCCAACTGAACTCAGTACCTCCTTTGTTAAGAAATAATTGTTCTTATCTATGTTTGTCAAAACCTTACTGATGAATTTAAGGCAGCAAATCTGTGGATCTATAGTGTTTTTCACATGCAGTATATCTGCACACTACAAAGAGGTAAATTGGAGGAAGGCGAGGAGTAAAGCAATTTTCACAATCCTGAAATCCTATGTCCTGCCCTGGGCCACACAATCTGCACCAGAGCGGAGGCCATTCAGAGCGTGACAGTTTGACTGTGGAGAGAACAGAGAGCCTGAATGTCTGCCAGCCACATCCACATCCACACAACGGCGTGAAGGCTTACCGAGTGTACGGCTGCAGCTACAGTATCATAGCAGAAAAATGGCTTTGGGGTGATGAAAGAAACTGCTTGGGTGTTTGGATTTCTCAGTTCAGGATTTGTCGCATGTGAGAGTATGTGTGTAATCCACAGCGGAAAACAACATTAAGAAAACAGCCTCATGACAGACTACGGCCATTATACGAGAAGGCTGGATTTAGCCACTTGGTTTGTGTGGGAGCCTGAAATATTTTCTTACAGGGGAGAAGCACTGCTTTGTCTATGATGACATACTGATATGGAAAGATAGGTTAAGACGCTTCATTTGCCAGCCATGTTAGCAGCTGTACAGCGGTGCTCTGAGCTCAATGCTAACGTCAGCATGCAAACATGTTCACAATGACAATCCATACATGCTGATATTTAGCAGGTACCATCTTAGTTTAGCGTGCAAGCATGATAAACAAATGTACAAAAAGAATTGTAGGCCAGGCCATCTCTGCAGCACTAACACGCCATTGTAATGCAGTTTTCTCACACTCTTCTGGTCCTCCACCTCTAAAGAGCAATATTTAAAGGTAGTTTATCAGTTTACCTGTCTGTCTTCACGGTGTAAAGCCTTCACTTTGCTGCAGTGTATGAAGTGTGTGTTTAGGAGGAGCAGAAGCACGAGTGTGATTTAGCCCTATTTTCAGCCTTCAAACACTTCTCTCTGACACTCATGCTCATAACCTGTCAGTGACGCTTTGCCTCTTCCTCTTTTCTCCCTGCCTCCCCTGTTCTGATGTTTTATGCTTCCTAAGCCCGTCTGCCTCCCTCACAGAATTCAGAGTCATGGTGAGACAGCTCTATCAGAGTTGCAACAGCCTAAATCTACTTGCCTACCCGACTCTCATCCTCTCTCAACCCTCCCTCCCCCATTCCTCGCCTGCATCACCTCCTCTACTCTCAACTAATCTCTCCCTCACTCCCTCTCCACCTCCTAAAGGAACGGCTGTCATGTAGCATTTTTCCTTTTTTTCCCTTTTTGTGGGCTCAGCGTCTTCTCCTCCTGACTTTTATTAACTACTGTCTGGAGACAGGGAGGGAATGGAGCAGAAACGGTGCGTGCATGTGTGTGTGTTGTGTGTGTGTGTGAATGCACCAGCGTGTATGTACAGTGTAAACATGTGTGTGTGTGTGTGTGTGTGTGTGTGTGTGTGTGTGTGTGTGTGTGTGTGTGTGTGTGTGTGTGTACATGTTATTGTGGAAGAGAGCCAGACTCCAGATTGTAAGGTGAAAAAACTGTCTTTGTCATGTTGACGTAATGTTTGAGGCCTAGGTAAACGTTTTTACAAATATTCTATAATATAATAATCTTCAAATTGAAGCCCATATGACAGACAATTCAAGAGTGTGTGTCCTGTTTTGGTGTGATCTCCTGGTGCACTTACAGGTCAGGGAGTACAAACTGCAGCTACGCTCTTAAACACTGTAAACTGTCTACAATCACTCTCCTCAATATGATGCCATGATATCTTCCTTTGAGGCAGTTCTTTGGATGGGAGGCGAATACGCAGTATTAAGGAAAGAAAAAAACATAGAAGCTTGCTTTTAAAAAAAATATTTGATAAAAACTGGATTATGGCATGTGCGTCCTAACCAGTAAAAGATACAAATTAAATCCTAATTTCTTATCTCAGACCTATGGGGAGCCTCCTGAGATACGTTAATGGGAGTGTGTGTGTGTGTGTGTGTGTGTGTGGTGTGTGTGTGTGGAGAGAGAGAGAGAGAGAGAGAGAGAGTGAGAGAGAGCAATAGAAAGAGGGGCTCCTATTTATAGCAGCTTCTTCGAGACACAAAGCACACAGTGCAGTGATGGCCTCAGCTGCCTGAGGCAGAAAGGCGGCATTGTGAAACATGGCTGCACCTCCCTCCCTCTCTCTCTCTCTGTGTGTGTGTGTGTGTGTGTGTGTGTGTGTGTGTGTATATGCGTGCATGTTAGAGCATGAGTGAGACTGAGGGGCGAGAGAGAGAGACAGGGAGACTGAGGGAGACACTAGTGGGAGAGGAGCAGTATTTGGGAGAAAAATAACAAATGATTCATTGTGGGTTAATTGACCCATTGTGAAAATGATTAAATAGACCCAGTGTACATTTGGCCCTGACATCTTTGGCAGATACTACTGGAGGGCAGAGAGAGAGAGAGAGAGAGAGAGAGAGAGAGAGAGAGAGAGAGAGAGCAGCTGTTGAGGAGGAAATAGGAAGAAAAGGACAATGCAGGGTCATTTTGTCCACATTTAGAATGATAAAGAAGAGCATCACTACAAAAATCAAACCTACATTTTGTTTTATTGGTTCATTGAATTATACCGACTTCTGAAAGCCTCACAATTCAAGAAACAACATTACTGTGAGTAATGTCACTCTCACACAGTGGTTCTGCTTTGGGTCCATGTCCATAAGGTCAGAAAATGTAGCTGCAGCATCCTGAATGTCTTTCCTGATATTGTCAACCCTTTTGGGTGGCCAATGTTGTCACTTTGATTAAGGGTAATATCAGTCAGTTACACCCAGGGACGCTTCTTCTGTCACACACACTGCTGGCAGAGACACACAAGCATCCCAACGCTTTTTTTTCCTCACCAGTTTCTGGAAGAGGTCCCCGACTCTCTGGTGGTGGCTCCACTGCTGGACGCGGGGCAACAGTCCGTCATAGAACTCCCTGTGGATCTCGTAGAGCTCAGGCACTTTGAAGAAGATCGTTTCTATCTGGGCAACGGTGAGCACAGGCTGTGATGTTGTAGCTGCGGCCTTCAGAGGCTTCATGGGCTGAGAGGAGCAGTGGAGGAGACACTTGTAAGTGAACTGTAAGCACTTGTACATCCATTTTAAAAAACGTTTTACAGTTTTAGAGATACAAATAAAAGTCTGATAAGTATCTGCAAAGTAAGGCCTCAAAGTACTCACAATACTAGTACTAGTAATACAATATAATAACTATTGCCAGGAAAGCTAACTTTAGAGTGATATTCCTTCGTTAGATTTCTGCCTTTGTGACTTTTTTCTACGTGCTCGACTTGTCAAATGAACACTGAAATGGATTTGTCTTAAAAAAAGCAATAAGTCAGGTTCTTATGGTGAACATGTTAGCAAATTGTTGTTTATTTACACATCCAGCACACACAGAGCATAAAATTTGGCTCTTCGGATGATAAATACTCCACTATATTCACCAGGTAGTTGCTAACTTTATACAATGGTTTAATAGCGCTTTTTCACAGAAAACAGCTGCTTGCTGCAGCTGGAAACTTGCACTGGCCTAATACAACAAAGGATATAAAGGGGAAAGCCACCATTGTAAAAGCGGGCTGACAAATTGCTGTCTCATGCTATACTTTTATATCATCCAACCTTAGAATGTTTCTTGTCTCTTTCTTAGTTGTAATTTGGTTTTACTTATTAATCATTATATTTGGTTTGGCTATACATTTGTTTATAAAACTTTGATTGTTTTGTAGTTTACAGCAAAAGCCAGCCAGTAAATTCTTGTTTTCCATGTTTCATTCACATTTTGCAGATGCATCTGGCAGCACATCAATCAGTAATTTCAGACTTATGTCAAAATATAGTTGAACTACTCAATTTGCCTAATCAATCGGCCTACCTCTAATAATCCTGTATAATATGGGTATATCTAGAGTGTGTGTCTGCTTGTGTGTGTGTGTGTGTGTGTGTGTGTGTGTGTGTGTGTGTGTGTGTGTGTGTGTGTGATGTATGTTCTCACCAGCAGCAGTGCCTCCAGGTGACTGAGGTATGTTTCCTCAGTGGCCAGGATCCCAGAGAGAACCCACTTCCTCATCTCTAAACCTTTTTCCAGGTCACATTCAGTCTGTAACAAACACAGAAACATATAATAATACAGTTAAAACAATATCCAGCAACACAATATCACACCAATGAATCCAATCTTCTACATGTCTACTAACTTCTTACGCTTCAAAACATTTTTTCTCTACTGTTTTCACTCTGGAAGGCACATGATTGGATTATTTTGTGTCTGAGGTTTTAAGAACATGCAAAGCATCATATTATCGCTTATATCAGCTACTGAAAGGACATTTAATATAACTTGTTTGTAAATGTCAAATTGAAGGATTCCTAGTTCTTAGTAGAGCTTGAAACTCCTGAAGGTTTGCTTTTTATAAGCTCCTCAGTCTAGAAAATCAAACAGCCGCAAATGCACCTTCTAGAAATCCTCCCTGGTTGCCTCCCCATTCCCTTCAGCCCAGTCAAAGAAAACAGAGAGACAAGAGAGATTCCTCGGGCTATCTTGTTTAACCACGAACTCTGAAATAACTCAAACAGGCAGGGTCTCCCATGGGAGCAAGGTTGCGTATAAATATGTCTGTGAGAGAATGCACACACGCACACACACACACACACACACACACACACACACACACACACACACACACACACACACACACACACACACACACACACACACACACACACAGTGAGCCCAGGTTGGGACGTGGAAGCATCCGGTCCCTCTGGCTATGAGGAGGAGGAAAGAGAGAAAACAGGGAGGAAGGGTGAAAGAGAACGACAAAGAAAGGAGAGATGGAGATAGAAATGCAGATTCAGTGTAATTAAAAGAGTAAAAAGACAAAGAGGGCAAAATATCTGACATGATGAGGGGGAGACAATGGTTGTGGGAATTACATACATAAATAGATTTATTTATTTGACAATATAGAATGGAAAAAGACAGTAAGAATTGGAGAAAAGGGAGACAAAATCAAAGATAAGCTAATTCACTGCACCATGCACCTTAACAGCAAAACGCAGAAAGAGAAAAAGAAGAAGAATGGCTATAGGAAGTAGAAATAGATCAAATTGAAAGAGTATGCTACAGGACAGTGGAAGAGCTCCTCTGATATTATAGACATTACACCCTAATGCTGCCACGTATGTTTACACAGCACAGCAATCATATGGGTTCAACATGTGAAAGAAAGAAGTGCATGAGTTGAACAAAGTGATTAGGATAAGGGCTGATTCAGCCTGCTGGACTTAAGCTGCTGCTGTGTGGATGTGTGTGTGTGTGTGTGTGTGTGTGTGTTGGGGCAGGGGGGAGCAGCATGAAAGAGAACACAGGAAATCCATCCAGTAGTCAAAATGAGAGCCAGAAAAGCATATGAATGGAAGTGATGGTGTATTTTATAGTTTTTTTTTTGTATTATCTGTATTATTCTTAATTTTTTATGCTTATCCTTTGAAGGGTAGGTTCATATTTTTTCTTTCAAGCTGGTGTTTTTTAGTGTGACACGAGGTATCAGGTTATTTTAAGATAGACTTGCAAAAATGTTAACCTATTGTTTAAGCTTTAACCTGCTGATTATTTTCTAGATTAATTGTTCAGTTGTTCAGTCTACAAAATTTCAAATAGTGGAAAATGCCGATCGTAATTTCCCAGAGCCCAAGGCAGTGTTAGGTATTGTAATCAGTTTGTGTCAGTATTTGTTACACCACTTGTAATTCTACAACTACATACCTACACAGCAGAACTCATACATTGTATAACTATGCATGCTAAAATGATGTTTGAACTGCATTTGAGCATGTACAGTACTGTGAGTGAGTGCTTGGTCGTGGGTGTACATGCATTTATTTAAATGATGGGGTAAATGGGCCTGAAACCTGTTTCCATGGCCACTGCATAAGTGCGGGTGTTAGGGGACCGTTATAGCCCAGAAGATTATAAAATGGTCCAGGATTATTATGGAGTCCATTATCAGCACTGTTACTACATGATTAGCCTGCAAGCCAAAAAGCGTGATTTAAAAGCAACAAACACATCAAGCCCACCATAAATTTAGATTGAATTTCAACAACTTGACTTGAAGTTGATCCAAACTTTTTCTTTTTATGTACTCTCTAAGTGGTTACAGTTTTTACACTAAAAAAAACTCAGCTTGAAAGAAGCCAAGTTTGTCCAGGATTTGATGACTTTGCTCTCACTTCTTAGCATCTTTGGCCGTTAACACAGAGGGCGTCCTTGTGTCAAGGTTTTGAACGAGGAGACAAATATTTTATTTAGAGCTGCAACTCACAATAATTTGCACTGCTGATTATTTCCTCGATTAATCATTTTGGTCCATAAAATGCCAGAAAATAGTGTAAAATGTCATGTGTTGTTTTGTCCAACCAACAGTCTAAAAGCAAGTAAAACAGAGAATATCAGCAAATCCTCACACGAGACCCTGGAAGCAGGGAATGCTGGTTTTTTGCCTTAAAAATAACACAATTGAATTAATTTCTCGGTTGATCAACTAATTGGTTTATTGACTAATCGTTGCGGCCTGACTTGATTTATTGATATAGGTCGGAGAAATCAGGCACAGACTACAAGTAGGATGGGACAGTATCTAAAGTATATGCATATGCTCATCAGACTGTTTATTATCTCTTTAATAGTTAATACTTCTGCAGTATATTTTCTTTCTTTCTTTGTGTCTTTCTTAGGTGAAGGATGAATGAAATGATTCTGACAGATATGTATTATGCATCACATACAGCTGTCTGGGGATCTGCTCTGTACATAACAATATCAGTTTCCCCTGAAAAAGCTCTGCTTGCTCATTAGGTACAAACTCTTACACAATCAAAAGGAGAAGAGTTTTCTTTTACATATTAAGAGACCAAATAAAAGGGTACTGAAGGTAAATAAGTAAGTCATTTATGATTGCTCTTAAATGAATTACATTGCATTGCAGCGGCTTCGAATCTGTCTGACTCTACTGACTTAAAAGGAAAAGCCTGGGGCGGCAACGGAGCCCCCTGAATGTTCCTGAATTAATGAAAAATGAATGAATCATTGCCGAGCTACAAGTATCGGCATGAGCTATGTGACTTTATCCTCACAGGATATGCCGCTGGTAAGAGAACATGAGAAACATGAGGGTCCATTGGAAGCATCAAGATCTTTTGAAGCAAATCACAAGGAGAAAGACTTTTAACATTCAGCCACATGTTACTGAACTAGCAGAGGGCAGGGGAGAGCCATAAAGTGTTTATTCATCATTTCAGACCCCAGACGACTCCCCAAGGAAGTACCCACATCTCCAGACATATCATCTTTTATTTATCGCCGTGGCAACTAATGAGCCCATCTCTGGGTTCAGACTAAAGGGGTGTCTGCCTGCATTTTTTTGGTAATCAAAAAAGTAAAAATAAAACACATTCTCCCTGCTTGGGGTACATTTGGGTTAGTGTGTTTACATGTTCATGTCCAACGGAGTCAACAAAAGCTAATATTTTACATTTGAACCCGCACTTGAACCCTTTCAGCTCACACAACACCCCTTAGGAATGGCTCTACCTAACATGATTTAGGAATTGAGATTCGCTTCTGATTTGTTTATGCATGGATAATGCTCGTGGGAGATACGCAACAATCAATACAAACAGTGTTTATTTGACAAGTGCACCGACGTAGCTCAGGAGGCGCAGATGGAAACTGAGCAGCAGCGACTGTAACAACATTATTCTCCATCTCTGTCTCTTTCCCATGGAGTGTAGGAGACTCCTATAAACATTCAGAGCCAGGATGGAGAGAAGAGAGCAGCAATGCATGGCCTGTTCCACACTTTATTAACCCTTTTCAATTTTCATTTTTCATATTCTAATCTGTTTAGCATCCTGTTCTGCCATCCCTCGATTTCTGAAATGCCTAATGTAATTGCTTCCTATCTCTACACGCCTGCTAAGTAATGGAGCTGTCTTATAATTATCCTGTGCTGCATTACTTCTGGTTATTTAAACTGCATTTCATCCAGATGTGATAGACAGACAGAGTTGGTGTCTGCAGGGATTTTCCACATAGGATGCTCGCAATGCCGCATCACGCCATGACTTTAATTGCGAGGGAACGAGCTGTTCAATCAGTGAACGTTTGTTATAGATGTGATACATCATAACAAGGGAGATTTCAATCTTTCCAAGCCTCCTAATCCACTACAGTTGATCATTGAGAGAGGTTTAGCTCTGGCTGGGTCGGAAAAGAAGTGACCTCCCTCCTCAGGTCATGGCCTTGAGGTGTGATATCAGACAGAATGAGGGAGCAAAGAAAATGAGGAGCTATTATAATATAAATTAGGGATCCACAGGAATAGAGAAAATGGCTCACAACATAAGCGTCTGGTGGCCAAGGGTTTAAGGCACCGACCATAAACTTCAACATCTCAGGTTCGAAGCTGGCGAAGGACCATAATTGTCATTCCCCTATCTCTCTCTCCTTCATTTCTTGTCATCATCTCTGCTATCAAATAAAAAAGCAGTAAATGCTCAATAAAAATACTTGTTTTACTAGATGTTTAACTTGGTGAGGAAAAAAAAAATAGTGCTCTCTGACTGTCCTTGAATGACCTGTGTCACACCGTGCACTAGGATTATAAGATATAACATACGTAATCACAAAGAAAAAAACATCACACCACTGTCCTCATACTGTAGCTGACTTCCAATCAGTGACCCCCTTCTTTTCCCTCCTCGGTGCAGAGACAGATTATGAGAGAACAAGAGCCACTGTGGAAAATTAAATCAGCAATATGCTGATGCTGATGACTCATCATAGTGACATCAAAAAACCATCAGCTTCCGCTGGGCCAATCAGAGCTCCTCTGGGTTCTGAATCATCAATTAGAGAAGCAGGCTCGGATGATGTTTGAAGAGCGACTGTGCAAGGGTAAATCAAGGACAATGGTAACTACATTTTAAATTTTCATGGCGATACTGACCATCAGACGCTGCTTCTGGAAACCCTAAACACACACACCCACAGCGTCAGGTTGGCTCAGGGGGCTTCTACACACACAAGTGTTTACCCTGTCAATCGCTTTCAATCTCTTCTACAATGAATTTATCGTTCTGCTCTGAGAGAATGGATGGATGCGCGTTTGTGTCCTTAAAAAAAAGCCATTGGTTTATGCAACCTAAAGCAGACATGACGTGATATGTGTGTGCATGTGTATAAATTATAATCAGCGAGAGTTTCGAGCTCACAGGTCAAAGGTTGGATGCAGTCAAGGGATTTATCATTTATTGGCAGATTCAAGCCATCAATCAGATTGACAGGCTCCCTCGCTCACCAGCTCATACAGTGAGCAAAGACTGAGGGGGCGGAGTAACTGATCCCGCATCATGACCACTGATGCAATTACTTCCTCCAAGGGCACGGTGGAGGGAGACAGTATTAGCCCATTACATTCTCCCACAATACCTCTCTGTCCTAATCGAACATATAGCTTGAGCATGTTCATCTGATACCTGCCAATTCTTTGGTGCAAACAATGTGTAAATGATGACGACAGTTAGGAAAATTATTATTTATACTTTATAAAATGTAAATAATAAAGAGAAATAATATAAATACTAAAGAAAAAAAGAAAAGAAAAGATAATATAGATTCTATCCATGTTCATTTTCATCTTTGCTGACGCTGGGGTTGTGTGTGTGAATGTGTGTGTATGCATGTGTGTGTCCTCTCCATGGTAACCTTTGAAGAGCACCAGACGTCATAGATCACTGGTTTTCTCTCCGCAGACAGGGAAAAAAGCAAAGGAGGGAGGGTAAGAGGATGAAGGCAGTGATGGGGTGATGGAGGTGATAGGTAATTCTGCCTAATACCCTGGATGAGAAAAAGCCAGACTCTTAAGGGGGATGAGTTTCTTCTCTGGATGAATGCGTCTGGGGTTATGGGGCATGACGATATTGTCCTTTATCAATCCTCTTAAATGGCAAATTTGATTTCTCATCAATTGACAGATTTTTGACAGAGCGGGATGGCTCTAAGAATAGATTAGCCCATTTCCTGAACTGTATTGAGGTCGAAGGACGGAAGTGTTGGCACCTATTGGCACCCATGTTTGTAGAATATATTCATATTCACATAAAAAAGTCATGAATATTAAGTAGCTTTGGGTTTGTTTTTCTGCAGCTGAGGAAGCTGAAAATGTGGCTGTTGTAATGGCCAGCAGAAGGAGATGGTGTACTGGATTGGATGGCACACTGACCGACTTGGACGACTCTAACGATCCAGAGGACAGGGTGTCCCGACTGCTGCGGCTCTTGGAGCTGAGGTGCGGTGAAGATGATGGCGAGTCATCGATGTATGGCAAGATGTCATGATGCCTCCGCTGCTCCTCTGCGCGGTCTGCATCGTAACCGTACGTGGGAGGGGTCCCGGTGAAATGACCATCTGTAACGGGAGAGATCAAAACAAAAAGTTAGTACTTCTTTCAACTGTCTTAATGTTTTTGCTTTATGAGACAGTTTTCAGCAGAGAGTTGGGGTGCCCACACATACCAAATTGTATAATGATATATTGGCCAATAGTGATTCTTTTTAATACTGGGCGGGACATTTTACAACATGTAAAACTATAACGGTGACGCTGCTTCTAAATGACCTCAAACCAAGTTTGGCATTTCTGTACTGCAAGTCCTTGTTACTTATTGGCCGACATATACAGGATTACCATTATTTGCAATAAGTTAATATGGGCTGATATGGACTTGGACGATTTATTGGTCGACCTCTAATCTGCAGGTCAAAACATGCAAAAAATTGTTATATGTTGTGTGATGTTTAAAAAAACCCTAAAAACCCCACTTCAAATGCAGACATGCAGTCGTTTTGTGACCCACAAATCACCAAATTTGTGGTTACTGAGCTTTTTGCACTGCACTCAGTTTTAAGAAGGACACAGACAGAGAGATATAGATCTCACATTTAGTGATGCTAAACTGTCTCATAACAACATGCTTTCCTTTCTTTTACAAAACACATATTTAGTAATTCAGTTTAGCTTACATTCAACCAAAATCCATTCATATTATCCATGCCTTTACAATGCACACAGGGTAGATTCATATTTTACATTTGCTGCTTGGCCTCATGCTCGCAGAAGGTTGCCATGTGTATTCTGGAGTTAATTTTCAACACTAATTAATGCAAGTCTGGAAACTGGGGCACACAAAATGAGTTTCCCCCCCTGCATCTTTGTTCATGAATTCATACAAAAACATAAAGCTCTGAGAGGAAGCACTTGAAGAGGCCAACTACAAACTGGGTCAAGGTTCAAATAATTTGAACACCGAGTGCAGCATCTCCAGGGAAATTTTCAGCAACCTCCCTCTGACCTGCTTCTGTGGTGGGCGCTATCGCTTTCTGTGACGGAAAATAACAGCTCTGCCAGCACAAAGTGCTTTTGCCTACAATTATGTGCGCTGCCCTTTACAACGGGAGGTGGGAGAGACAGACAGAACAAGAAACAAAGGTCAAAAAGTACAATTTGACTACAATTGACTTGTTTTACAATGTCACACTCAGTGAGGTGACGCATTTCATTGACGTTCAAGTTGTGGCTTCCATTAAACATGTTTTGGTGAGTTAAAATGGTTCAGCTTCCAGGGGGAGAGAGTACAGTCAGCAGTTCGGGGAATCGGCGTGTAACAGCTGAGGGGAAGACATCATGCATCTCTGAATGTCACTGAAGACCTCTTTGCTCATCTCCTCCCACTCTTACATTCTACAGAGCTGCGCTTCTGAGAGAGCTGCCGGGCCTCCTCTGTGCTGACTCACACTAATAACATGCCACAGCACTTTCCAGAGTCAAACACAAACACACACAACGCACTCCAGATCACACCAATTATAAGCATGCTGTAGCTTTACAACACATTCAGCTAACATCTACTTACGTCCTTCTTTGTACCTCTATTGCATCAACAATCTCGCTCTGATTGCGTTGTATGAATGTTTGGCTTACACTAGCACATACACAAACATATGCTCTTGAAATCATAGAGTGAGCGGAAAAAAGAAGAAAGATAGAAAGAACAACGGCAGTGTGTCCATGGTCCGTCTGACCTTCAGCCCACCCACCACTCGCTCCATGTACTTGCTGCCGCTCATGGGTGGGTACAGCCCACTGCGCCTGGTTCGACCAACGGCATCCGGCCAGGCAAACGCCAACATAGAAGCTCTTTCTGTGTGTGTGTGTGCAAACAGTCTCTTCCCACAATGCCAAATCCTGCAGCAAACCAAACTGAGTAGTGTGTGTACTACACATTCTTCATTCATTTTTAGCCTTAGTATTATTTTAAAACTCCTGCACATATGCTGTTATTTATATATTTCATCATTTTCACAGACTCCCGCTTAATTTTCTTTTGTATTCAGTAACACCTTCCTTCATCTCCTCCTTCTGTCTTTTCTTTATGGTATCCTTTTTTAACTCAAAACACAATGACCGAATCATTTTAGGTTAGATTTTATGTGTTTGCAAAGCACATACATAGCCTGTGGCAGGGGTTAGTTATCTGTACTCATGCCAGTTAGCAGGACCGATCAAACATTTTTAGAGCTTGTTAACAAAAAAAACTGTCAGAGGACAACATAGTTAGAAAAAGAAATGCTTATTTTAAGAACTGATTCACTGCTTTTCTACAGTGTGTGGATTTGAAAAACACCATGTAGGAAATCCAAATACCATCCTGCCATGTTTTTTTTTTTCTCCCAACCCTACCTCTGCATATTCATGTAAGGAATCATACCGAGCTGACTTGTTTTGATCTACCACCTTTCTTTGGAAGAATGCTCTCCTGCCCTCGAAACACTCATTTGGGTGTGTGTAAGCATACTGTATGTGTGTGTGGAATGTCTTTAGTGCCCACACAGCCCTAAGGCAGAAATATTAAGCATCCAAACAACCATTTTTAGGCCGTAACCATGGACTAGGCTAAAAGGAGGCATAGTCATACACATAAAACCACAATCATAAATAATAATGATGAACTGTAGAAAAACAAGGATACGTGAAATGCCAAATGAACCACCGCAACTCTGACTAAACAGTGTGTCTTCTGGGGAATGTATGTCACTAAGGTACAAAAGCAAGAGGTACAAGGTAAAAAGCCCCAGTTTTTCTGCTTTTTTACAAATAAAACACAAAGTTTTCTTTTATAAACAAATTAAGCATTCATAAAAGAGTTACTAATACATCTACAGTGTTGAGATCATTATTAGTCTGCTAATATGCCTAGCCTTATATACTGCTTCTGTATATCTTCAAACCAACTTAACTTATTTCCTGTAATGGATTTGTGTACTTGTAGGACGTGTGTGTGCATGACCAGCAGTTTCCAATGGGGGATGGACTGAGCTTTACAAGTCGGTTAATGGGTCACTATAGCCTGTGGTCGTCAAACACCAGGCTTCAGTCTGTCCACGTCTGACCTTATATCCCTGCCTAGACGCTGCTTCTAACGTCGCCTTGAGTCAGTTTCTCTCTGTCTGGCTCTCACGCTCTTTGTTTGTATATCCCTGCATCTCCGCATATATCTAACTGCCTCTTTCTTTGTCTTTCGCTGTCTCTTCTTTCTCTCCCTCTTGCGAACAGGTCAATTGTGTTTCCGCTGAATTCTGGCCTCATGCCCTAACGCTGCTCACAGATCGGCATCTTCCTCGTCCTGCTCTGCACTGCCTGACTTTCCCCTTCTCTCGTTTCCCAAAACGATCCCCCCTCAGGAAAAGAATAAACTGCAAATATGGCAGAAAAGCCAGCACTAACGCCTAAAGAGCAGGTCACATATACACATATACACATATACAAAACAGAGCAGTTTCTTAAATAGTTCTCCCAAAAAAAAAAACAGTCTTCTTATTGATTTCTTCCTGGAGCTACTGGCAAAATAAAACAACCAAACTCTACTCCGAACCACAGAAATAACACACACACACGCACACACACACACACACACACACACACACACACACACACACACACACACACACACACACACACAACAAGCATAGGCACACACATTCTTGTAAAATGTTTACATGGAAACAGTGTTTGGGAGGGGAACAGGTATTTTTCCTGCTGCAGGTGGAAAGCTACAATCACACAGGGAATAGCTGGTGCTCCGCAACCATGGCAACACATAGGTCTTTCCAAAACAATACTACAGACAGGGCAGGGGTATCAGGGTATCGGGGTGTCATGTGACACCGATCTGTTGATGGGACGTCCTAGAAGACTTGGGCATCAAATACTCATACATGGGAGTTGTTAAATCATCGTAACTTCTGTGTGCTGGACATGATGCACAGTCAGGGGATTTTTGGGGTCCTGATATAAGAAAAAAATGGATAGTGCCTCTGGGTCTGTGTTTTGAGTTTAACTCTCAAATGACTTGAGGAAATGGTGCTTGGTATCGAACCTCAATACGTTTTAAGTGCAGACTGAAATGTGCCTGGAGTACTGAAGTCAGTTACCAATACTTTACTTACTGTTATATGCTCAGACCCATCTGGATTTAAATGATCATTTTAGAGTGTGATTTATTTAGTGTCTTTTGTTAAGGGCATAATCACTTTCTTGAGAAGATCAATACCACTTTGATGTCTGTACGCACAATATGGATCTAGAAGAGACCCAGAAGATTAGCTTAGCTTAGCATAAAGACTGAATGCATGTGGAAACCTCTGGCCTAGCTCATATTTTGTTTTAAATGAAAGATAAATATATATTCCTCAAAGCAAGGTATCAAATAAATATTATTCTTGTCTGCACTAAAACTCTATCTTTCCTATATATTCATCAGGGCCTCATTAGCTGTGGACAATATGCTTTTAGTACAACCGTAGTTTCCTTATTGTAATGAGATGTCATTTTGAAAAGCCACTCAAGACTCTCTGTGACTATTCTTTCTTTGTCTCATACTATCCCTAGTTTATTCTCTCTTTATTCGCATCTCTCTCCTCTTTTGTCTGACTGTGTCTCAGCCATATTGGATCCAACATCAATGCATACTGTTACAGTGCTAAAGTGCAATAGCCTAAAAAGATGGATCAGCAAATCCACTGTTTGCCTCACTCTTTCACACAATTACAAGGAATTAAAAGGTTTGTCTGAGTTACATTGTTAAAAAGAGAACTGTGGCCAACAGACAAAGGAAACAATTGTTGCCTAAAGCCCCTCAATCTTCTGCGTGGTGCTGCAGGAGAGGAGGGGTGAAAGTAAAACACGAGGAACACAGCTACTGATAACACAGAAATATGAAAACTAAAATAATAAGATAAATAACAATAAAGAGAGGAAATACAGAGACAATGCAACAGACTGAGAGCGGTGAAATTGGAGGGGGGGAGAGAGAGAGAGAGAGAGAGAGAGAGAGAGAGAGAGAGAGAGAG